TATCGAACAAATTCCAGTATGCGCATTAAAAAAGGTCACGTGATTTTGTTACGTGAAATCATGTGATGATAAAAATGTGTGTGAATGGACAATCCAGCAAGTGGAGCGCATTGTAAAACATTTGAAATGTTGTTTTGGTCATTCTAAAATGCCTTAACCGTTTTAATATCAGTGTTATTATATTATTAATTATCTCCAGAACTGTCAAGAGCGTCTGTGTTCCACGCCTTTGAACTCCACCACATGTTTACTGCATGTCAGCATGTCTTCCGAGGAGCAAGTCATTTATTAAATAAAGAAAAGATTTACGCAGCTTCTCCAAACTCAGCACATTGCGTTTTTACTGTTGATATTTGGCACCAGTTATTTAGTAAGTGAAACGCTGCTTTATTTGCATGTCTTTCATACGATGTGCCAGTTTTGCACATAAATTATTTTGCATCTTTGCATGGAAACATAGCTAGTGGCTTTAGGTTTTGATCGAACCATACAGAGTTTAGAACTGTGTACTACTATCACTATTTTTATTAAATCTCTATAGTATTGTAGATTAACGTGACTAACAAGATTTATTCGAATTAAGTGAACAACTCAATGACTACAGATTAAATTAATATTCATTTTAATGTGAGAATTGGGGGAAATAAATGAATTGCAAAATATTAACTTGAATTAGCAAAACACGAGTCAAAATTGTAGAGCAAAACTCTGAATTTTTAAAAGAATAGTGAGAACAGGGATAATGCTTAGCCTGATCTCACGGGGAAACCTAACTATTTTATGTTTCGTAAGTTTAGTAGCTAATTCGTACAAGTTCAGCTGTACAAAAATGTACAATATTAAAAAGGGGGTGCGGCACCCAACCCTGCCCCTAAACCCAACCATCAATGGGTGATGAGCAAATCAAACTAAATTTTTACCAATTAGATCGTATTAATTGATATGAATAAGCCACTAAATAAAAATGTTACAAATTGCTTTGAGACTGAGTTATAATATTTGACAAAACCCTGCTTTTTTCAGCAGACAAAGCAGCAATGTAGCCAGTATTTTTCAAATGTAGTATTACATCTATTCCCTCTTCTGTCAGATTGTTCAATTTAAACAAAGAATGAAATCTTAATATAAAGTCTGCTACTGCATGGTCTAAAAAAACAGTACCAACAAAATCCATTTTTGAATTTACACATTGTTTAATATAGCGCTGATGTGACGTGCATGCATGCATTTACACAGCATTTATGATTGCATACATTATGTTAAGAGATTAATGTGTTTAATATGTATGTGGCGGCAGTCTAAACGAGTTAGCTGAATCTTTCAGTCAGCTGGTTTGTTTAATATGCTAATTTATTTAACGAAGCTAACAACTGTACTCATGAAAGGGTAGCTTAATTGAATCATGTAGCTACTCGGCTGATTCATTCAAATGTGCTTAATCTCTGAGAAACAAAAACACTGTTGTGCTCATTTCTAGAAGCAGAAGTTCCTCGGTTCTGCATTCTTTGACAGGACAAAAATAAATGTATTTATGGCTACTCAACATATTCAGCTGTTATGTAAAATTATCAAAGGCCTGTGTTATAATTATAAATATAAAAACAGATTTTTTTTATCATTTCTATTGTATTTCTTCTTACATGCAAATCAAGTCATTTCAGATCTGTACAATTTGAAAAATTAGTCTTTGTTATCATTTTATTCTTTCTTTGAGGCATTAACCAATCACACACATTAGTGTTGAGCTGATGAGTGCAATGACCAATCAGCTGTGTATTGATTAGTCACCGCCCGATGAAACTGCAGGAGTTTTGTGTTCAATGACTCATGAATTCTCTCTCTCATCATCATCATCATAAACAAGTGTTAAAACTACTAAGTCATTTCACACTTTCAGGCATTATAGTGGGAGTTTTTATGAAAGTGCATAAGTCGCGCTAGAATAAAACATTTCTTTACTGAGAATGCAGAAGTTTCCCATATGAAAAATATTGTAATTTATAGGAAATGCTATAGTGTTTTAACCATACTATAATAAAGTGTAGGCTAGTATATATTATTGTGTGGTATATATAAAAGGATGCTATAACATACTGTAGTATTAGCTATTCTGACAAACGGTAGCGTAAATACTGTAGTATACTTTAGTTTTTATGTTGTTTATTGTAGTACTCTAACTTAATATAGTATTGGGTATTTTAATATTCACTATACCGTTGTTGTTTTACCACAGCAACTTTAGTATTACCACAAGTAATTCAAGTATGTTTTACTTCAGTATTTTTAAAAGACACTGTAGTATTTACTATAAATCCTATTTTTTTCATGCCAGAGCAAATTATTAGCAAACATTAAAAAATTAATATATCAATAATAAACAATGATTTGTAATAATATTAAATGCAATACTTTAGCTTACAGTTTTTTTTTTTTTTTGATAACATTTTATTAGTAACTCGTATTTAAGAAAATGGTTAAACTGCTCATTTTACAATGACAACTCATAGGCTACGTTTAATTATTAAGAGGATAATTATAAACATTGCCTTTATCATGGAAAAAATGCTCCTGGAAATCGATTGCAGTGGGTAAATATTGCAATTAACGTTGAAAATATTTATTCTGATCAGTAGTATTGAGATTATTAGGCTACTGAATGGTTTTACACATACATTATCCTGCTAACGATGCGACAAGGCCCCAGAGGGAGAATTATAAAAAATAAGCATAATGGTTGCCAATTGCCATAGAGTCTAGACAAAGATGGAATATACCGTTTAGACCTCATTATACAAAGAAATTGGCCAGAGAACCCAATAAATGACCTTTGAATCAAGTAACCTGGAGAGCAGAAAACATTCATACCTCCAAACAGGTAATTTGGTGAAATAAAAAGTCTCATGAGGCAACAATGGAATAAATAGCCCATTGTCCTCAGAGACCGTTTAAGCTTCACAGGCAATAAATTTCCTAATCTCTGTTTGAAAATCGCTCTTCCATAACAGAAAGATGATGTTTACTTTGGCTTTGGGCCTCTACTGCCCTCCTGTGCCATTAAAAGGCAATACGAGACTTATGATGGGTGGCAGCTTGTCTCCACCACTTCAATTAAACTTTAATTCACTTGGAAATGGCTTCGACATGACAAACAGTGCAACTATTAAACTGTGAGTAGTATTTTTTGTTTTCCTAAATTCACTTTGAATGCAACGACGATCAGTCTATATATTGTTACAAATGATTTCTGTTTAAAATAAAATGCTGTTCCTTGTACTTTATCCTGAAAAAAGTACCATGGTTGCAACAAACATATTAACAGTAGCAAGTCAGCTGTTTTTAGATTTGATAATAACGTTATTGAAAGCGTTAAGTTACTTTTAAAAGCAATAATGTGATGGGAAGTTATGTTTGATGTCATTTTTGCATTAAAATAGCAAAAAAAAAAAAAAAAAAAAAAAAGACTAAATATTGTAAGATATTACTTTTAAAAGTAACGTTACCAAATACTGGTTGTTGAACATCAAATCAGCATATTAGAATTATTTCCAAAGGATCATTTGACACAGGATTGAAAATGACTGAAAATATATATATATATATATATATATATATATATATATATATATATATATATATATATATATATATATATATGTAAATAAATATATATACAAAAGCAATTAGAATAGCTTTACTTGAATAATATTTCTCCACATTTACTGTACTTTTGCTTTAAGTAGAAAGAACAAGATTTTGTTAACTCCAAACCTTTATGTTTGCATATTTAAGTACCACAGTATTGCTGTGGTCATAGTTTTTAGAGTACCTTTGATGTTATTTTTTTAACCCTGTTTTAAACTCTCCCACAGTGTTAATATCTATTATATAATCATATAATAATAATAATATACAGTAATTTTTCTGTTCTTTAATTAACTTCAAAGGCAATGACAAGCTGTCCCTTCTTTGGTACATGATTTCTGTTTGTACTTTATCCTAAAAATAATTTGCCATAGTTTAAGAAACATATTTACAGTAGCACATCAGTTTTTTTTTTAGATTTGACAATAATTTTTTTTTAAAAGTAATGTATTGCAGTCTTGAGCCACTTAAAAAACTACACAACTAAATGCGTTACTTGTATACTGTACTTTTTAAGGAAAGTGTTATTTTTGCATTTAAAAAATAAAATAGGCTTGATTTTGTCATTGTTTTACTCAAGACTGATTATTGAGCACCAAAACAGCATATTAGAATTATTTCTGAAGAATCATTTGACATGAAATCATATCTAAAAAGATAATAAAAATAATACTTATACAATATAAATATAAAAATAGCGATTAAAAGTTAAATTTTTTTAACAGTTCACAATATTTACTGTACTCTTGCTAACTCCAAACCACAGTATTACTGAGATCATATTTTTTAAAGTACCTTATGTTTTTCAGATTTGATAATGACATATTTTATTGACAGTGCTGGGTAGTTACTTTTAAAAGTATTGTATTGCAATCTTGAGCCACTTAAAAAAAAGTACATAACTAAATTTGCTACTTATATCATTTTTAAGGAAGGTGTTTTGTTATTTTTCCATAAAAAATGAAATAGGCTTAATATTGTCATAATTTTACTCAAGATTGATTATTGAGCACCAAAGCAGCATATTAGAATGATTTCTGAAGAATCATTTGACATGAAATCATAACAAAAAGGATTTAAAAATAGTAATTATACAATATAAATATAAAAATAGCAATTAACAGTTTTATTTTAATAACAATTTACAACATTTACTGTACTTTTGCTCTAAACATAAAATATAAGATCTTGCTAACTCCAAACCTTTAGATGTTTCCATTTAAATATAAAAAAGTACCACAGTAGTGCTAAAATAATATTCTTTAACGTTCCTTGTGTTGTTTAGTTTTTTTCCCCTGATTATTGTCTACAGTGTTTCATCAATGTTTAATGAAAACAGTAAAAGCACAACAGCAAATGTGATATTTAGTTTTTATTCATTCAGTCACATTTAGTAGAAAATAAAGCTCATTTAGGGCCGGCAAACTCTTAAACATTTATCCAGTTGCATAAACAATGCCTGATTAAGACAACAGTAATACTGCTAATGATATTGATCGAGTAGACGGAAAATGATAAGTTAGTCGCACACTACGAAAACGTCACACAGACATGAGGGGAGGAACATCCACCAAACCGAAAGAGAATTCAAGCCATGATTAGTGCAAATATTGGTTCTGTTTATATATTATACTTTACAAAATATCATTCTATGGTTTTAAAGATAAATAGCAAAAAAGTTCCTTTATGTCAAAGATTGTCGGCAGACTCGGAGGGAGAGAGACGGAGAGAACATTAAATGAAGGAATGGTAGTTAAGTGCAGAAGGTTAAAGGTTTAGTTCACCCAAAAAACTGAGTACTCTGTCATCATCATTTCATCACACTTTTATCCTTGTTTTGAACTTCTTCTGTTTGAACAGTGCTGGAAACCTTGAGCCACTGACTCTTATAATCATAAACTTTTATATATATATATATATATATATATATATATATATATATATATATATATATATATATATATATATATATATATATATATATATATATATGCATCTAAACTATATGTAACCCACTGGTCCTACTGCACCCAACCCGTGCTGAGCTGGGATCGAACCGGCAATTCTTTGCATGGGAGTCGGTTGCTCTAACAAGGAGGCTAAAGACCATGGCCTCTAGTGTCTGTCACTAGAGCACCTTTTGAAGCCAGAGGAGTGAGGTTTACCTGCATAACACTTCGCTAGCTGGCCTCTGTTACACTCACCCCCCTAACCTTACTCCCATCGCAGACGAGCCCCCATGTGTGATCCACCAATCCTATTGCACCCAACCTGCACTGAGCTGGGATGGAACCGGTTATTTCTTGCATGGGAGTTGATTGCTCTAACAAGGAGGTTAAAGACCATGGCCCTGAGCGTCTGTCGCTAGAGCACATTTTGAAGGCGGAGGAGTAAGGTTTACCTGCATAACACTTCACTAGCTGGCCTCCGTTACACTCACTCCACCTAAACCTCACTCCCATCCCGGGCGAACCCCCATGTGTAACCCACCAATCCTACTTCACCCATCCCGCGCTGCGTTGGGATCGAACTGGCGATTTTTTGCATGTGAGTTGATTGCTCTAATAAGGAGGCTAAAGACCATAGCCTCTAGTGTCTGTCGCTAGAGCACCTTTTGAAGCCAGAAGAGTGAAGCTTACCTGCATACCACTTCGCTTGCTGGCCTCTGTTACATTTCATTTAATTATGAAACGCATAATAAACCCCTAATGTGCATTAAAAAAGTGATGTGATTAGATAACTAGCCTAACCAGTGAACCAATCTTATCTCATACCATCTCAAATGTTGATTTGATACTTCTGCTAATACCTGAGCGAAAGTATTACTAGGGGTTTATAGATAATATCATACAATTATATTGAATGTTCATATTAAAAAGATACTTTGAAGAATGTTGAAAAAAAGAGTTAACTATTGACTTCCATGGTGGGAAAACTTTGGAAGTCAGTGGTTAGCAGTTTCCTATATTAAAAAAATAATAATAATAATTTAATAATAAATTAATAAATCATTAATAAATTAATAATAAATCAAAGATGAGTAAAAGGTGGCAGAATTTTTATTTTTGGGTGAACTGTCTCTAAGGAATTTATGTTCTGTCTTCCATTCAGCTGCATTTTAACTATCGTAATATGCTCTTAATAGATGTTTCTGACCTTTGTCATTGCATTGTTTTGTTTTACTATTTAACCAAATTCTTGTTTGTCTGACAAATTACTTTATGATATTTATTCTACTCTGAATTAGAAAACGGTTCAATATGATAAAACAACTCAGTGAATTTCCATCCTAAAAATGATTCTGTATTGTTACCTCCTAGAAAAGCTTTACACAATCATTTTCCCAAACAAATGACATACAGCTGTTTCTCTGCTTGCAGAAACTCTCGTTTTTAATTATTAAAATTTTTCATGGGCAGCACAGTGGCGCAGTGGGTAGCACAATCGTCTCACAGCAAAAAGGTTGCTGGTTCGAGCTCTAACTGGGTCAGTTGGCGTTTCTGTGTGGAGTTTGCATGTTCTCCCCATGTTCGCGTGGGTCTCCTCCAGGTGCTTCTGTTTCCCCCACAAGTCCAAAAACATGTGGTATAGGTGAATTGGGTAAGCTAAATTGTCTTTGGTGTGTGTGTGTGTGTGAATGAGTGTGTATGGATGTTTCCAAGTAATGGGTTGCAGCTGGAAGGGCATTTGCTGCATGGAACATGTGCTGGATAAGCTGGCAGTTCATTTCGCTGTGGTGACCCCTGATTAATAAAGGGACTACACCGAAAAGAAAATGAATGAATATTTTTCATTAGTTTTACTGGAAATTACAATTTGTAACGGTCTTGATCACATGGAATGGAAACTGTGTTTTATTTGCAATATTTTTAAAAATAAATGGGTAACTTTGGACAGAAATACAGCTTATGGCTAGCAGTTTCCAGCAATCTTCAAAATATCTTCTTTTGTGTTTAACAGAAAAAAAAGAACTCATAAAGGTTTGCAACCACTAAGGGTGCGTAAATGAGCACTAACTTGATTTCACTAAGTAGGACATGTTCCTGGGGTAACATCTGCATTGATTCTGGAACAACACTCCAATCAGCCAATCAGAGTTAGGGCATATGTTCACTATTTATGTTAAGTTTAGGCTTAAGGTTAGGTTTATGCACTTGATTATAATCATATCTACATGATTATTATCCAACTGGGAATAATTTACAGTTATGGTTGGGTTTAGGGGTAGGGAATAGGTATAGAATTATGTTCTAGGATCAACATGGATGTTAACCCAAAATCGCATCATACTTGGCAAAATCATGACGTGCGTAAATGAGAACCGAATTAAAAATTTTCCGAGTGAACTATCCCTTTAAGAAGGAATGTTAAGTCAAAAGCAGGAGGGAAAGCAAAACAACTCACTGGAGTATGCAAGAATATGAGTGTGCAAAATGACTATGAAATTGATCAAGGTGCAAATTCTCTCTCCCTCCTCTCTTTCTCTCACTCGCTCTCTCCTCTCGGCATCACAATGAGCCCATGTTTTCACAGAGCTTTGGCTCAAATGGTTGTCATGATGCTTCAGAGTTGCTCGGCTCTGAACTCTGATGACCTGTGGGGATAAACAGAGGAATAGAAAGAGAGACAGAGTGAGTGAGTGATGGTCTACTTACGTTACCTGTTTACTAATCTGGCTTTGTTAAAGGTCAGCTCAGAGCCATCTGTCTGTAGACTCACAAACACAGGCAGCACACATACACGATACAGTACATTCACATGGAACACCAGAAAGTTTTCCTCTAATAACCAGGGATGTCAAATACTTGAGTCATTTTACTTGATTGCTGATCTTGATCATTGTTTTGGGGGATTTTTTTATACTTAATCGCAAATTCAAAATGAACTACTTGTATATTTAGTTGAGTACATTTTCTGAAGAAGTACTCTTTATTCTTTACAATTTCGTTTGAGATAAAACATTTTGTTTCCTTCCATCTTGCGCACTTTAATAAGGTAAAGGAACATTAAAATGTGCATTCTTAAAGGGATAGCTCACCCAAAAAATGTCAATTTGCTTACTAATTACTCACCCTTCTTTATTCTGTAAACACAAAAGAAGATATTTTGGAGAATATTGGGAAGCTGTAACCTTTCTATCTGTAACTTCTCTATCACATAGCTATGTTTCCATCCAAAGATGTTAATTCAATTTATAAGCAAAACTGGAATATCGCATATAAGATTCGCAAATAAAGCAGCGTTTCCATCCAATTAAAAATCAACACTTCCTCTATACCTGGCGCCAAATATCAACTGTAAAAACAGAATTTGCTGGGATAGGAGAAGCTGTGTAAATGTTTTTTTTTTTTTAAATAAATTACTTGTTTCTTAGAAGACAATGTAACGAGGCGTAATGAACGTGGTGGCGTTTAAAGGCATGAGACACGGAGCACAGACACTCTTGATAATTCTGGAGGTAATTAATAACATAATAACACTAGTACTGAAACGTTTTACAAGAGCCATAACAACATTTCAGATGTTTTACAATGCGCTCAGCCTGCTGGTTTGTCCATTCACACACTTATAACAAAATCACGACTTTGTTTTAACACGCGTGCTGGAATTTGTTTGGTAAAAGTTCCATCATAGTTTATGCACATCTTTTTTTATTGAACAAAAAAGTTTATCCTACTCAGTTATGCACATATGTTTTTATGGGCATTTTCAATACACAATACGCATTTACAAAATACGCATATAAATAGGTGGAAGGAAACACAGCCAGTGTCTCACCACTCCATCTATAGCTGATGTGTGGTGAGTGCACTGGTGCCATTGTTCTTTGGCTGCAGTCACATCATCCAAGTGGATGCTACACACTGGCGGCGGAGTGGAGAGACCCCCTTTATGATTCTGAAGTGCTTGGCGTGTATGTATGGACATTAAATCCGCTAAATAAACATCACTTACTAATCATTGATTTTCATAGAAGAAAAAACAAATACTATGGAAGTCAATAGTTAGAGGTTTAAAGCTTTCTTCAAAATATCTTCTTTTGTGTTTAACATTAGACTGTCAAGCAAGTTTGGACTACGGCCCTGTTTAAACTATTATGTTTTAGTTTTAAAACGCATTTTTGCTGCGGTTACGCCATCCATCTACACCAGAGATGGGCAAACTCTGTCCTGGAGGGCCGGTGCCTGCACAGTTTAGCTTCAACTCTAATCAAACACACCTGCTTATAAATTTCTAGTGATCTTGAAGACATTGATTAGCATGTTCAGGTGTGTTTGATTAGTGTTGGAGCTAAACTATGCAGGACACCGGCCCTCTAGGACCGAGTTTGCCCACCCTTGATCTACACCAGGCATGTCCAAAGTCGGTCCTGGAGGGCCAGTGTCCTACAAAGTTTAGTTCCAACCCCAATCAGACAAACCTGTGCTAGCTAATCAAGGTCCTACTAGGCTTTCTAGAAACATCTTTGCAGGTGTGTTGAGCCAAGTTGGAGCTAAAATCTGCAGGACACCGGCCCTCCAGGACCGACTTTGGACACCCCTGATCTACACTATGCCAGATTTTTCGAGAAACTGAGCTTTTTGAAAGCAATATAGAGGTCGTTTCATTTTAAAAAACGCTGCTGCTCCATGTTTGTTTGGATTAGGGGAAAATGGAGACATCTGAAAACGGAGGCATCTGATTGGGGCTTTTTCTCAATATTAAGTACACAAAGATCAGTCTTGCAATCTCAATCTCCTTGTAAGTTCAGACTTTATAAGTTTGATATGAAAAACAACCTCCCGAGGACATGTCTGGTAAATCTTTAAAGGTAACCGTGTACTTTATAACATCATTCACATCACTCTGGCTACGTTGTTTCACTATCTTAACAATAAAATGAAAACATGGAATAAGGACCTGCCTATTTTCATTTTGATATTAGCAACTTAACAGACATTAAAAATCTCGACGCATGGTGCAGCTACGTATAGCATATATGACCGTCATCATCTTCACTGTGTGCATATTTAAAACCAAACTGAGCCTATAACACAAATGCCTCCTTTCATTTTCACTAAAAATACGAAAAATACCCCTGTCTCTTTTGCTAAATATCAGTTTTAATAATCAATAATGGCCATTATAAAAGTATAACATACAATAAGTTTACACATTAAAGGGAATAAAGGCAAGCAATCAGTCAAATGTGCAGAATCAGTGTAAGTGGTTACATAAATTAATGTATTAACGTATCTTTGCGCACAGCCAAAACACATTACCTGAGAACAAGTAATCGATTCAAAAGACCAAAGTCAGGAATATTTTGTTAGATAGAGACAAGATGAATTAAATGTCACGCTTAACAAATATAGTAAGATTAGATCCAGCGTTATATCCTTGATGAACAGTCCAAACAGTCTCATCTGGGTTAATGTCCTCAAAGCACATGCCAGAGTGTTTGTGGGGACGTGATGTGCATTTTCAGCAGTATAGTGTGGACAGAGAGCTGTTCAGAAACTCCAGGTGAAACGCTAGTGTGAACGAGAATCGTTTTCATTCTAAAATGCCATTTTAAAACTAAAACGTATTAGTGTAAACAGGGCCTGAGTGAAGGGAGAGTGTGAAGGGAAACTCCCACTGTGTGGGAACTATCCCTTTAAAATAAAAAGAAGTATGTCTTTACAAAGCATTGTTTTTTGGTTGTTTTATAGCTGTGGAACAAAATTAAGAGACAGTTTTAAATTCAAGTAAAAGTAAAAAAAAACTAGTTTTGTTTTGTTCTGTAAACTTCTGATGAAATGACTTCCAAATTCAAAATAAAAACATTCTCATTTAGCTTTTTTATTGCATAAAATAAAAAAAAAGATGTCTAAATATGTGTTTTATTTTATATTAATATTTCGAAGAGTTTAGAAATAAGTATGTGGTGGAATAATCCTGATTTCCTGATTTATTAATCTGACAAATCAACATTTCATTAAAAAATTATATAATAAATGCTTAATATACTTTATTTTTAAATTACAATTTGGTAGATTTTTTTTAGATCTTCAATAAAAAAATACTATTAAAATAATTAAATGATTAAAAACATACTTATAAAATCAGTACTTTTAAAGTCAGTAATTTTTCATATAGCCATTTTCCACTTCAATTTCTTTTTTTTTCCATTACTTTTACTCAATTATATTTTTAGTTAGTCGAGTTAAATGCTTTCACTTGAGTATGATTTTTGAATACTTTTCACACCCCTGAAAATTACCGGAGAGCTTTCCATGCAGACTAAACTGACCAATGCTTTTAAGATGCACATACAAAGACATGCAACAAAACAACACAGTACCAGGGAAATCCAATGACTTATTTATTTTCGGAGGGAGTCTAGGTTTTTTCACAGGGGGTTTGCGATCTGAGGATCTTTCCAGATCACAGCGGGTGTCCTGCTCCATTCCTGAGGGGGTAAATACAGGGGGCACACAGAAGGAGGGATTGGCACTACGTGAGGATCACACAAAGTAAGGCTGAGCTGGAAGATGAAAGCATGCTAGAGCTGGAGATGGTGAATGCGGACCCTCTGCACTCGCTCGAAAAAGGGGAGTTCAAAGAGTGTACCTGTGTCACATGAGTTCGCTTTCCTGTTTCGATGTGGTTTCATGGGACCTCCAGGACTGCTCTTGATTTCATCACCTGAGCAATAGTAAAGGTCATACGTTTGCTATGTTACTGTTTTTCTAAATGAGTAGAAAACCAAAACTTTTTCGGAGAATAATTATAATACAAAATGTTGTAATAATGTACAAATAGTTTGTTTACTTTATGTTTTAGCAAAAAATAATGCAGTGAAGTTAAGAATCATTTTAATATAGTGAATTATTTGTAAACTTACTAACAATACTAATAATCAATCTAAATAAAAACTAAATAAATTGATTAATTAATTTATTACAATAGTCTATAATTTTTTTTTTTTTACAATATAAAGTAATTATGGGGTCTCTATCTCTCTGCCCATCCATCTATCCATCCATCCATTCATTCGTCCGTCCGTCCGTCTGTCTATCTATCTATCTGTCCGTCCATCTATCTACCTTTTTATCTATCTATCTGTCTATCTATCTATCTATCTATCTATCTATCTATCTATCTATCTATCTATCTATCTATCTATCTATCTATCTATCTATCTATCTATCTATCTATCTATCTATCTATCTATCTCTCTCTGTCTGTCTGTCTGTCCGTCCGTCCCTCCGTCTGTCCATCCGTCTGCCCATCCATCCGCCCATCCATCCATCAACCTGTTTATCTATCTATCTATCTATCTATCTATCTATCTATCTATCTATCTATCTATCTATCTATCTATCTATCTATCTATCTATCTATCTATCTATCTATCTATCTATCTATCTATCTATCTATCTATCTATCTGTCCGTCTGTCCATCTATCTATCTATCTATCCGTCCGTCCGTCCATCTACCTGTTTGTCTATCTGTCCGTCTGTCTATCTGTCCGTCTGTCTATCTGTCCGTCTGTCTATCTGTCTGTCTGTCTGTCTGTCTGTCTGTCTGTCTGTCTGTCTGTCTGTCTGTCTGTCTGTCTATCTATCTATCTATCTATCTATCTATCTATCTATCTATCTATCTATCTATCTATCTGTCAGTCTGTCCATCTTCCTGTTTATCTATCTGTCCGTCTGTCCATCTATCTATCTATCTGACCGTCCGTCCGTCCATCTACCTGTTTGTCTATCTGTCCGTCTGTCTATCTGTCCGTCTATCTATCTATCTATCTATCTATCTATCTATCTATCTATCTATCTATCTATCTATCTATCTATCTATCTATCTATCTATCTATCTATCTATCTATCTATCTATCTGTCAGTCTGTCCATCTTCCTGTTTATCTATCTGTCCGTCTGTCCATCTATCTATCTATCTGACTGTCCGTCCGTCCATCTACCTGTTTGTCTATCTGTCCGTCTGTCTATCTGTCCGTTTATCTATCTATCTATCTATCTATCTATCTATCTATCTATCTATCTATCTATCTATCTATCTATCTATCTATCTATCTATCTATCTATCTATCTATCTATCTATCTATCTATCTGTCTATCTGTCAGTCTGTCCATCTTCCTGTTTATCTATCTGTCCGTCAGTCCATCTATCTGACCGTCCGTCCGTCCATCTACCTGTTTGTCTATCTGTCCGTCTGTCTGTCCGTCTGTCTATCTATCTATCTATCTATCTATCTATCTATCTATCTATCTATCTATCTATCTATCTATCTATCTATCTATCTATCTATCTATCTATCTATCTGGGTAGACAGACAGACAGACAGACGGTCTGTCTAATTATTATTACTCTTCATTTTGAAATTTTTTTCACAAAGTATTATTCTATTCAGGGATCTTTGGCAACACTTGACAATCAAGTTCTGCATCTTTTAGAACTCAGGATCTCTTTTATACATGTTGTGATTCGAAATGCAACTGTAGCATATGAAATATTAATCGCCTCATCCAGTATGACATTTAAACATCAATGTTGTCCCTGAATTACCTTGAAGTAAAGCAGAATCTACTGAAGTGGAATGAAACACAGGCTTAGCAGAGGTGGGCGGAGCAGCTGGTGGCTGATGCTCATTGGCCACGTCATGCGGCGAGGAGCCAATGGGAGACGTGTGAGGTGAATAATAACATGGCTGAAAGGAACAACAAAGTCAAAATCTGTTACGTAACAATCACTCACTTTTGCGTCTTTTTGGGAAACTACCATCCAAGCACCTTTTCAGGGATCAGTGGAGTCTGTCCTTGTGGTTTTTGGTCTTTTAGGTCCTCTCCACATCTTCCGTTCTCTTTTTCCTCATCCTTTTCCCTTAGCTCTCCCGAATCTTCAGTAGATTTATCTAGGGACCACAAATAACCACCATGAGTGAAGATATAAAAAATTATATGGTTATTACATCAGATATAAACTTGTGCAGTACCAGAACTCTCCTCCAGATGGCGCTGCCGTGTCTTTGCAAGGCTTGGTTTGGTGCTCTGAGGCGGCGGATCGGGTCTTTTTCTGGTTTCCAGCAGCTGAGGATCTATTACACCGTCTGCCTTTTTCTGGCTGTCTGACTGTGATTCCTGTCTTCCTGATTCCTGTCTGTCTATAGACGGCGTGTGGCCTTTAGCGACAATATCCGAATGCCGGTCAGTCTCATGCTCTCTGTATCCAATCTCTTCAGATGAGCCGAAAACCTCGCTGTAATCAGGCGACTGCAGGGAAGAGAGAGGCCGGGTGTGAGGGACTGTGGTAAACACGTCATTATGCTCATAAAATTCCTATTTAGTTCCCAAATTGATCAAAAACGAGTGATGCTAGTGTTGTATTACTGGCTAATGAAAACAATTTCCTTCCCTCCTCCAATGCATGCTCTCAGCACCGCCTGCAGCATAAAAGCAATATTTCTGGAATGGCAAATATAAATATTAGTAGCAGGGTTAACCTAATTTAATTTAGGAATTGGTTTTGCTATTTGACTGAATTGGTCAGAGGCCACAGAGTGTTGGAGTTTTATGGCATGGAAAGGAATTTAGTAAATTATGAATTAAAAAATGCTAACAATCAAGCAATTTTTTAATGCCTTTTACCTGGTAAAGCCCCCTAGATTAGGAACTTAGGTAACACTTTATTAAAACTGTACGCTATGAATCATTTATTAAGCATTAGCAAATAGTCAATTCGTTATCTGTTAAGCATTAACTCAACATAAACAGATGTTAGTAAGCAGTTTATAACTGCAGATACAAATGCTGTATTTTTGACTTATAAACACATGTATAATGTGCTTAATGATTGTAATTTTCATATTTTGTTAATTATTATTCTTTCATTAGTAAATTAAGTATTGCTTCATTTACAAACACTTTATTTGAGAGAATTTGCTGCTTTTTAAAGATCATTCAGAATGTGTTAGTAAATGATTAATAAACTAAGTTAACATTTATGTATCTTATTATTCAGGCATACATTATCAGTTAATGTGTATGTCAGCACATGCTTTACTAAATCAACTTCATCAAGCTTTGTGACCTAATCTAAAGTGTCTCCCTATAAATGACAATTAAAGACTCAGTTATATTTTAAACAGTAAAAAGGAAAATAAATGACTTCATTAATTTCTATTCATTTAGAGATACACAAACGAAACTGTCACGTTCGGTGAGGGGAAAAAGGAGCGAGGACTCAAGTGCAGCAAATAATGGGTGTTTATTAAGAATAAAATAAAAACAAAAAGGCAAAACAAACAACCCCGAGGGGGAAAACTCTTATTAAACAAATAAACGAACAAACAAACTTGACTAGACTGGCAGGACAAAGACAGGGCTGGACACAAGACAGGAAACAATCGACGACGAACTGGCAAAGCACTGAAAACATGAGGGGGATTATAAAGCAAAAAGTAAATCGACACAGGTGAACACAATTAACTAATAATGGGTTAACAAGGAGGGTGGGACTAGACAATAGACGGGAGAGCGCATGACACAGAGAGACAATACAAGCCATGCGCTAACATAACACAACACTGAAGCACACGACAAAAGCACGTGACCACAATGTAAACACGAGCCACGTGCTTTGACAAAAGACGCAAGACACGAGCACACGATGAATGAAAGCACTCACCGTGCGCTCACACACGCAGCGTGCATGCTTCATCCCAGCGCCAACCAAAACCGAAACCAACAAGACTGAGACGCTGGGAATGAAACACCACGCTGCTAACAGACGAAAACACAAACACTAGTACAAGAGCGCGCGCGTCTGACGGGCGCAGTGCGTGCGCGGCCACATCAAGCGGCATCGCGCACACTCTGCGTACACCCTTGACGGCGCGCGCGCACACAGAGACAGCAACAGGACCGGACATGGGTAGTGTCAGAGCTCTGCTACCAAAACAAGAATTTACAAAGACCAGAGTGGCAGAACCCTGACACGAAACTGTATCAACTGAAAAATAAATCTTTGCAATCTTAACTAAAATAAATTTACTGTGTGCAGTTTAAACTTCGCTAAATAACATCGAAATGTTGAATCGTAATGTAATGTTAAATTGTTTTTGTCGTTTTATCCAGTTTATATTTTGACACTTCTGTTATTCAGATGCATTGTTCATTTGATACTGAACCTTTAATTGTCATTTATCAGGTATTCATAAAGCATAAATAGTTCTTTCTTTAGATCAGGTCACAGTTAATCAGTTAATAAAGCATTTATTAACAGAAACAATAAACTATTAATATATGCATGAATAATAATATATAAATGTTGATTTGAATAGTTTATTATTCATTTACTAGCTCATTCTAAATGATCTTAAAAGTCTCCAACTACTCTTAAATACTACTGATTTTGTAAATAATGTGATACTTAATTTAGTCGTTACTTATTCGCTTTTTATGAAGTATGAAATAACAATTATTAAGCACATTTTAAATCTGCTTGTTAGTTAAGAGTAGAGCATTTGTATTTGCAGTTATAAACTGCTTACTAACATGTATTAATGTAGAGTTAATGCTTAACAAATAATGAATTCACTATTTGCTACTTCTTAATAGATGATTCATAGTGTGTAGTTTTTCAAAAACGTTACCGACAATTATTTATACCAGCATTATTTGTATGAAATTCATTATGGTCAAAATCACAACCTTTAAAATCATTTCCATTTTCCAAGTAGCACCCTAAAATGTTCAACACTGCTTTTTTAAAAATAAAAATAGTATAACAAATTATGTAAATGATAGGATTCTTAAGAACAAAAGTTCATTGAGGTAAAAATTTGATAAAATAATTTTAACATTATAACTTAATGAATTACAATATGCTGTGTAGATTAAATATATATTTTGAGGGTGGTATTTTAAACTGATTATTGACACAATCAACTATTACTTAAATGGAGCTTATTTAAATTTATTATGTATTATTATTAATATTATTATTATTTCATTCTACATTTATTTAAAATTAAATGACCATTTTGAACGTCATTTTAAAGAGAAAGTTCACTCAAAAGTAAAAATTATGTCACAATTTACTTAATTTAACCCTTTGGCTGCCCCTCTACCAAACAGTTGCCCGTGTTATTACTGTTTTAAATAATGACTGTTAAAGTAATTTAAAAAATGACTGTTTTAAATAATGGTTTACACGCACAGCATTGTTGGTTTACAAAAAATAAATAAATAAATAAAAACAATAAACAAATATAATCCTGCTGCACTACTACACTTGATTTTGGTTTATTGTAAAAAACAAACAAGAAAACAAGTTAAATGAGAATCTCAAATGGCATACTTCAAAAAAAGGTGATTTAGTATTCAAAAATGTTTTATTTTGATTATGTTTTTTAAATAAATTGTTCTTCCACTTTATATTTTCATAGTATATGTGATAATTCTGGTATTTTTACCATAAACCAACATATCTACCATTTGGTAGAGGTTAACATTTTAGAAATTATGGGATGTGTGTTAATGAAATTGAGTGTGTTAACTAGTGACAGTAGGAGTTAAGAAATGCAATCCAAACAATTTTGTCTTGGTGGTGCAGTTAAAGGGTTAAACCAATTTGAGTTTTTTTATTCTGTTGAACACTAAAGAAAATATAAAAAAAAAAACTGGAAACTTCCATTAAAAAAAAAAAAAATTATATATATATATATATATATATATATATATATATATATATATATATATATATATATATATATATATATATATATATAATTGAAACCAATAGTTAGAGGTTTCCAACATTCTTCAAAATATCTTTTTTTGTGTTAAACATAAAAAAAACTTAAACTGGTTTGAAACAAGTGAATAGTAAGTAAATGATGACAGAATTCTGAGGTTTGGGTGAACTATCCCATTAAATGTGACTTTACCTGTCTGTGTGAGAAGCAGGAGGGGCTGATTCCCATCATTCCTGGCAGGGGTATACCCTGAACAGGCCGTCCTGACAGCTGAGGGGTCCTCTGAACACCAGGCCCTACCAGCCTCCCATTGGTGCCTTCAGTGCTTCCATCTAACCTCCCGCGATCTTTTGGGTGTTGAATCAAGGAGTACACATTCTCAGTCGCGATACTGAGAAAGCAAAAGACGAAAATCAGTAATAAAGGTGTCATATTATGCCCTTTTAACAAGATATGTCAGGTGTCCCCTGAGAATGTCTATGTGGTTTAGCTCAAAATACCTCACATCTATTATACCATACTGTAAATGCAGTTTTTTTTTTTTTGAAAGTTATAAGCATGTTTTTGTGCATCTTTCAAATGCAAATAAGCTGCTGATCTACACCCCTTTTGAAGACGAGGGTGGAGCCTTGTTTTTTAACCCTAAATATCAGGTACCTGCCTTTAAACAGATAAATAAGATAAAACGACAGCGTTTGTTTTGTCTGCCGCTCTGAGGCACAATGCATTTATTATAAAAGATAAAGAGCTAAAATGGCTTCTCTACTTGCAGAAAATTACATTAGATTATTGATGCATCATGCTAGCTTTTCCAGGAAGTGTTGATTTTGCTCACTTAAACACATGGCAGGAAAACAGAACTTTATTGACAATTTTAAATGTAAACAAAGAAACTGAAATCAATAAGAAATGCTCTTTGAGCAGCAAAGTAATGATGAAGTACCTTTCTATCACACCAATTGATGACATGTTTAAATATACTACTACAACTTTTTTTTATGCATTTAACATGCAGATGGTTATGGGGGTTTTAAATAAAGGTTTCACATTATGTGGATGAATGCATTTCCATCATGCATTTGTCCTATGGCTTTATGCTAAACGAAACAAAATTTTGGCAGTGTGAGAGGTTTTCACCCTTTAAAAGGAGGACGTCAGATCTGCAGTTTATAAATTATTTTGCAAAAAATAAAAAAATAAAAAGCTAGCTGTTTCCTTGCAGTTTCCTAGATGTAAACAAAATCAGTTGTCGACTCTGTTTGCCTTTTGTTCATGATATCAGGCTGAGAAATATTTACATCAAATTGTATATTTATCTGCATATATACTGACTTTTTTGACTTCCAAATCTAATGACTCGTTTATCGGTACTGGTCATTATGGTGCATCCAAAAACAAAAGAGAGAAAAATAGACTGTATTTTTGTATCTTTGATCAATTCAAGCCCAACATAGTATATTTCTTTCAAAAACATAAAAAAGACCAACCCCAAACTTTTGAACTACTTTATTATAAATCATTATTATTTTTTTTTAAAGTACACATGAAATCAAAACTAACCGCATTGATTCAATTAGCTTACATTGCTAGTTTTGTAGTGAACAATAAAATTATAATCTGAAAAAAATGCACTTCCTGTTTGTTTTCAGTTAAATTCTCAGATTACGTCTGTCTGAGGTACTGACCGTGTTCAAGAGCTTAGAATCACCAAGAGGCGACACTCAATAGAACGTTCATTGCAACAGCAGCACCCAGCAACAGCCCCACGATTCCGTCATTTTGGAGTGAAAGCGAACGGTCGTCCATTGGATCTTATTGCTGTTGTGATGACAAGCAGCTGCTTTGTTTTTTTGTTTTTTGTTTTTTTTTGTTTTAAAAGCAATGTTAAAGCTGAAATACAACCTTACAGTCACAAGACGGGTGATCATAAGCACTTTTAATCGTTTATTTTACAGACTTAATCTTTAATATATTAACCATACTTGTTTTCTTGAAACTGTCACTTTAAGGTGAAATTACTTTAAATTATATTAATTGAATAGTTTACGCACTAGCATAACACAAATGAATACTGACATGTTAAATTAAATTAATGGGATGTTGAAAACAGAACACTTTGTTGCAGTATTATATGTTATAATAGTATTTTTCCAGTGTTGTCTGTTAAAGAAAGACTAATAAAGCTTTTATGTATAATATGTTAATATATTATTAGAAATATGTCTTCTGATCTAAATCCTGTTGAACCCATGGGGAATTCTGAAGACAAATTAAGTTGAGCATCTCTTTTAGCAATTCTGAAAGAAGGGTCGTTATTAAGAATAGAAAAGATAAATGTTGCAAAATGTAGCCAGCTTGTTCATCCCATGAACATTTTTCTGACCAGTGCTTCAGCAATCTACACGCATACAACGGGGGATTCGTCAGCCATTTGTTAAAGTAAGGATCAGAAAAGACTATAAATGTATAGGACTTTGTCAGAGCTTAACAGGAACTTTACAGTACTCAGTTCAAGGACCAGTTTCTTTCTCCATTTAACAAGTGTAAGTGATTGGATTAAAATTGTTGCCTCCTTGTATTCTCTAGCTTGCAAATTATTTATCTAATTGTCACTTGTTACCGCTTGTACTGTAAACTCTTTATAGTCACATATTGTGACTAAAACCACATTGAAAGTTAAAAGTTTTCCGGGAGAATTAACAAAACGGGAGGGAGGCGGGAGATGGGTCTGAAATACGGGAGACTCCCGGGAAGGTATGCTCGCACATACACTCTCCACTTTGACTACTTCCAATATTGTTGATAAGCCATGGTGGGCATTTCTCTCGTCTCGTGCAGAATGCTGTCAACCAATCAAAACAGGCTGTCATCTGTCCAATCAGCGCAGATTAGCATCGTGCTAAAGAGGGGTTTAGGAAAAAATGGATCACTGAACGAATCATATGGAAGTTGTTGGGATAATTAGATAAATGAATATTATTGTCACGGTTATAGGTGTGTGCGCACTAGTGAGTGTCTGTTTGGTCACATGGTTTTGTTTTGGTGTTCAACGTGTGTCTGACGTCAGTGTTTTTGTCACGTGCTATGTGGAGTCCTGCTGTCCTGATTAGCCTGCCAGCTGCGACTTGTTAACTCAGCTATATCTAGGCAGCATGTCTCTTGTCTCGTGTCAGTTCGTTAATTCTCTGCTGATCATTCTGTTTGTGTTTAGGACTGGCGAGGAGTCCCTTTCTGAGACGTAGCTTCTTGGTTCCCTGTATGTTCCCCTGATCCCCGATAGAGTCGGAATATAGCTTGTTTTTGTTTGTTTATTTCTTTTTGTGTTACTTGTGATACTATATTGACTGCGTCAATAAAGTATTTTTACTTGCAATTGGATCCTTCCATTACTTATACACGATAGTAACAATTATAAGACAATGATAATATTGTTTGACAAGTGTTTTTTGACCTTAAATGCATATCAGACTGTTGTTGGAGACCCCCAAAACCAAAAATATGACCCTTTTAATGCATAATAGGGGCTCTTTAATAGTGTGTTCCTCAAGGAACTGCATCACAAAACGAAAAAACAAACATCACAGCTTCCTGTTCATGTGGATTTCAAAATACAATTCACTCACTTAGTGCGACATTCCTCCCCGCAAGCCCCGCCCCTTCCTGTAGGATCAGGCTCCTGATAGGATATGGTAGAGTTTCGGTTCTTCCTGAATCCCGAAAAGATTGACAGCACACTGCGTCGTTTCTTTCTTCTCAAAGCCTGAGCGTGATGGTGAGACGACAGCTGACTGCAGGACAGAGATACGGGGTGTCAGAGATAAGATAACACCCACATTCGTGCAAGCCTGCTATCCCTTCAACCTTTAAAAAGTGAGCAAATGTGACACCGTCATAGTTAAGACTTCATTACCACACAGAAGAGTTTCAGTACTGAAGCACCTGTCTGGTAAAACTCTCTTGGTGTAAAAGTCGGGCAGTCCATCATCCAATAGAGATACTCCACCATTCTCCGAGCAGTGCTAGAGGACGACAAGAGAAATAATGATGATGATGATGTGTGCTTCTGAGGACTGGGCCTGGAGTACATCATCTCTCTAAATTTGTGTTAGTGGATGAAGCTGTCACGCTACTGTATAACACCATCTGGGGTTTGTTCATTCGTATTATGTCAGCGCATTAATTTGATCAACCGACACAACAAAGACACAGCTTGCGGGCACTAGGACTGATCAGAAGTGATTGAAAAGGAGAGCGTTTTTAAAGCGTTCATTTTGGAGACCCTGCAGGAAACATCTGGGCCTGCGTTTAGACAGATTTCTTGGAACAATCGAGTTAACAAGAGAGCATGATTAAAATCACTGCCGTCCTTTTCCCGTTAATGGATCGAATGGTTGCAAGTTAATCGTTTTTTATGTCATATTTGCCGTTTGTTTGAGGAATAACTGCTGCGGGATCTATAAATCAGTGCGGTTTTGAATTCATTTGAAACTAATTGTCTGTAATTACGCAATCTTCAAAAAATATTACATTGCTATCAGTCTTGAAGAAAAAGGAGCAATCAAAGAAGTCACCGTTAACATGAAAGTACCAATCATTTTCAAAGACAGAGTTCATCCAAAATTGAAAATACTGTAGCTATAAGGTTAGCCACTCTCAGGTCATCCAGGATGTTGGTGATTTTTTTACTTTTTTTTTTTAATTTCTTGATGATTCATTAAATACAGCCCAACAGCTAATAGTACTTCAAGATTACTTAAAAATGATAATAAAGTATTTCATCAAGCAAATCCATCAGACCTCTTTTTTTGTTAATGAGCATTTTCTACCAGGCTCCTCTGATTAGGTTCAAAAGTTTTATTTTATATGTTATGATAAAGGTTATTAGCGTGTTAATAAAATACCTTAAAAAAAAAAAACTAACTTTAGACAATTAATTGGTATTTAACAAGGTGGATTGGTAACACTTTATAATAACTACACACTAAGAATCATTTACTAAGCATTAGTATCTAGTGAATTCATTATTTGTTAAGCATTAACTCTACATTAATAAGTGTTAGTAAGCAGTTTATAACTGCAGCTACAAATGCTGTATTCTTGACTTATAAGCACCTATGTAATGTGTTTAATGATTGTATTTTCATACTTAGTTAATGATTTATATTTTATTACTAAATTAAGTATTGCATTATTTACAAACCATTTGTATTTAAGGGCAGTTGAGGGTTTTTAGAAACATTCAAAATGAGTTAGTATACATATATATACAAATAGTTAACTAATATGTTAATAAATGCTTTATTAACTCAACTTTACGCAGTTTTGTGACCTAATCTAAAGTGAGGACTATTCATTCTTTATAAATCCCTTATAAATGACTATTAAAGGCTCAGAATCAAATTAACAATAATCTTTGCAATCTTTTCTAAAAAGTAAAATTACTGTAAAGTTTAAACAATGCTGAATAACAGGAGTGTTAAAATATGACATAAAACAGGACAAAACAACAACAACAACAATATGATAATTTAACATTATAATAAGATGCAATGTTTAACCTCTACAGTGATTTTATTTTAGGTAAGGTTGTAAAGATTTATTTTTCATTTGAAGTACAGTTTCATTTGTGTATCTTTAAATGAATAGAAATGAATAATGTCATTTTTCCTGTTTAGAATTTAACTGAACTTTTAATTGTCATTTATAAGGGATTTATAAAAACATAAATAGTCCTCACTTTAGATTAGGTCACAAAACTAGATGAAGTTGAGTTAATAAAGCATTTATTAATATACATAACCATTAATATAAGCCTACATAATAAGACATATACACGTTGATTTCAATAGTTTATTAATCATTTACTAACTCATTTTGAATTATCCTAAAAACCCTCAACTACTCTTAAATACAACTGGTTTGTAAATAATGTGATACTTAACTTAGTAATGAAAAATAAATCATTAACTAAGTATGAAAGTACACCCATTAAACGCATTATATAGCTGCTTATAAGTCAAGAATACAGCATTTGTAGCTGCAGTTATAAACTGCTTATTAACAATTATTAATGTAGAGTTAATGCTTAACAGATAATGAATTCACTATTTGCTAATGCTTAATAAATGATTCATAGTGTGTAGTTATTATAAAGTGTTAACGGTAGATTTTCTTTTGTGTCAAAACCAGCTAAATCCACCAGTGCTTTTTTTGCAAAAACCTCTAAATCCACCTATTGAGACAAGATAGTGTAAGTAGTTGAAAATCACTAAAGATGCTATTATAAATTATTTAAAAAAATATAAAACACCTCAAATTAAAAATTGAATTAAAAAAATAAAAATAAATCTGTCAAGTAATTGGCGGTTCATTCTGCTGTGGTAACCCCTGATAAACCATCAATCAATAACATTAAACTGACATTAAATCTTAACAATCTGTTGTCATTTCTGATATTTGGAATTTAGATTTAATGTAAGTAGAACAATGTAAACATTACAAACATTGTAAGCTAAGCTTGGTAGATTCAAATAATGTAGTGTAAAAACACTGTGAAACATCAATATCTGTGCATTGTCCATTAATGAAAAAAGCTTATCAGATGTATAGGTATTATGAAGTAATGTAAATAATGTATAGTTTTATACATTATATATGTCTTTAAAAAAATAACTTAAATTAGCAAATAAAACACAAGGTAGGTCTACTGTGCAAAAAGGGGATGACTCTCAGACGCGTTTAGAAGCTGTCATACATTTATTCTCACCATACTTAAGGTCTTGATCCCTTGTTTATCCATATAGCATCCTCATGGGATAAAAGGACGGCATCTTAACTTAGTCTTTCGTTAAACGCAGTTGCCGTGTAATGTATAATAATCGGACGCATTCAAAGTAGCGTCACTGCGCAAAAAAATCATTTTGAATGCATGCTACACTTCAAACTGTACATTGCGTTTTCTTTTTCTTATAATGCAGTTTTGAGGTAAGGAACATTTTCAATTGTCATCCATTGACAGTCAGACAAGCTCAACCAGTTCATTAAACTCCGTCTTTTAAAATCGAATCGGAAAGTGGAATAAAACTGTTTCTTTATAAAAGCCAATGTATCAGCGCGCTGCTACCTTAAAAATATATAACTCGACTCACGCCTTCTGATTGGTTCTCTGGATATAGTGGCATTTGCTGTCAAAGGCAAATGGCTTTTCAAAAAACTGTGATTTCTGAAATGTGCTGACGCTAGGATTTGGATGATTAGAAGCAAATCTATTTGTTGTTGGTGTACTATGTGCCTAAAGCATTCACTTAATGTCATTAGCTCATTTTTGGCGGAAGTGCGTTTAGCGGCTTTTGCATCGGAACTCTTCATATATACTCTGACCATTCTGTGTCAAAAGGGAAATCCCAGCCATTGTTACAGTGACAGAGTTGAATCCACTTTTAAAAGGATTTTCTTCCAGCTAACAAATGTAAAAACCCTGATAACCTGTCAGAGTCCAGACGCAAACCATATGCTGAAATAGTTGGCATTGGCAGTTCATTCCGCTGTGGCAACCCTGATAACAAAGGGACTAAGCTGAAGAAAAATGAAAGAGTAGCAGATTTTATAAATAGCATTACACATAACCATGAGCCGATAATTGTGACATGCAAACATTAAGATATAACCCACTATAAATCAACCAATCAGATGGGCATGTGGGCGGAGCTCTCACTCCAAGCACACTGAACTTGCAATAAAAATGTGAGGTACCTACTCTATATTCTTCATAAATATTAAATAGCATTTTAACATTACTGAAAATACATTAACATTTAACATTACTGAAAATAAATTTTTTTATCTAACAATTTTTATCTATCTAGTAACAGCACCTTTAAATTTATTTTATTTAAATGATCTGAGATAGGACCTTACACACTTGAAATGGTTAACCCTGAGTCAGTCTAAACCCTGGTTAAAGGTTATTCTCTATTTTTTTACGCTGCTCAAATTTCACAGCTTCAGAACTGTACAATTCATATATTGATGTTTTACACAACTTTGGCTTAATGTCCTTATTTGCATGTTTGCAGTGCAACTAGCGTGCATTACTCCTCTAGTATTACACAACCACTTAGTATACTGTATACTGCAAAAGTAGTAGCAAATTTCCTGAATGGACTTCAGGAAATTGAGGACTATAAATCTAAGTGGGGTAGCAAGGTGGCCTTCTGTCGCCTCACAGAAAGAAAGTCGCTGTGGTGACCACTGTTAAACAAGGAACTAAGTTGAAAGAAATGGAATGAATAAAGGTAGGAATAAAACTGTTCTTCACTCCAATTAACATTTTCCCCTCAAATGTTGAAACGCCTGTTTGACAAGCTGTGTTTCTGTGCTGTCAGAGCATCAAGCTCTAATATTTAACACTGCGTCATTTCACACTGCAATGTTTGACACTGCAATGCAGGTAATAATAATAAATTGATGATAACTGAGGTAAAAAGTGCACCTAAACATTTTTAATGCTGATAATCCAGGGTATAGTATATGGCAATAAAGACTGTACATATATTCAAATTCATATTACATACATTTAGGAGTAAATATTCAGTATGAGGGATTATCACAGAAAATAGTTTCCGAACATTTTCTAAATCTAATGTAGGACATGTAACGTTATACACAGAAAAAAGATCATTTATCATGTATTGCATTAAGACCAGAGCATACTGGGACCTTTCGCCGACATTTTACCTGTAACTAAACAAAATGCGATAATGTGACACAAAATCCAGGCGTAAAATCATTATTTTAAAATAATGGCTCTGGATTGTTTTTTTTTTTTTTTTTTTTTTTGATGCACTACATTAAAAACTGGTTGACCAATGAGATTGGAGCTTTTGAGTTGCTAAAGTTTAAAAAACAAGATTGTAGAGCTCAAGCACAAAGCATTTAGTGGAGCACACAGGAATTGCAGATCAAATAGTATTTGATGTGGAGTTCCTATTCACTTCATTTTCTTTCATGGTTTGTAACTTTTGTGTGTGTGTGTGTTTGTGTGCTTTAGTGCAGGCGGTTAAACAGAAGTGGAAATGCCTGCCAGATAAATAAACAAGGAAAAGCAAGAGGGTGGCTTCTTTTTCTGTGCAACCATCCAGTGTGAGAAGGTCAGGTAGTGATTTTGCACATTTACATGGCTCATCGCCTATGAAAATTGCTTGGGTATGAATGTCTCGAAAAACGCTGATGATAAGCCAGAGCGAAAATCATCCTGGTTTGCACAAACCTTTACTCTACATGGTGAAGATGCTTTTATTATAGTTATGTTACCTATAGATGGTATAAAGTTTTGATGTACTTGTTTTTTTGCATTTGTTATCATGTTTTGTAATAAACAGTTAATGATAGTCAAACAGTCTATGATATTCCTTTCTTAAAGTTACTATTAATATAGATTTTTATACATGTTGCATGCAATGCATTTTCCTTTCAATTCTATTTAATTCTTGTTAAGGATAAAGAGAAATCTGCTTACGAAAACCTGTGTGTGTGTGTGTGTGTGTGTGTGTGTGTGTGTGTGTGTGTGTATGTGTGTCATTGTGTTCAGAAGAATCCAGAACTGACTCTTGCACTAGTCTGCTTAATAAAAGAAACTGCTGGAAGTCTGCAGGGCATATAAGTGATTCTGCGACAACATTATAAAGAAAGCCTCTGGAGTCGCAAATCTAAACACAACTATGTTTGTCACCGATTTAATTACAGGTGAAATAAGAGCATTCAGTTTGATCGGATTGTGTTCTCCAACAATACACTAAGGTCCCATTCTGTGAGCAGCATATTTGTATGAAACTGAACTGAGGACAATATTGATCATAAATAAATCTTGAAGATGCGACTAATAGTAGACTAGAGGGCTATAACATGACATGTAGCACAGCCTGAAATGATCAGAGAGCAATGTTCCGATGTATTGTCATTTTGTGACATTTATTTCAATTAATTTTCCTAATTTTAACACAGAAAATGCTATATAAACACACAGCTCTGAACAAAAATAAACAGACCTAATTGAAATTCTCAGCTTTTCTGGACTGACAATGTATAAGTATGTGTTTTGGGAAAAGCAATATTTGTTTTATTCTGCATCAAAACATATAAAAAACAATTGATATTTTGCCCAATTTTTATTTCCTGGGGGAAAAAAAGCTATATGTAAATGTCAATGTTCATATTTAAAATTTGGAAGATATGTGATTGGATGTTTAGAGGTTAAAACAAAATTAACATTATACCCAAAAACATACCTAGTAAATCCAGTACGTCCAGAGAAACTTCAAATATTTAAGTATTATCATATATATTTTTTCCATAGCTATGAATGTACACTGCATTTATGGTGTGAAAATATTGAAAATGGTTTAATTGCTACCGTCTCAAATGGAGCATGCGCAGCCCTGTGTCTTCTTGGTGGACGGGGCCTGACGTGGGTCACATGACGCAGCGGTGAACCCTGAGTGGGCAGTGTGGCCAGACCTTCCCATGAGGCTGAGCGTGAAAGAGGAGCAGATGACTGAGGAGTGGAAACTAAAGGTGAGGAGTTAGGGTCTTCACCTAGACCTGGAGAAGAGTGAAATATGATAAAATGATCAAAGGGATAGTTCACCCAAGAATAAAAATGTACTCACCATTTATTCACCTTCAAGTGGTTCTAAACCTTTAATATTTATTATTTTTTTGAACACATTGACTTCCATAGTAGGACAGAAAATACCATTGAAGTCAATGGCTGCTGGTTTGCAACATTCTTTAAAATATCTTATTATGTGTTCAACAGAGAAAAGAAAGTCAAACAGGTCTAGGAAAGGATGAGTAAATGATGGTGAACTATCCATTTAATTTACCACATAAATTACCTATTGCAAAAAATCAGATGTAAAGTTTAGTGAAAGAGATTATAGTGGTGGATTATAGTGTAGAATAGTCTTTAAAAATCCCTGTACTTTTTTATTTTTTTGTTTATTTGTCAGTGCTGTTTTAATTTTTAATAGTTTGTAAGCATGATTAAGTGTAAAATTTTTTGCTAATTGATTGTGTATTAAATGTTATATAATTAAAAAATATAAATTAAGCAAAAAATATTATACAAACATAAGGTTATTGTTATAATTATTAGCGATCTAGCGGCTGCATTACATGGACTACAAATTTCAGTCGTGCGCCACTCACACACACCTGTTCCTCATTCAGTAGATTACGCACACTCATAGCTGGGAGCTGCTTATGAACAAGGACTATTTATACAGTGCACGCACACACATTAGTTCTGAGTCTTGTTTTATTGAATTGTGAACATTACAACGCGTTTTCCCAGCCTTTTCAGTTTTGACCCTCGCTTTGTTTGTTTTACTGTTTATTCTTGTCTGCTGCCTGCCTTCCGACCACTTGCCTCTTATTTGTTTACGACTCTGGATTATCTGTATATACCAGTTTGCCCCTGTGTTACATCAGTATACCTGACTTGTCTGATTTAGTCAGATTTATGACTACAACTTTTAATTATTAGGTGTTTTAAGTTAAAACCATAATGCCGATCAATTGACATCATTAAATAAATGTTAAATATTAAAGTAAGATTAAAATCTAATATAAAGGGTTAACACTTACGAATGTCTAGTTGAGTCAAGTGTACTTTTCTAGTCATTTGAATGTCTGGCTGGAAACGTCCAGTCTCATACACTTTTTTTTTTTAACATTAAAAACAGCTCGTTATGCAGCTTGATGTGGCAAACTGATATTGTCTTATTCTATCAATCTATTGTCTGTATAGTCATGAACACATTTGTTTGTAGAGCAAGTAGTTTGATCATTTTCTGCCGTTTACAATCCCTCATTTCTCCCACAATCGCAAAAACCAGCCCACTTCCACATTTTAGACTAATGCCAATAAAGCAGGCAACCTATTTCATGTATTATGGCAATGTCTAGAAGTCCAACATTTTTAGAGATAGGTTCATGAATAGCTTGTAAAGATATTGCAGACCCAGTATGACTTTTGCCCAAACTTATACATACTTGGCGAACCCTGTCCCTTAAGCCACATGAATAAAGCTGACTCACAGTGAATATAGAGCTGTATCATGCTAGGCAGAAGGGTGATTGTTAAAAAACTGGAAATTCCAGTAGACCTCGGATCTTTGAGTGGATCTCAGAGTTAGGACGAGTTGCAGCTTTTGAAAAAATTCTCCAACAGTTTACATGGATGAATTGAAATTTATTTTGATAAATGGAAATGGTTTGGTTTACTTACTCAATTTATATGAAGCTTTTTCTTTATTGTATTTATTTTGTATTGTTCTGCTTTTATGTTAATGCTCTCTATTTGATTTTCATGTGCATTATTTGAAACAAGAAAAATCAATAAAAAAGATAAAAATCAAATCATAAAAGAATAAGGTCAATATTAAGTTCAACTTTACATAGCTTAAAAATTCAGTTCGAACCTGATTGACTTATTAAAATATGTTAAAGTGATATAAAACGTAGTTTTTTTGTCATAGTTTTTTACAGTGTGGTAAATATAAATGAATTCAAAGATGTAAAACTGCAAAAAAAAAGTGTCTTGAAAGTCAAAGTGTCTTGAAAGTGTCTTGGTTTGATAATTAATCGCTTAATTTTCAGAGAGCATATTTGTGTTCATTTTTTTAAAATCATTTTAATTTACTTTTTCTATTTTCACAACAAATACAGCCAATACAAAACAATAAAACACAAACAACACAAAAATGTAATACTTGAACACTAAGAGTTATTTTTTTTTAAATTACATAATAATAAAACCATTTTTAACTAAATTATTAACTGAAAAATAGATGAAACATTCAGAAAACACAACACTAAACTAACAACTGACAAGCCTTATGAATGTTAAAAAACTGAGTTAAAATGTGATATGACGGATGAATGAATCTAAACTGAAAAATGTATGAATCAACCAAGACTTAAAAGCTCTGAATGAATGAACTAAAAACTAAATGCCAGTCCTCGTTTCATCTTTCGTAATGTGTGTGTGTGTGTGTGTGTGTGTGTGTGTCTTTTTTATGTGGTTTAAAGACACATCGTCGTATAATGACAGTGGTATAACCTAGTACTCTATTAGGGTGGTTTATGAGGACACACTTTGTGTCTTCCTAATTCAAAAGGCTGACAAATCAAGCTTAATGATATCTTTTAACATTCAAAATTTGCCACAGGTTTTCTTTGAGGCTTGAGTTTAAGGGGTAGATGTGCCATATACACTACCTGACAAAAGTCTTGTCGCCTATTTAAGTTTTAGGAACAACAAATAACTTGACTTCTAGTTGATCATTTGGTATCAGAAGTAACTTATATGAAAGGCAAAGGACTCTATTGTGCTTATTTCTTCAAAATAAAACATGATCAGGCCTTGATTTTTAATGATTTAATTAGGACAGTAAGGTCTGACTTTGCTTAGCCAAAAGTCGTATCACTTAACAGCAATAATGTACAGTATAGAATATAAATTCATAGTGCAGCGGAAAAAGAATTAATATTGTGTAGGACTCCCATGAACTTGGAGGACTGCATCCATACATCTCTGCAACGACTCAAATAATGGTCATCTGGAATGGCAAAGAAAGCGTTCTTGCAGGACTCCCAGAGTTCATCAAGAGTCTTTGAATTCATCTTCAATGCCTCCTCCATCTTACCTCAGACATACTCAATAATGTTCATGTCTGGTGACTGGGCTGGCCAATCCTGAATCACCTTGGCTTTTTTGCTTTCTTTGATGTGGAGGTTGAAGTATGAGAATGTCTTGATACCGCAGGCTGTTGATGTTGCCATCCACTCTGCAGATCTCTTGCATGTCCCCATACTGAATGTGACCCCAAACCATGATTTTTCCTTCACCAGACTTGACTGATTTATTTAAGAATCTCGGGTCCATGTGGGTTCCAATAGGTCTTCTGCAGTATTTGTGATGACCGGGATGCAGTTCAACAGATGATTCTGAAAAATCGACTTTCTGCCACTTTTACAAATGATCTTTACAAGTCAATTTATTTTTGTTGCTCTTACAACTGGGATTGTTGACAGGAGTTTTGTCAGGTAGTGTAATACTTTTTTTTACGATATAAAATACGTTACGCCTATAGAAAGTCCTTGTAAACAACATATACAAGTGCATGTGTGTATGACTCACTGAGTCTGTTGGACACAGGGCGAATGCGTCTGGTCCTCGAGCTGCGTTTCTTAATGGCGATCGTGTCCTATGTGCAGAACAACAGAAGTGAATGAGAACAGATGATGAGTCCGCTGAGTTACAAGAGATGACAGATACTGTAAACACACGAGTGATTCATGTAACACACTTACTATGCTGATGCCGAAGTCGTCCTCCACTACGTCCAGCATGTCTGCGTGCCTGTGAGCCCGTCTGGCCGTCCCTCCGTCCTCCAGCCGTCTCATCTGGGAAACCTGCCGGAGCTGTGATGATGAACAGATGCGTGAGGAAGAGCGAAGCGTGCGCACATGCTCAGAATCAACAGACGAGTGGAGGGAGAAATTAGATTTGTGGTACCAGGGTTTTGTGTGTGGCGTAAAGCTCCTGCAGGATCTGGTCCACTATGGAGTTGGTGAGATACGAGACGACAGACAGCTTCACCTCTCTGTGAGTATGAGAGATGGAGGTACACAAACACACACATACATGTTAGATCATGTTGAAATCATGCTGGGAATACAGTGGCTTTCCTACTTTTTTCAAATTATTTATTATTATGAACTTGAGGGGAAATACAATACCTCACTGTAACTAGTTTTTATTTTTAAACATTTCACTTATTTTTTTGGGTTTAATTATATCTTCTTTCATAATATAAGCAAATCATCATTATAAAATCATCCCCATAGCAAATTATCCCCATAGAGAAAAGGGGATAAAAAAGTCATTAACTGATATGGATACGGCACAGAGCATGTATCTGGCCAAAAGGGTTAAAAAAAATAAAAATAAAAAAATAATAAATAAATAAATAAATAAATAAAATAAAATGATTGTTTTTAAAATTAAATATTTAAAATAAAAATGTATAAAAAAATATATAAATAATTAAAATAAAAAATAAACAATTAATAAATAAAAATAGTTTTAAAATACTAATAATAAAAAATAACAAATATATGAAAATGTTAATAAAAATTAAATACCATTAAAATTAAATCATATAACCAATGAAAATCAATAAAAAATATAAATAAGTAAAACAAATAATATATTTTTAATTAAATATATAAAATAAAGGTTTTTAATAAAATATATTAAAAGTTATATTAAATTAAAAATAATCAAAAACTACATTAAATAAAATTAATTATAATTAATAAATAAAATATTTAAAAAATACTAATAAAACAAAATAAAATAAAAAATAATAAATGTAAAAAATTGAAATGAAATAAAACAATAATTAAAATTAAATGAAATTATATAATCAATAAAAATTATAATAAAATAAAATAAATAAATTTACAATAATAAATAAAATAAATTAAAATAACAACAATAATAATAATAATAATAATAATAATAATAATAATAATAATAATAATAATAATAATAATAATCATAATCATAATAATAATAGTCTATACATAATTTCAGAACTTCAACTACTCAACCCCCTATAGCAGGGGTGCTCAACCCTGTTCCTGGAAAGCTACCTTCCTGCAGATTTCAGCTGCAACCCTTATCAAACACACCTGTTTGTAATTATCAAGTGCTGCTCAGGTCCTAATTAATTGTTTCAGGTGTGTTTGATCGAGGTTGGAGGTGAACTCTGTAGGAAGGTAGATCTCCAGGAACCCCTGCCCTATAGTGTTTCTTACTCCAGAGCTCTGTTGATGTCTTGCGCCGCTCTCTCCATCAGAGCGGTGCGGATGGATGAACGAGGGATGGACACACGCTCAGAGATGGAGGACAGTGGTGGAGAAAGACACTCTGCTGCGGCACAAGAAAGTGGACACAGCTCCCGACACAGAGACACCATGGAGTCCACGATGACCTGCACAAATCATCCATTAAAGTCCAACAGAACAAGACAGCAGATACAAATCAGTCTGAAGGATGAGAAAGAGAGAGGAGGCATCACCTGTAGTTCTTTATCAGCAGCTTTGGCAAGTTCTCCTGCCAGAGAGTCTAGTCTCTGTCTCACCGGCCCGTCTACGGACAACACATGGGCCAGTTCACACAGCGAGGGGTACAGCTAGAGGACAGAGCAGACATCATTCATAAACCAGTCATGACTGCACTCTCTCTCATGCTGACTGCTGTGAGAACACGAGTCAAGCAGGTGAGAGAGCTTTTAAAAGGGCTATGAACTAATAAGTCCAAATTCCCTTGATCTTTTGACATATAAAAGGTCAGCGTGCTATAAAAACATCCTGTAAGTAACTCAAAACTTTATTCTAAGACTTAAGCCTAAATCAGCCGATTAGCCGAAATCACTTTGCTGATCAAATCAGAGACTTTTGTTGATTCCTAAGTCAAGGCTAAAACGATTTGATGATGATAAAATGATTCACCCCCTTCCATTAGATTGGCGCCATCTCTGTTTGTTTTTACATCTAAGTTAAAACCGTTCCTATTTGACAAAGCTTTTAACACATCATTTGTGTTTTATTTCATATTTTACTGGCTTTAAAAGTTATAAAAATTGTATTCTTAGGAATTTTCTTTCTTTATCTTGTTTTTGTCTTTGACTTACGGTACTCTTGTTGTTTGTGGTTTTTAGTTATTGTGAAGCACATATGTCAACTTGGGTTGTTTTTAACTGTGCTATATAAATAAACTGTCACTGTCAATACATGACAGGTTGTGGATCGAGCTGCTTTATTATGTAATTGTGTATGAAAGCATACGAGTAGCAATATTCTGACCAGAACCAGAAAATCAGAGCACATCACACCTGTCCTCAGGTCTTTACACTGGCTCAACTCAATGCATTTAGGCATGTAGACATGTCAAGACTATCTGCTGCAGTTCAAACTGAGCATCAGAATGGGGGAGAAAAGTGATTTAAGTGACTTTGAATGTGGCATGGTTGTTGGTGACAGGCTTTTCTGAATATTTCAGAAACTGCTGATCTACTGGGATTTTCACGCACTACCATCTCTATGGTTTACAGAGAATGGTCTAAAAAAGAGAAAATATCCAGTGAGCGGCAGTTCTGTGGGCACAAATGCCTTGTTGATGCAAGAAGTCAGAGGAGAATGGCCAGACTGGCTCGAGCTGATGGAAAGGCAACAGTAACCGTTACAGTTACAACCGAGGTTATGCAAAAGAGCATCTCTGAAAACACAACACATCCAATCTTGAGGCAGATGGGCTACAGCAGCAGAAAACCACACCTGTTGTCACTACTGTCAGCTAAGAACAGGAAACTAAGGTTACAATTCGCACAGGCTCACCAAAATTGGACAATAGAAAATTGGAAAAACGTTGCCTCAGATGGATAGGTCAGAATTTGGCGTCAACAATATGAAAACATGGATCCATCCTGCCTTGTATAAACGGTTTAGCATCATGGATGTGCAGTCAAAAAATCTGCAGCAACTGCGTGATGGTAAAAATCATGTCAATATGGACCAAAATCTCTGAGGAATATTTCCAGTACCTTGTTGAATCTATTCCACAAAGGATTAAGGCAGTTCTGAAGGCAAAAGGAGTCCAACCCGGTACTAGTGAGTACCTAATAAAGTGGCCGGTGAGTGTATGCACACTGAATACAAACCTAACAGATGTGCTATATAAATAAAATTGCCTTGCCAATATTCATATTGAATAGTAATATGCAAAATGGAAATGCAATATATAAATAAACAATGTACTTCTGCATTTAAAGCATTTGTATTTAGCATTTTTCCAAGACATATGTGCAAAGTTTGGTGCAAAATAAAAATTTTATTATATAACTAAAATACTATATATAGGTTCTAACCAGTTTAAAATGTAAATGACATGCAAATTTTAATGCTTTACAAACCTTTTAAAGGTTGCAAAATAAACTGAAAATGTAAAACCCAAATATAATTGATGTGTGCAACATATGCAAGCAGAAATGGTAGCAAAATGAACATTTAAATGTTATTTTGCCCTAATAGCATTTAGAAAAGTAAGATTGTATTTTCATCAATACGCCGTGGGATGTTTGTAGCAATTTTTAATGAGTATCTTAAAATGCACTGAGCCAAATGTATAGCAAAAAAGGTAGCAAAATGGAGAGTTAAATGTATTTTTAATGCATATATTTTGTGAAGTTACAAAAATCTAGATTTAATTATGGATGAAAATGCATTCTTATGATAGCCATGTTTGTGAATAAAACATTTAACCGGTTCTTTTTACTCAGTCCTTCCCATTATTTATTCAATTTAACCTAACAGTGTCTATCTAAGTAAGTTAATCATAGATGCAGAAGTTTACACTGGTAGGCAGATAACCGTCCTTTTAAACCTCTGAAAATCTGTTCATACCAGTGGGCGTTTACTTCTGAGACTACAGTACACAGAATGAATTTGAAATAAATCCCACTAAAATATCTGCATTTATCAAAGCACATTACATCCGATGGAATATTAGGTTTACAGCTGTTAATAAGATGCATTTTGGTCAGAAGTGAAGAAGGGAAAAACAATCCTGACCATCTATAGGTCTATAGGCAGGTGCTCACAATAAAACAGCAGATGGAATTCAGTTTTGAAGACTTGCTGTAACAAAATGATCAAGTGCAGTTAGAAGTATAGAAAAAAAGTAGGATAAATAGCATAATGTACTTACAGAAGAAAAAGTGTGACTGAATAACAAAAGAAACTGTAATATATTTAGGATGTGTATATATATCAACTATATATGTATATATATTTATATACATATAAACTATATATATATATATATAGTTGATAAATATACACAGTTGAAGTCAGAATTATTAGCCCCCAATTGAATTTTTTTTCTTTATTAAATATTTCCCAAATTATGTTTAACATAATTTTTTCTTCTTGAGAAAGTCTTATTTGTTTTATTTTTATATACTAGAATAAAAAAATAAAATGTTATCTAGTAAATGTTATATACTAGAATAAGAGCCGTTTTTAATTTTTTAGAACCATTTTTGGGACAAAATTATTAGTTCCTTTAAGCTAATTTTTTTTTTTTTTTTTTTTGATAGTCTACAGAAAAAAACATTTTTATACAATAACTTGCCTAACTACCCTAACCTACCTAGTTAACCTAATTAACCTAGTTAAGCCTTTAAATGTCACTTAAGCTGTTAAGAAGTGTCTTGGAAAATATCTAGTCAAATATTATTTACTGTCATCATGGCAAAGATAAAATAAATCAGTTATTAGAGATGAGTTATTAAAACTATTATGTTTAGGAATGTGTTGAAAAAAATCTGCTCTCTTTTAAACAGAAAATGGGGAAAAAATAAACAGGGGGGCTAATAATTCTGAATTTAACTGTATATATATCTACATCCTAAATGATCTTAGCGTTTATAGATGCTTATAATATACGCTGTAAAAACATTACGACAGTAATTCAAAACAAGTATTTTTGCTGCTTTGACTTATTTTAATGAGTTAATCTGGTTTACACAGCTAACCATGCTGTGTCAGTAGTGGTGATTATAGCGGTTAAGAATTACATGGCGATTTTACTTGGATCTTTAATACAAACATTCAATACAAACGTTTTAAAATCTATTTAAACTTATAAAACTTTAACTTATTTTAAAAAAACACAGATAATTGTAACAAGTATTTTAATCCAAGTTTATTTTCTTATTATAGAAACTTGCCACCTGTCAATCAATTGGTGGGCGGGGGAAAACCCCACTCACATGTCACGGTGTGTTGGGCCTCAAAATCACTGAGATTTGAATCCTATTTTACATCAGAAAATTTTCAAAAAGACACTTGTTGGGTTTATATCACTCCAACATGACAGTTGACACACTAAACATACACACAGCTCTGTCCAAACAGCTTACAAAAGTTGATTTTCATCCCTGATTTTCATGCCCTTTAATGTTTTAAGTAAGTTTGATTGATGTAAGTTTAGATGAATAGAACAATTCATTTGATTTAACTAAAAGAATTATGTACGTTAGTGTATGATTTATATTATTTTCTTGAGATCAGGCTCTGATTTTGTAACTAAAGATCAGAAGTGGTAATTATTCACTGGATAATTATCATATTATTAATTACTGAATTTTCTGAACTAAAATCTAGTGAACACAATATTTTTCGCAAAAAGGAAGCAGTGAGTTTTACATTTTTGTTTTTCTAGCATTTCATGTCTAGGCTCTGTTTTACTGAATTCTAACAACACTTTACAATATTCAGTAGTTCAACATGTCAACATTAGTTAATGCAATGAAAATACTTTTGCAGCATTTCTTAATAACCACAAATAATTTTTGCATGTGCTAATTCGTTTGAACTTTTCAAGTTGCAAAAAATAACATGAGAATGAATTATAAAAGACAATGAATTAACAATGAGCAAAAGATTAATTTACAGTTTAACATTCACCCACATCAATAAATGTTGGATGGTAGGTTTTAATTATCTCTGAAATTACATTAAAATAACATTAATATGGGTTTTTTATGGAATCAATTTTTTAAAAATACTCTTTCACAAGAAAGACTTTATTCACTTTTATTAAAACAGTCAAAATGTAAACATTTTTAAATATTATTAGTTTAAAATAACTCTTACTGCTTAAGAAACATTTGTAGGAGGTCATTTTTCTGTGGGAAATTGTTATCTTTCATTTATTCATTTTCCTTCTACTTCGGAATAAACCATCAACTTTTACGGCATATGTTTTATGCAGCAGAAGCCCTTCCAGCTGCAACCCAGTACTGGGAAACACCCATACACTCTCACTACAGCCAATTTAGGTAATCCAATTCACCTATAGCGCATGTCTTTGGACTGTGGGGGAAACCAAAGCAACCGGAGGAAACCCATGCGAACACAGGAAATATGGAAAATGGCCCAGCCAGGACTCAAACCAGCGACCTTCTAGCTGTAAGATGACAGTGCTAACCATTGAGCCACGGTGCCGCCCCTAATTGTTATATTTTTTCCCACAATTTAATAAAATCTAAACTTCATTTAATTGAAACTATTATGAATGGCACATTTGATCTACTTAATGCAGCTTTGTTGACTAAAACTATTAATTTATTTGCATAAATAAATATACAGTATATATTGTCCAAAAAATCTTGGCAGAGTATATAATTTCAATGCATATTTGTGTTCCTTCGTAGGCTTGGTGACTGTTCTATTGTGGAAAACAGCCATAATAAAGCATGAGTGGAGGTCCAATTTCTGAAAGCTAAAAGACAAACCGACTCACGGCTCGAGAGTTCCTGGCCTCCTTGAGGACCTGTCTGGCAGCCTGGAGCTCTTCACCTTCACCCGTTCCTCTCAACACACACACCTGCTGCTGCACGCGAACACACAGACGCTCCATCACCTGAGACAGCAGTGGGACAGAGAGATGAAGAGACAGAAAGAAAGAGAGTTTGATCCAACAATTCACTGTAAAGATCAGTCACAGTTCACATTAGCAAATGAAAGAGACGCTCTTTCACAGTTTTTAAAGCATACGCATATCATTTTATGAGGATAAAATGATCTAGAGAGCTGGTTTCTGATCATTTTTCCTCATTGAGGCTGGGATCAAGCCATCAATTTTGATTCCCAATACAGTAAAAGCAGCAATATTGTGAGATATTATTACAGTGTAAAGAAATATTTTAATATGGCATATTTAAAAATGTATTTAACTTGATAACATTTTTTTATTTTAATATAAATTTATTCTTAAGATTACAAAGCTGAACGTTCAGCATCATTAGTTCAGCCTTCAATGCCACGTGATCATTCTATAATAATTTTGCAATCCAGAAATAATTCTTATTATCATCATATTGATGTATTTTTGCTGCTTAAAATGGAAAAAAAATTGAAAAAGAGAAAAAAGAAAATGTGAATGTGAAATGTGACCAAGAATGGTGATCCATACTCGAAAATAGTGCTCTGCATTTAACCCATCCAATTGCATACACACAGCAGTGAGCACACACTCAGAGCAGTGGGCAGTAATCCTCTCCAAGCACCTACAATCACTGTCTGGAACAGGACTCAAACCTGCGACATTTCAATCACAAAAAAAAAAACAAAAAAAACCAATGCAAAGCAAAGCAAAGACAATACAAAAATAAAACAAGTGAAAATAAAAATAAAAAAACAAACAAAACAAACAAAAAAACAAAGCAAAGTAAAACACAAAATACAAAACAAAACAAAGTAAAGCAAAACAAAACAAAACAAGACAAAACAAAAGCAAAGACAATACTAAAATAAAACTAGTAAAAATATAAACAGAAAAACAGTGCTCACATTTTTTACTCAATGCTAATGAGTAAAAAAAAAGTTTTTTTTTTCTTTTGAAGTAATCTTATAAAAACCTGTGACTGCTAATTGTGACTTAAATGACATAATTATGCAACTCTGCTATACAGCAGGTTCTTGACACTTTTAGCTAAAGGGACAGTTCACTCAAAATTAAAAATTCGCTCAGCATTTCCTCAATCTCAAATGGCTCCAATCATTAATGTTTCTATTTTTTCTGTCGAACACAAAATTCTAAATTTTAAAGAATGTTGTAAATCAGTACCCATTGAAGTCCCTAGCAGAAAAGACAAATACCATGAATAAATGGCTACCAGTTTCCAAGATTCTTTAAAATACCTTACTATTGTGTTCAACAGAAGAAAGAAACTCATAAAAGTAAATGATGATGGCATAATTAGCATATTAGTCTGAACTACCACTTTAACTCACATACTACGACAAATGCATAGAAATAAAACTTGCCATTTAGTTACGAGTTAAAGGGGTGGTCCGCTACGATATCAAATTTTAAACTTTAGTTTATTTGTAATGTAGATGAGTGAATACAAACAACCTCTTTGAATGTAATACGCTTAAGTTCAAACACTCACAATCTTCACCGACATGTTTATTGTCTCTCTATGTGGCTGCTTTCCCTGCGTTCTACATTCTAAGCAATCATTCATTCATTTTCATGTCGGCTTAGTCCCTTTATTAATCTGGGGTTGCCACAGCGGAATGAACCGCCAACTTATCCAGCACGTTTTTACGCAGCGGATACCCTTCCAGCCGCAACCCAACTCTGGTAAACATCCACACACTTACTCATTCACGCACACACTCATACACTACGAACAATTTAGCCAACCCAATTCACCTGTACCACAGGACTGTGGGGGAAACCGGAGCACCAAGTAGAAACCCACGTGAACACAGGGAGAACATGCAAACTCCACACAGAGATGCCAACTGAGCCGAGGCTTGAACCAGTGAACCAGCGACCTTCTTGCTGTGAGGCCACAGCACTAACCACTACGCCTCTGCATTGCCTCTAAGCAATCAGCACACATTAAAAATACACTCAGGACACACTTTAATCAATCAACTAGCAAAACTGAAACAGAAATGACCAAAAATCTGAAGATCATTAACTTCATGAACATGATCACATGTTTGTAAATCCTCCATGTGTGCTTTACAAACCACCTGTAGAACACATAAGCTGCGTCCCAAATGGCACACTATACACTATGCACTCATGCACTATGTACTTATGCACTTACACACTCAACAGGATAGTATATGTATGTAGTGCTGTCCCAAATGGCACACTAATGTTTTTTTACTAAGCGGAAATTCAAACCGTTTCCCTGATGACGTTTGACTGTTGCCAAATCAGTGAAATAAACGACTGAATTATCAAGTAATACCTGCCGTGAGTATTGCCGCATTTACCATCCGGAGGCGCTATAATCACTCTCGTAGGAGAATTTTGCTTTCACTATCCAAAATAAATAAAGTTATTCAACATGTGCGTCCGATCGCTCCGCCCCTTCCGCTACGTAAGCAAACCTGCGGTCGTTGAGTGCGTGAAGTGTCCATCATTCCACACTTCATTTTAGCGGCTGAATGAGTGCATCATCCGGGTAATTAAAGTGCACTTATTATTTTGAGAGTTTTCAATGTGAACACACTACTTACACTATTTATACTACAAAATGGCGTAAAATAGTGCATAAGTATGCGATTTGGGACGCAGCTATACTCTCTTCTCTCCATATGCACCAGACACTTCATCAACAAACCATGTTTCTGGAAAATATTGTGCAATTCTTAGTGCACTTCATACAGGGATGAAAGCATGACCTGTAGGACACTCTTTTACTCTCCATATGCACCAGACATCTTTTATACACAACCACATGCTAAATCTAAACTAGCTTAGACTTGTCATGCTATTTGCTACTCTATGAGGATTTGAAGTGCTCTCACTTGTAAGTCTGGATAAAAGTGTCTGCTAAATGAATAAATGTAAATATATAAATAAAGTGCTAATTGTATGATTTTAGTGAGTTGGATTTGCAATATTCTAGAGCAAGACAGACAATGTGTAATATTAATGTAAGTGGTCAGGAATTGAGCTGTACCTGTTCTGCAGTACTAGTTACCAGGCCCTGATGCAGCCGAAGAGCCTGTTTCTGAGAGAAACGCTGAGTCTGGTTATTCCTCAACAGAGCACGCTGGATCTGAGAAACACACAGACAGAGAGAAAATACTCATTAATGACAAAGAAAAGAACACCGATGCTCAGATAAGCCACGCAGCCATGTGGAAATGATTGTAATTATGCTGCAAATTAAAAAAAGATAAACATATTGTCTGCAGAGTCCCTCTCTCAGCAATGACCTTGTAAGAGTTTTACATTTACGGGCTCACTGAATGTCCATAAACATTTCACCACCTTGGGACTGTTAATCTCAGAGCAACCGGACACACACAGGCATGGACATTTAATGGGGTCTCTTCATGGAAAAACGGATTTTGCTTGCTCTTTTGAAATAAAATTAGTCCCATGAAATCACAAGGATTATTATGATCACAACCAAATATTCATGGTTGTGGGAAAAACTCACTCACTCGCTCACTTTGCTTCAGCTTATTCCCTGCTTTATCAGGGGTTGCCACAGATGAATTAACCACCAATTACTCTAGCAATCCTTTTAACAGTGAATACCATTTTTCCAGCACTAAGAGTACCTTATGCAACCACAAGTGCTGGGAAACACCAATACACTTTCCCACTGACAAATGCAATCGATTAGAAAATATAAATATATTTATAATTATAAATAAATATAAATTTAATCAAAATTTAAGCTACCTTGTACGCTGACCATTCAACAGCTTAGTTCATGCACAGCAGGATAGGTGAAATTTAAAAAGAATCTAATAATAACTAATTAAACTCTGACTTCTCTTTTTTTTTAAGACAAAAAGCCTGATAGACTAATTGTTGTGTACTGAAATCTAGTGTTACTAACCGACAAGGAAACATGCATGGACAGTGCTTCTACATAATTCATTTATAGAAAGTACAGCCAGAAAGGCGTAATTAATGGAGTTGTTCCAAATATTAGCATTATTGACCCATAACAATCTACAGTACCTATAACTCTCAGTATGTTTGTGTGGTTATTATACAGTTTCTATTCTAATTTGCACTAAAGTGGAAAAAAAATGAAATCAAATTAAAGTATAAATAGCTGAATTAAACAAATAGATTTTCCCTACCAGAAAATATTAATCAGACACTAAATATAAAAGCAGACACTAAACTGGTATAACGTCATCACCAATGACTAATGCTGAGTTCAGACTGCATGACTTTCAAAGTAGTCGTGTCAGGGATGTTTTCACACTGCATGACTACCTGGGCTAGTGTTCCATCTGTGTTTGGTTTACACTGCAAGATGTATCGGCGACAGGGTGGTTTACACTGCATGACTTTAAAAAGGAAAAATCGCCGACAACTTTATTTAAACCAAGTTTCAAAACCAAACACACATAAAAAGACATGAAAACAACGCGAGATCACGTAATATATATCTTGTTATTAAGTACATACTGTGAAAGAAGCCATTAGCGTGGTAGAAAATGTATTTATTTTGCACACCTGGCTTTGAAGGATGCCACGTTTTGATCTTTCGACCCTGTTGTGTGTATTGCTCACGTCAAACAGACACAATGCTCCTGCCAAATTTCCAGTATTCTCCTCAATTTCTTGGGTCCAAATAAACTGAAAATGAGCGCTTTTAACTTTTCTCCCATGCTCCCGCTGGCTTGCAGGTACCCACAGTAGTAAATGCTGCTCTCTCATTGGCTGTAGGTCAGTGGTTCTCAAACTGTGGTACGTGTACCACTAGTGGTACGCGGGCTTCCTTCTAGTGGTACACGGAGGAATGAAATATGTCATGTACATGCTGCATATAATTTAAAATGTATTAAAAATTATGTATATAATATGGCATATATTTTATATATATGCTATATTTCTGAGGTAATTTGCCAGGTTTTTTTAACTGTGCAGAGTTGTAGCTGCTTTACTGGCCCAACTATGCTACTGTATTTCAATGCTGCTCATTTTGGTGGTACTTGGAGAGACAGTTTTTTTCTGAGGTGGTACTTGATGAAAAAAGTTTGAGGACCACTGCTGTAGGTGATTGTTGATGTTATTTTCGATCAGAACACATTTTAAACGGCTTGATTTGAATCACCAACAGCTCCAGATATTTAGCATGCCAAATATCTCACGGATGTTGGCGATTTACTGGCGATTGCTATTCGGGTGAACGAGCACAGATTTTTCTGACTGAGTTTTCTTCACTTTCGCCAATTGAAGTTTTTTTTCCTCGCCGCTGTTGCCACTAGCTTGCATGGGATCTGTACAGCTGCACATCGATGGATTTGCTCTTCAGTGTTTGGACTCTATCAGTAGTGATTATTAAACCACACTGAACTAAGCTGAACTGAACTGAACTTACACTTTAAAAACTGAACTACACTATTTCAATTTACTATTTACTACTTTTATGTGAAGCTGCTTTGACACAATCTACATTGTAAAAGTGCTATACAAATAAAGCTGAATTGAACTGAATTGATTTGCTTGTGATTTCAGGTATCTGTCGTCGATTTTTCAAAACCTGTCGTGAGTCGAAATCGGGGCTAAAATCATGCAGTCTGAACTCAGCATAAGAGGAAGGGCTTAGAACTGGGATTGGGCCTCTGTCATGTTTGGTGTCATTTGACAGTTTGACTCAAGCGTTCTAGTGGTGAAATCAAAATGAGACTTTAATGTATTTCAATATACAATCTATATACTATTGTTGAGTCATGGCCTGAGGAGAGTATATTAATGTACTTCCCCCCCAGTTTATCTCCTCAACCTTTCTTTGATGTTTAGGTGGTTTTAGGGGTTGTTTTTCACTCATGTTTGACAATGCTTTGCGCAGGGTATAATAAGGAAAGGTAACTGTTGATTTGGGAGAATAGCTTTTACGCTGCTTCTCGCGCACATGTTTTACACATCGGATACCCTTTTAGCTGCATCCCATCTCTAGGAAACATCCATACACACTCATACACTACGGACAATTTAGCCTACCTAATTCCCCAGTACCACTATCTTTGGACTGTGGGGGAAACCGGAGCACTTGAAGGAAACCCTGGCAGACGCGGGGAGAACATGCAAACTCCACACAGAAACGCCAAGTGAGCCAGCCGAGGCTCGAACCAGTGACCTTCTTGCTGTGAGGTGACACCACTACCTACTGCGCCACTTCATCATCATTTCTTTATGTTGTTTGTTTAATTCTACTGTCTATATATTTAAACAAATAACTTAATAAACAACTTTGCCTGCTTTAAGGTGTTAAGATTCTTCTCTTTATCAATGATGATAACAATTTTAAAGGAGTCAGATTAATTACAACGGACTTATTTCTTCTATGAGTGAGCAAGCTGTTCCATAAGCTCGGTCTCTTATTTTACAACCTTGTCCTCTAAAAACACCTGATTAGACGACCTCAGTGCTCTGACAGGTGTGAAACATGTAAAAGCTGGACACTAAATGAGTAAGGTCATGTGTCCACTGAAGCATTTTTTGCAGAGCTGAAAAACAGCAGTGCTCTTCTGAAAAATTCCTGTCTGTGAATTGTAAAGAATGCTGCATTTACACTAAAATGGATGCTCGATGCCTCATCATGCTGCTGGAATTATCAAATAACAATATGCTTCGATGGACATGTGCCCTAAATGCAGAGGTGGGTAACGAGTTACATTTACTTCGTTACATTTACTTGAATAAAATTATTGGGTAACGAGTACTTTGAGTACCTTTAAATATGTGTACTTTTACTCCTACTCAAGTAAATTATTAGAGAAAAATCATTACTCTTACTTCGCTACATTGGGCAGTGTTCCTCCACTACAGCCAAGTGATAATAAATATGATCCATATATTTTGTTTGCAAATATCACGAGGCGCCGCATTGGAGAGTTTGTGTCTTGAGAGGTTGCAATAGAGACGCCTCTCCCACTTTCTGTTAGAGCGCGCGCCTCTTGGAATAATGGCTGAAGTCTAGGAAGAAATGCGAGTTTATACTGTGGTCCTGCTCGCCATCTGCGGCTCAGAGAAGGACAGTCACACTGTGCAGTGAGTTTATTGGACCAGGTCACCCGGCCTCAAGTTCAGTCTATGTTTTCACTCCAAGATACTAACAGGAATAGTTTCATAATTCGATGCACGCAATGAACTGACATCGCAACATATACATGAACTCCAGCTCTGACCTGAAAAAAACACTTAGTTGTAAGAGGCGAAATTATCCATATTTTTAGACCTTATTAATAGTAACTCTGGGATAACTAAAGAAACTGCTGTTTAATGGAATTACTGATTAGCCCTGCGCATATTAGTCATTTAACCATTAAAATATAAAATTTAGACATTATTTTTAACATACAATTGCTTTAACAGAAATATATTATCAACACATTTTTATAGTTTTAATTTCTCATTTCTAATAACTGATTTATTTTATCTTTGACATGATGACAGTACATAATATTTTTTATTTTAACATTATTTTAATATTTTATTTTTTATTTATAATATTTTTCAAGATACTAGATATTTCTTCACCTTAGAAATTGAGTTATTGACATATTCTTATTAAATGACAACCTACATTATGGGATGTTTTTTCATAAGTTGTTTACATTTTAAGACTTTTTATTTAAAAAACAAATGTTACACATATACTGTTTGCTTTATGGAATGCAAAAACTTTGAAGCTAAAAATCTCAAAATAATTTATAATGCATATATTATTTTAAGGTGACGATTTCTGAAGTGGCATTTAAAGGCTTAACCAGGTTAATTTGACAAGTTATGTTAATTAATGATGGTTTGTTCTTAGACAATAAAAAGAAATATTGCTAAAGGGGACTAATACTTTTGACCTTAAAATAGTTTTAAAAAAGTTAAGAACTGTTTTTATTTTAGCTGATATAAAACAAGTAAGATCTTCAGAAAAAATATAGTAAATACTATGAAAATGTGTGTGTGTGTGTGTGTGTGTGTGTGTGTGTGTGTGTGTGTGTGTGTGTGTGTGTGTATATATATATATATTTGTATATAAAATGAAAAGTAACTAGTAAGTATTGAGTCATTTTTTTTTATCAGGTACTTTTTTTCTCCTTTTCGAGTAACTTTTAAAATTGTTACTTTTATTTTTACTTTTATTTTACTTTTAAAGATTTCCGCAAGTAGTTGTACTTTTACTTGAGTAAAGATTTTGGATACTCTACCCACCTCTGCCTAAATATTGAATAAATCCTCCTAGCCCCCTTTTTCAAAAGCAATATTCTCACCTTGGTCAGTGCCTGTTCTGTCCTGTCGGGGGAGCTGCGGTACGCCTGTGTGACATCACTGAGCGGGATAGGCATGTACTGCAGGGTGAAGTTACTGAGGAGAGAATCAAGAAACATTAAAGTTTTCCCAAAACATTGCAATGAATAATAGAAAACAGTTTATTTGTGTCTCAAGAAAGAAGCCTTTGCGTTATTTTTTTTTAAGAGAGCACTGTGTTTCTTTCAACAGTTTCCAAAGCAGTCTGTACTAAGAACTCATTACAGGCCTCTCAATGCAAAATAAAAACTTTCTACATTAAATAATAGAGGTGTAAATCTCCAGGGAAGAAAGAGGTGTTTCTAGAACAATACTTTAATTGAGCATCACAGGCAGGTCGGAGAGGTGATGAAAGACTATGCAATCAAAAACAGATTCGCGTAGGCATGGACTGAAGATCCTATTTTATCCAGTAGCAGCATGCTGTTAGTAAGTTTGCAGAGGGTTGAGTGAGTCAGTGCTCATACGGATGAGGCAATGAGGAGTGTGTATGTGTGTATGAAATGAATGTGAGTGTGTGTGTCATACTGTTCCAGGGCTCGAGCCACATCTTGGAAACCCGTAGCACTTGTGTTATTTCGATCCCATGTCACACTTCTGCAAAAACAACAACATGACAATCATGACTTATTCAGCTATTATCAACTAGGTATTGTAAATAAGTACTCGCAAATGAAACCTGCATGCTTTTCTGCACATGTTTAAATGAAAACAAAATTGTTGGATTCTAATTTTAATATGGCAAACATGAGAAAGAATGAGGATAATCATTATCTAGTTTCTGCTTTGAAATTCTGAATTCAGTTCAGTTTTATCCTATAAATCAAATGTTGACATTTGGACATTGCGTGAATGAATGATGTAAAAATAATAAATCAATAAACAACTGAAGACATACAACAATCACAGAAATTCATAATTAATTATATTATCTCATTATTATTAAAGAGCCCCTATTATGCATTAAAAAGGTCATATTTTAGTCAACAGGCTGATATGAATGAATGCATGCAAGGTAAAAACACTTTCATTGTCTTATAATATGCATTTATTTTTACATGATTATCCCAACAACTCCCTTATGATTTGTTCAGCGATTAATTTGTTCCCAAACCCCTCCTTAGCGTGATGCTAATCTGCACTGATTGGTAGAGTTGATTGGTTGAGTTAAGCGCGAGACTGAGAAAAACGCCCACCATGGCCTATTAGCATTGTTCAAGTAGTCAAAGCGCAGAGTATATAATGTGAGCCCAATGTAGGAGTGCATTAAAGCAATGCAGTAAACACAAACATATTGATGTATTCTTAACCTTAAGTACAAGCAATGACACACATTCAGTATTAATCCAAACAGTGGCACAGGGGAAAGGCGTGTTCAAGTTTTACCGGATCCAGCACATATTTGGTTTTGTTTCATGTCGACACCAATACAAATTGGCAAAATTGAGGAATCATTTAAATGACTCAACTAAAAATAAGTTGTCTTTAAATAAGTCAACTAGAAAAAAAAAGATTTTTAAACAAGGTCAGTGCTTCTGACACATAGACTTCACATAGGCGGACCGTCCCGGTATATTAACAGCCGCCCAAGTATATTTAGTGACATTTTTATTTTTTTATTAGTATCATCCTTTTACACTTTTTTTGTATCCGCGAACAGGAAACCATCCGCAATCAATTAACTAATGGAAAATCTCCTCTCGCCCTATTTGAGACGTCCATCTGGGGTATCTTAATCTCCTTAAAAATCCAGGATTTGGCTTTTAGTATCGCTTTCTACTCCGTCGTCATTTTTATTTTAAGCGTGATTTACTTTCACTTGGCTTCACGGCTGACAGCGCGTGCACAGCCGCAGGAGTGAGAGAAACATATAATTAATTCTTTGATCTAAACATCTCAGATAGACTTTTCTATTTACTCAGAGAGGACAAAATTACATCTAAACTTTCTACAAAATATATGTACACTGTTAGAAATGGTTAATTAACTCATTTGCCTTATTTAAATAATCAACACTTTTTAATCTTATAATTATTATACTTTTTAGACACTTTTGTTCCATAGATGTTTTCATTCCTTTATCACTGATTTCCTGTTTACTGTATATATATTTTTTAATGTGATGATATATTACAAATTTTATACATATCTAACATGCTTTCGCAATACTGTACAAAATGTCAGCAGCTGATTTTACCTGTCAGTGGGTGCACATGGCTCCTGGATAGAATAAAAGTAAATCCAATACTGGATTTTTTTTCAACAGTCTTTAAAAAATAAATCTTCCACCCATTGAAACGAAAGTGTTTAATAAATTAAAAATATTAATAATTGTCGTATATAGATACCCATGTGCCGTGATTAAAAGGTGCGTTTCAATCTGGCTACCACAGCAAGTATATTTCAAACTTGTGGGAAGCACTGAAGGTTTTAAAAATCAGCTGGATGTTTTCATTCACTTGCTGTGTTGTACACTGTATGGAAGGTCATTAAAAACCCATAATAGGGGCTCTTTAAATAAATATATGTAAATGCAATAAATAAATAAATGTTTCTTTTTAAAGAAACATGACTAATTCAAATAACTTTTAAGAAAAAAAATTATAAAACAAACTGTTTCAACAAATAAATAAATAAACAAATCAGTTCATATTGTTTGATAGACCGAAAGGTTATAAAAACACCAATTTATAAAATCATATTTATGACTGAAAAGTCAATAGACATGTTTATTACAATATTTTTTTTAACTGATCCATTAGTAAATTACCTAAAGCTTTCATTAAAAAAAATAGGGTGGCTGCATATTTCCAGTGTCGTAAATTACACTAAATTGAATTTAGCAGAAAATTGCAAAGCTTTTCAAGGAAAATAACATGACTAGAAAACTCCTTGACATTGTGGAATGGTCGGCTTCACAGGTCAACAAGTGTTTTGTCAGCACTTTGATGTTTCTTTTAGCACAGCTGGGATGCTGCATGGACCTACAGTACCAGTATCCCAAACAATCTCTGTACAATATGTACTGCTGTTGCCCTGTTCTTCCTTCGCAACAGTACCTGAGAGTAGTGTTGATCTGAAGGGCTTTACTGAGCATCCTCGCTCCTGTGTCATCAAGTCCGTTCCCACTCAGATCCACCTTTTTCAGACAGGCATTGCTGCCTAGAGCGTTTACCAGCACCGTGCCCCTCGAACGCAGCCTGGAGTCGGCCAGAGACAAACTCTGCAGGGCCTGCCAGAAAACCAGAGAGTGTGTGTGTGTATGTGTGTAAGAGTGAGTTTGCAATGTCTGTGATCTGTAAAAACAGTGCTTAATAATTGATCAAGCAAGGCGATATCTGCAGTGAGAGGACTACGTGCCCTGAAGGAGAGAGATTAGAAAGAAAGAAGGAGAGAGAGAGAGAGAGAGTGAAGGAAGGATGGATGAATCACTAGTGCTGTAATACACACAGCAGACTGTTGAAAGCCTTTGTACTCTATGCGAGTGTGTGTTTGAACACAGAAAGGGTGTAATGTGAGTACAGGAAATAGGAAGCGTTATGTCCATGTGTGTGTGCCTGTGAAACACTTACACACTCTTCCTCCTGGACAAGATGCACCAGTTTCTGCAGGACTTCATCTAAAACCCTGCAAACAGAAAAAATAACAGGGTTTGAGTCTAAAGTATTACTCAGTTTTTAATCTGCATCCACCTTTTTTTCTGCAGGTGACTAAAAATAGATTTCCTGCTGAAAATGTCCATCCTGTTTTCATCTTCATCATCCTGCTAATGTGTGTTCAATTCTTTTTCCCTGTGCAATTTCCTTTTAATACACATAACTTTATTTGTTAATAAATTTTGTGTTCTTTGCTGTTAGGATGGAATTGTTTTGGTTTGTTTTTGTAGGTTCAAGGTTGGAGGTGTACATCTTGCACATGCGTTTTGAATTATTTATGCACTACCTAAAGTGTCAGTTCACCAAAATATTAAAATGTTCTCAATTTTTTTCATACTCAAGCGGACATTTACATTGTAAAAGAATTATTGCTGCCTTAAAACTTTTAGTTAAAACTTTCCATAGACTGTAAAAAATATCGACGTAGTATCGGTGACATTACCCATTGGTTTCTGAAGAACGCAAAAGAAGCTACAAGTAAGCGTGTTCAATTTACGCTAATTTTGTACACGTCATCGCAACGACCAGGGGATACCAAAAAAGGAGCAGGGGCGGAGCTACAGATGCCTGCTAGCATTTTGCTTAGACAGGTTTTTTTTATTTTGGAGAAACGCTTAATACTTCATTCCCTGCAACTCGTTTGTGTTCTGACCACATGTGCTTGGTTGTACACTATATCAATAAAACCCCAATTTTATCCTCCTTACACTGGGTGCCTGTTAAGTTTCGTATTGAATTTAAAATATTACTTCTCACCTATAAAGCTCTAAATAATCTAGCTCCTGTTTATCTAACCAACCTTCTGTCTCGCTATAATCCAACTCGCTCTATAAGATCTCAAAACTCAGGGCTTCTGGTAGTACCTAGAATAGCAAAATCAAGTAAAGGAGGTCGAGCCTTCTCTTTCATGGCTCCTACACTCTGGAATAGCCTCCCTGATAACGTCCGAGGCTCAGACACACTCTCCCAGTTCAAAACTAGATTAAAGACCTATCTGTTTAGTAAAGCATACACTCAATGCATCACCTAGCAGGTTCCACACAGGCTTCTGCATCTTGCTTATATACACTATGAACAGCAGCTACGCTAATTATTCTCTTTATTCTCTATTTTAACCTGGGGATACTCATCCCGAGGTCCTCAGATTATGTGGAGTCACTAATTGGATCCAAGACCAGCGACGAGATGATCCCAAGGTTTCCATATCCGGGACTAGGCCATATCCTGAGCTGCTGCTGCGCTGATGGTCGTGGGGAGTGGAGAACATGAGTCTGATTCCAGCGACGCTCCAGGGACAGACGAGTCTTCGCTGAGGCCATCTTCCAGCCTCCACCGCGGTGACTGAAGCTCTGCACAAGACTTTTGGCCAGCGGAGAAATTAAAATGGTCGTGCCGAACTGAGTCTGGTTCTCTCAAGGTTTTTTTTCTTCACTCCCATCAGGTGAAGTTTTTGTTCCCTCTCCGCTGTCGCGACTGGCTCGCATGGTTCAGGATTGGTAGAGCTACGCATCGATGAATTTGCTCTTCAGTATTTGAACTATCAGTATTGATTACATCACACTGAACTGAGCTAAACTGAACTGTACTGAACTTAAACACTGAAAACTGAACAACACTGTTCCAGTTGCTATGACCAATATGTGAAGCTGCTTTGACACAATCTACATTGTAAAAGCGCTATACAAATAAAGCTGAATTAAATTGAATTGAATTGAATAAAGTGTTTAGACTTTTAAAAACACTGCTGTAATACATTGAGCCACTAAACATTAGCAAATTACTTCCAAACACTTCAAATATATTCTGTGTTAGTTAATGTAGGGCTATTTATGAAATCCAGGCATAACACTGAATGACAGTGTTTCAGGTGACTGTTCTACAGCTAATCAATCTGTCAGATTCTGGAGTGCATTACAGTTCTAAAGAAAAATACAAATGCAAATACATTTATAGAGATGGCTAAATATCTTTTTTTTTCTGCTGTAAAGCCGTTTTAACAGTGGGGTAAATAGAAACCTGTTCTATTATGGAGCCAGAACCAGCAGAATTTCGATAAATTGCAGTTTCAGTTACTTCCGTATTTGCTTCACAACCAAGAGCGGAAGGTTGCCGCTTGGTTAAATCAAATGAACTTCTCTAGTTATTTCAACGATCATTATTCAAACTGACTAAACACATTAAGTTAAACTTGTATAACTTAAAAAAATGTTGAAACCTGATTAACTTCTCAAAATAAGTTAAAGCAACATAAACATATTTGTTGTCTTTACTTTTTGTCAATTTTTTTTTTACAGTGTACAAATTTCTTTCTATGCTCTTCAACTCACAACAACATATTCTGAAGATTTTCAAGAAAAGGCAACCATAAGCTATGTTTCCATCCACCTGTTTTTATGCGCATTTTGGATATGCGCATAAAAAAAGTTTGATAGAAACGCTGAGACGCAAATAAATTTTGAAAATGCGCATAAAAAACTTCTGCGCAAAACTGAGTAGGATAAACTTTTTATTCTATACGAAAAGATGCGCACAAACTACGATGGAAACACTTTTACCGCACAAACTCCAGCATGCGCATTAAAAAAAGTCATGTGATTTTGTTATAAGAGATCATGTGATGGTAAAAATGTGTGTGAATGGATAAAGCGGGCTGAGTACATTATATAACATCTGAAATGTTGTTTTGGTCATTCTAAAACGCCTTACCGTTTAAGTATTAGTGTTATTATATTATTATAGACCTCCAGAATCAAGAACATCTCTGCTCCGTGTCTGACACCTTCAAACGCCACCCTGCGTTCACTGCGTTTCAGTATTGCCTTCTGAGGCGCAGTCAATTATTAGATGAAGAAAATATTGATGCAGCTTTTCCTACTGCTGCAAATTTAGTTTTTATTGTTGATATTTTGCGCCAGTTAATCAGGAAGTGACAATTTTGTTCACTTTGACTTTATTCGCACTTCTTTTATGCAATAATACAGTTTTGTGCATAAAGTTCATTCGCATTTTTGGATGGAAACATAGCTACTGACAAAATTAGAAAAACAACAACAAGAAGAATCTACTGGAGTCAATGGGTGTTTTTTTTTTTCCAACAAGTATATCTTGTTTTGTGTTCATCAAAAGAATGAAACTTAGACAGTTTCGGAACAAGTGGAGGATGAGTAAATGATGACAGTATTTTTATCTTTTTGGTGAACTATACTTTTAATTGGTGTCAAAACGGAACCATTTTCACAGTTAAAAATAAGAAAAAAAAAAAAAAACACTGACTGAAGACGACAAACCTAGCAGATGCTAGTGTAGAAGCATTTTTGTGGACCAAATTATATCCAAAACAATTTTTAATAAGTGTAGTACATTCGTAAGGATTTTTAAGAGACAAAAAAACAAAATAAAATGGACAAGGATGACACTTTTTAGTAGGCATTGAGGGTCTGTGTTAGTAGACAACAAGAAATAAAGTACATTTTGAAAGGCTATGTGTGTTCGACTGTGGCTTAAAATTACTACAGTATGGTAGAAAATGTAAATATACTTTGGCCTATATACACACACATCTATAAACTCAATCAACTCCAAGATTAATGACACTTCACACGCCTCCCCCTAAACCTCCTCTGCCTCCCTGAGAGCCTTCTACTACATTCGGTGTGTGATTGCAGATGGTTTCACAACCTTTTCTAATCTGCTTACCTCATCTGCCTGTCTCAGAGTGCATATCTGTTGTATCTGTTAATCTGTGGACTGTGCGTAAGCTCTATCAACATCTACTGTATGTCATGCTGTTGATAATCACAAAACATCATTTCGATTAATCCCTCAGTCTGTGAAAACAAACACACGACACTTGCAGCAATGCATTTACAATTGCAGCCTGACAGGGAGGCAGGCAGAGTGATCAGGTGTTCGAAAATTAAAACTGAACACGGTGAATGAGTTGTTTAAAGCGATCTGTTGAATGTTGAAAAAAAGTTAAATAAAACGTTGTGTGCCTTCATTTTGATTAAAAGAAGAGTGTATACATTAATTTCATACATAAACTGTGTATTTTGCAAAACTCTTTGAAAATTCACGGAAAATCAAAGCTAAATATCTAAACAAAATAAATTCCAAATTTAAAGTTGATATCTCAAAATTTAGCTTTCAGTACAATTTTGATTGGCAGCAGTTCCAAACATGACCTCCAGGTGACATTCAGTTTACACTGATGACCACACTATGGTGCCCCCTATGTTCTGAGAAATATTACCTTTTTTTTTCATATTTTTGACAATATTTGTAAAGTAAACATACAATTTAAAATTAGTGTGGGCAGACTGGCGATATTTAATTTGAATTTAACCCCTTTTTATTGTTTTAGGTCAGTAGTTAACTAGGTGATCTGTACAACAAGCCCTGCCTTCTCGTGGACGTTTACAAGTACTCTAGGGCAGTGGTTCCCAAAGTAGCGCTGAGTGGTTGACATGGAGAAGGGTTGCTAGATAATGGGGGGGTGGTGGGTTGGGGGGTATCTCTTGGCAATTTCCAAAAATCTAATTCATTATATTGAACTATATTTTTGCAACCCCTAGGGTGATTACGTTAAAGACACAGTAATAGCGTCAGATGCAGCACATTGATTTCATGGCATCAGGTTAAATTTTCTCACGCCTTTACGGTACTCACATACACTAAAAATAAACACAGGTCACAACTGAACATGGAGGTCTTTAAGTGGTGTTCTTCAAAATTAAACAATGAATAGAATTGGGCCTTTTGGTATGTGTGCAAGGTTATAACCACCTCAAAGAATATTGGAGGTCATGAGTCACTGGCATTGTTATTTTGGGGGTTGAGGGCTGAAAAGTTTGGGAACCACTGCTCTAGGTAATATAATTCAAATTTGCAAAAATGTAGACCATGAACCTCTAGTAGAAACGTGCAACAAAATGTACCCAATGTAACATATTTTTCAGAAATATAGGCTGAGGCATGTAATTTTGATGAGCCTGGGCTGGCAAATTATGCTGCAAACAAGCAAATAAGATAATGTTGATGAAAAGTGTGTAATCTACAAATAACACGGTTACATGTGTGTGTGTGTGTGTGTGTGTGTGTGTGTTTTAATCACAAAATTCTGGTAATTACCCCCACAAAATCAGTCATTTTATCACAAAAATAAAAAATTAAATAAAAAAATTCTCTGTCATCAAACTATTCTAATATTTTAAAATCCATATTTCAATCCATGACAGCCTATTTGCCAGATCCAACATTAAGTGGCAGTGACACTCATATCTGATTGCACATATAATTGCTCTGCAGAAAAGCAATTTCAGTATTTGCTGATGATATTCTGTGTTATGCCTATGGTAATTATGTGAAACATCATTACATCATTATTCATTTTTCTTTGGTTTAGTACCTTTATTCATCAGGGGTCGCCATAGCGGAATGAACTGCCAACTTATGCAGCAAATGTTTTACGCAGTGGATGCCCTTCAAGCTACAACCCAGAACTGGGAAACACCCATACACTCTCACATGCAGGCACACACATACACTACAGCCAAATTAGTTTATTCAATTTACCTACAGCACATGTCTTTGGACTGTGGGTAAACCAGAACACTCGGAGGAAGCCCACAAGAACATGTGGAGAATATGCAAACTCCACCTAGAAATTCCAACTGACCCAGCTGGGACTCGAACCAGCGACCTTCCTGCTGTGGGGCGGCAGTGCTAACCACTGAGCCACAGTGTCAACCCTATTATATTATTATATATCAGAAAATGCTTCTATGAGGAGCTTCTATAGACCATTTTGAGTGGTGTAAACAATAAGAGTGGTCTTAATGTAAATCCTGTTTTAGATTTTTAAATTCCATAGCTTCTAAGAATCCAGAAAGCTCTACATATTGATCTTTTAATGACAGCTGTGTTTACAATAATTATGACGGACTCACATCCTGTTATAGCTCTAAAATACTTTGACGACAAGCAGATACTGTTCATGGAACAATGATTTCGCCATATTGAAACAGTCTATAAAGGTGAAAGTTGGCTTTAAATTATTGTTATGCAGAAAAAATATAAACTTGCTCAATTATGTCAGTTCAGTACACTTTTCACAAAACAAATTGGAAAAACTCACATCATTTAATTGTCTTTTTCCTTGTTTTAATGTTTTATAATAAATAGATAATACTAGGAAAGTAAAAAAACTAAAACAAATGAACAAGGAAGAGGGAAGTGGGTGACACCCCAAAGATATAATGTATACATTAAAGCATTAACTGTATACCTTAACAATTATATGTACTGTATATAAAATAAAACAATATACGTATATGCACAAAAACCTTGAAAGTGTATACTCATCATACAGGCTATGCAATGTTTCATGGTAGTGGGCGGCTGTGGACTCTTTTTTTTCTTGATTTATTAGCTGCATTTCTCAGATTTCTACTCAAGATTATGGAGCGTGTCGTTCTTCACCTGGAATTTGTCTATTAAATATGATCTATCTAAAATGATGTTGTAATTATGCTGACTGATGGTGCTCAACAGCAACACAAGCCCTCGATTAATAACCTCTGAGTTCATTGCAGGACTGCCTTGAAAGGTTTATACAGTTAAAAATCTATTTCCACCCACTGAGAAAACTCTTGTCCCTTTTCAAAATGACAATTTAGACCATTTAGAAAGCTCAAATAACATTTCTTACTGTAGGATTCATTTGACAAAAATATGAGTTTCACATTTCCCACTTGCCTGCCAGGCTTTCATTGTAGGTACACAGCGGTAAACACATTTTTAGTTTTTTTTTGGTAATAGACAGAATCCCACGGATGCTATAGAGCTTCAGCTATACTGAACCTTTGAGTAAAGCACTGCTTTATGCTGCTTCAGTCAGTAAAACTGCCTGTTTGTATGTTACTTTGTACGCATACTTCTACCAATGTATACATATATCTCTAAGTTTCCCTCCCTCTCGGCCTAGAAACAAGAATAAATAGACAAATTATACATTCAGTATAAACAATATTTTTTCGTAATGTCAATTTCATTTCAAGTTAAATTAGCGTGTGTGTGTGATTGTGGAATGCATATATTTGGTTTACTTAACATTAATTATAAAAATTACTTTACAATATAAGTCACACCATTCAGATTCAGATCATTAAAAAAAGAGACTTGAATCCTACAAAACATGGTAAATATACCAATACCTTGTAGTTACCTAGATAGCGTACTGCATGCCCCCTTAGACGGGAAGCATTGGTCTCCTCTATTTACACTCACCAGCCACTTTATTAAGTACACCTGTCCAACTGCTTTTTAACGCACATTTCCAATCAGCCAATCACATGGCAGCAACTCAATGCATTTAGTTGCTGTTCGAGCATCAGAATGGGGAAGAAAGGTGATTTAAGTGACTTTGAACATGGCCTAGTTGTTGGTTCCAGATGGGCTGGTCTGAGTATTTCAGAAACTGCTGATCTACTGGGATTTTTACACACAACCATCTCTAGAGTTTACAGAGAATGGTCCCAAAAAGAGAAAATATCCTGTGGGTGGCAGTTCTGTGGGTGAAAATGCCTTGTTGATCCCAGAAGTCAGAAAATGGCCATACCGGTTTAAGCTGATAGAAAGGCAACTGAAACTCAAATAATAACTCAATACAACCAAGGTATAAAAAAGAGCATATCTGAATGCACACATTCAACCTTGAGGCGGAGGGGCTACAGCAACAAAAGACCAAACCTGTCAGCTAAGAACAGGAAACTGAGGCTACAATTCGCACAGGCTCACCAAAATTGGACAACAGAAGATTGGAAAAACGTTGCCTGGTGTGATGAGTCTTGATTTTTGCTGCAACATTCGAATGGTAGGGTCAGAATTTGTTCTCAACAACATGAAAGTATGGATCCATCGTGCCTGCGGCAACTCCGTGATGCTATCATGCCAATATGGAACTAAATTTCTAAGGAATATTTCTAGTGCCTTGTTAAATCTATGCAACAAAGGATGAAGGCAGTTCTGAAGGCAAAAGTGGATCCAACCTAGTATTAGTAAGGTGTACCAAACAAAGAGGCTGGTGAGTGTACATTTTTACATGTAATGTTATTAATAATCTAATTCACAGTGCTGATTTTTGTACCAATTAACTATTAAGGGGAGTTTTTTGTTCACGTACCTTTCATTTTGGCCTTTTCATTAAGTGTTTTTTCCAACCCTGGCTTATTCAAAATACATGCATCAGCCTACATTGTTTGCAAAATGGAAAATGAGCTACATTTTGTTGCACGTTTCAAGTGACAAATCCACTAGAGGGCTCTGTCTACATTTTTGCTAATCTAAAATACTTAGGGTACATTTTGTTATACCTTTTAGATACATTGTAGATTGTAAAAGTGCTTTAAAAAAGGTGAAAATACATTTATTTTCTTGTACAGAAATGCAGGTGGCTTACCATACAGATCACCGAGCATACTACTGATCTTAACCTTTCCCTAAACCCAACCAATAGTGTTTTCAAAAGCAAATGTAAAAGAAGACTACACTGCAACCACTTAGTTTTACCTTGATTTTGCATTACATTTATTTCTTTTGTGAAACTGTGCTTTACTGGAATTTCACTGGATTGCTTTGCATCACAAGTACAACACTGTACAATGTGAGCTACTGAGCAAACTGACCATGCTGTAAAAGTTGTCCATACAGAGATATATAGGTGAGGCTAAAATATTTGATAACAAAACATGAACACTGTTAAATTGTACGGTATTTACTTGCTTTTGTGCACAAAAAAATAGTCCTTTATTGGTCAATAATATGTTCCTGTTAATATAATTAGTGTGAAAAGGAGCAAAAGTTGTTGAAGTCATACTGCAATCAAACATATTTTGAAGTATGTTTTTGCATTTGCCCCAAAAATGTAGGCTGAAGCACATGTTTCCAATGAGCCTGTGTTGTTTTTTTCAGTCTAGTGGAGGTGGGGGGATGCCAAATTACACTTTAAAATGTTTCTTTTATCCCATTTTTATTAACTTGTGTCAGAAAATTAAAACTTAAGTGTAATTTAAAATTAGTTATTCCTCTTGCACTTCAGCAGCATTTACATGAGCCAATCATTAAAGTTTTATTCATATCTATATTCTGTAGGTTTTTACACATCGACAGCCTGCCACAGCATACTGAACCTTTGAGCAATGCGCTTATCTGGAAGCTCCTTCAGGCAGTATAAATGCCTATTTGTAAGTTATCCTGAAGGCATGCATCTGCCAAACAAATAAGTATGCATATATCTCTATCTTCTGATGTGTATCTTTTCAGTCTGGGAACAAGTACCTGCCCTTGATGTTAAAGTTCTTGCCCAGGAGCAGGTGTTTTAGGGACGGGTGTCTGGAGAAGGCAGGAATGACACACAGCAGATCCCCATCCAGCCCTGAAACCAACACAGAGATGTACAGGCAGAGTCAACGGGGAATAAAGCAAATGCAACAGAGGGGAAAGAGACGGGCTGAAGGTCGGTGGAGAGCAGACAAAAGCCTCCTTTCATTTATGCAGTTAGATGTCTCACCGTTGTCTGAGATGTCCAGTGTGCTGATGCAGGAGACTCTGGGGAAAAGGTCCTGTATTATCCCTGCTCCAGCAGACCTGAGCTGAGAGGCAGACAAACGGAGAGAATGAAAAAGAGATGCGCAGAGAGGGTGGATAGAAAGAGCCAACACTCAAACCTATAACATGTATAATTTATACAAGCACGCACTCATATATTTTCCAATAGCTCATCTGAAAGAGCATGCTCCTGCCAACACCAAGGTCATAGGTTTGATTCCCAAGACTCAACTCACATATTGATAAAGTACACCTTAATAAACAGTCACGTCTGGCAAATAAATTTATGTAATTCATTTTTTGATATAACAGAAAATCATGTCACTGTTTGAGGCTGATTTTGATATTTCAAGACAAGAGCAAGTTGTATTTTTCTTACTACATGATATTAGTCAAGGTTTTTGTTATTTATTTTTTTAAGTAACAAAGTGTTGTACATTTATAATGGATAAAAAAACAACCAAAGACTTACAGTGCCTTCAAAACTCATCTGCGTCAACCAAAAACTGGTCACACTTTAGTTTAGGTCACAATTCATGGTATTAATAAACCATTAACTAACACTGCTAGCTCAATAATCTATTAATTAGCTGTTTATTAATAGTTAGTAAGGTAGCCGTTGGGTTTAGGTATTTGGTAGGCTTAGGGATTCATAATAAGATTATCTTTTATAACTACCTATGAACAGTTAATAATATCTCAATAATTGGCAGGTAATAAGTGCCAATTAGTTAATAATGTGACCTAAACTAAAGTGTTACCAAAAATAAATAATTGAAAAGCCGCACTCTCAAACATCAAAAATCAAAACCAAGCAAGGAAAGTGACAAGCAATTGACTGAAGTAAAAAGATGCAATTGTTTCAGTCACATGTTGACCACTGTCAATGCCAAGCTAATTGTCAATGCATTACCTCTTGCTTATGTCTTTTTGATTTTTGATGTTTGAGAATTTGCTTCAGTTATTTCTTTGTGGGTAAAATGAGTTTGCTGTTTCCACTTCCACTTTCACTTTTTACATATTGGAAAGCGCATACTGGACAAATCCAGTTTCACATATATATTTTTAACGAATATGGCTGATCAGACACATAATTGTTTGCTTTTATTAAACAAATAATACACCACCAAGCTACCCAGAAAACGACGGGATAGTCAGTGTGTAATGGACACATGGACACACAGAGAACTTCTATAAGCTCCTTGCTTAGGACTGATGCTTTTAATGTAAACTTTTATTTTCTTTATGTGTAATCAGGTGTTTTGCAAAAAGTCTCTTGCTCATTTATTAATATTATGGTTTAAATACTCCTGCAATAAATGTTAAGTACTACCAGAGCTAAACAAGATCATAGATGGTTTATGTTTGATGTCCCTGCAAAGCTAATTTGGTGTACTAAACGATTTGCCTATGCAAATTACTACGTTATGGAACAAAGACTATAAAACGTGCCTTGGGGGAGTTAACTTCTCATTGGTCAACTAGGCTACCGGTACAAAACCACCTTTATAAAAGCTTGTGCCTAAGGCCACCGCTCAGACTAGAACCCATATCAGTGTAAACCCAGAACTAGAATCCAGGAGAACCCCAGAGGACTCCAGATAGTAGGTGGGGACCCAGTCAAAATGGGTTAATCGCACAGCTCAGACATTCCCATCTCCGATACCTTTCTTTCCTTTATGTCAAGAGTCTAGTTAAGTTTAGTTGACAACAAAACCAGTAATCAACATGACTAGCCCTTTTGCCACTTCAAAACTTAAAACAACGACCAACTCCATCCCACTCCAAGCCTCGCAAGGACAAAGAACTGACTAACAGTAAACTATGTGCTAAACAAAGAGTTCTTCACATCACAAAAAGAATAGGAAGTAACACTTCCAGACTACCGCTGAAATGGTGTAAACTAAATGAAATTGGTCTTACAAAATCAGGTTTTTCCATCATTACACACTCTTAAACTCCTAATTTTCTTCCTTTACTCTTCTCTACAACTGTATGAATGTGTGTTTGTGTTAGGTGTTAGTTTCTGTTAATCAGTCAATAAATATTTATTTTGTATAAAGAAAAGTGCCTGTGCATATGTATGAATCTAATGTCTTAAACTTCGATCTTGTTACCCTGCTTAAACATAAAATGGGTTGTTATTTTTGATAGCGATAGCCGTAATTGAAGTCAACTGTCCATTCAAAAGATCTCTGGACAATTCGTTTGTTCTGATTTAAAGAGTCAATTCTTTTGAAACCCTGTTTAAATTAATCTACAATTCACTTAGAGCTAATTCCCTACATTTTAGTAGAGGTTTTTAGTATGTTAATACTAAAACCTCAAAAGGTTACACTTTAGTTTACTTTACAGTTAACTAAAGTTAAAGTTAAAGTCAGAATTATTAACCACCCTTTGAATTGTTTTCTCTTTTTTAAACATTTCCCAAATGATGTTTAACAGAGCAAGAAAATTTTCACAACGTGTCTGATAATGTTTTTTCTTATGGGGAAAGTCTTATTTGTTTTATTTCAGCTAGAATAAAAGCAGTTTTAAATTTTTTAAACACCATTTTAAGGAGAAAATTAATAACCCCTTTAGGCATATATATATATATATATATATTTTTTTTTTTTTGATAGTCTACAGAACAAACCATCATTATACAATAACTTGCCTAAATACCCTAACCTGCCTAGTTAACCTAATTAACCTAGTTAATCCTTTAAATGTCACTTTAAGCTGTATAGAAGTGTCTAGGAAAATATCTAGTCAAATATTATGTACTGTCATCATGGCAAAGATAAAATAAATCAGTTATTAGAAATGAGTTATTAAAACTATTATGTTTAGAAATGTGTTTAAAAAAAATCTGCTCTCTGTTAAACAGAAAACGGGGAAAAAATAAACAGGGGGGCTAATAATTTTGACTTCAACTGTATGTTGCAACATGTTACCTGCAATTAGGCATGGGTCAGTACAAGATTCTGAGAGTATGACATCCTTGGATAAAAATATCACGGTTTCACAATATTACAACTGCTGTTCTAAAATATATACATTTTAAATGTCTGTGTAAAAAACAAAAACTTTTTCCCCATTGAACATGGTATATTTTATTTTAAAATGTATTTTTTTTCAAACAATACACATGTCAGGCTAAATAGTTAAAATAAGTCATGGACTTCTGCTGTCTTCATTAGTTTCAAAAACACTGATTTCTTTACAACTTGAAAAGGCATCTTTGGATATCTCTCTTTTCTTTGAATATAAAGTAAGTCACTGCAATGTTCAGATCTATAGCATGCTTGGATGTTAGTTCATAATCGATTTATTTCTCACATATTTCCTGAATCATGGACTTACCAGTAGCTTATGATGTGGAAGCTGTTTTTTTTTTATTTCTGTATGGACAAATTCAATGTAATAGTTGTAAAAACACATAAAAATACAAATACATTAGGAACAGTATAAAAGAAAATTTAACGGTTTCAAAACTTAAAAACTGCAGTAAACCTTAAAACTGGTTATCGTTCCATGTCTACCTGCAATACTCTCATTTAAGTATTTGTACAGCATTATAGACTACTGTAGGCTAGGTTTTGTAGAACAGGTTGTACTAAGCTACAAAATTTCTTAATTAAAATAAATAGTCACACTTAAAAATAAAGTTACATAACATTTATTAACATCAATTAAGATTGAACAATACTTGCACGGCTTTCATTGTTTATAGTTCATTTTGATCAACGTTTATTGCATTATTAAAATCCAACGTTAATAATAATAGTTAATGGGAATGTGGTTAACAATGACTAATAATGAATGACTGTATTTTCATTAACTAACATTATCGAACATGAAAAAATACTGTAATAACTATGTTGTTCTTTGTAGGAGTTCTTTTATCATTGACTAATTTAACCTTCCTTGAATGTGTTCCCAAATAAAGAGTTAATAGACATAATACCAATATACTAATGACTGTTGATTAGATGTAGTTGTAAAGTTAATTATATGGCAAAGAGAATGTCTAAAGTGGATCGAGCACATCTGATTATTGGGTCTATACTTGGGATTTCACATCGTAACTAGAGAGTTAAGCAAAAGTATTATTTCTGCCAGAACTTTACAATAGACAAATAAATAATGTACACGGAATGCATTTTTATATTGACCAGAATTTCAAATCGCTCTTGGAATACATTTAAACACTTCAAGATCTGAGCAAGTTGTCACTGTTTTTTACTCTAGGATATTCCTCAAGGCTTCTTTTTTTGAAGGTCAATTTCTGAGAAGGAACATGCACTGTGAAGTACTGTACATTCTGCGTAAATATATTTTAAAACATCCACAGCATTTTCAACAAAAACTCAGTACACCTAGACTGACTCATCTATTTTATGGTGTAAATTGGACATATCTACAGCTTTGTAATATTTTAAAGTTATTTAAGATGTTATTTTTTTTCTCATAAGGTTACCCTTTATTTTTATGGTGCTCTTTAACAATTATCTTTACTAAGTTGCAACCTTTGCACCATTTCACCTAATACTCATTAAAGTATTAGTACAGTTTTAGTCGACTGTTAGGGTTGGGATTAGAGCAAACAATTAAATTACTTACACATTTACTAAAAAAAAATTGAGACATTCTATTAAAAAAGATACAATTACACTTATAAAAATGTGAAGCTTGTCCTCCTCAAAAAATAATATAAAACAAGCCTAAATTATACAACTCAATGATAGAACGCATCCTTGATCAATGTCAGCTTCTCCTCCGTCAATTGGTGTCATTACCTTTTAGCCTTAAATGTGAATTGCAAGCATTGTATGTTAAATTTAGTGCAAATGTAACAGGACTCTTATGGGACAATTGTAAAATAGTATTTATTTGTGGAGTTTATTTATAATTTCATTTTTTTAATTGATTAAAGTGATTGATAACAACTGAAAATGGCTATTTCTGAAGTTTTTTCCAGCACAACAAAGCTGTAGGTACAATTGGGCTGAGGACAAGGACAATGACAGAGTTTGTAAATTTGTAGTGTTAAAAGAAAAAAAAAATGTAAGAAACTAATGAATGACATATTCCTGTACAGTACAACCCACAGAAATCAAATATCAGTCCATTTTAGAATTCTTTTGGCATGAAATACTTTTTATTCACTGTATTTATGTTTTTATTTTAAGGACATATAGTGTACGTTTCTGGTAGAATGTCCCAAATAAAATAATACAAAATAAAAATACAAATTACAATGTTACTTACTGACAGTGGAATGTATGTTGGAAGACAATTGAAATAAAGTGTTATAAGATGTTATACTAACATTATTTATATGACTTGCACTCGACATGTAGTTGCAAAGTTACTTATATAGTCAACAGAATGTCTAGAGCAGAGAAGCCCAAAGTAGGGCCTGTGGGCCAAAGTTGGCCCATTGTAACCTTTGATTTGGCTCACCATCTCATCTGAAGAGTGATAATGATGGAGAGGCGATTGACTTTGAAAGAGAACCTTTTTAACTGATTTGTTTTATTGCCGAGCTACAAAAAAGCATGTTTTTATTAAATGTTGTAAATGAATATGATTTCTAAACATGTAAATACTGTCTCTTGATGAATAGAAGACTATGCAGAAGAAATATTTGATCAAGGCAAAAACTCATGTAACTAGATTCTGTTACAAATGAGAATGTTTTTGTTTTTACTGTAATAAGTTCATTATAAAATGTAAAACAAGCTGTATAAGTTAAAATAAAGCAATGTTTTCTAGTTATGTTTAAATATTATTTAGTAAATTAGGAAATTGCCTATGGGAGCTTTATTTACCTTCAGCTCACTAGCCTCAGTCAAGTTAGGTTTTTGCCCATTTCACAAAGAAATCATGTAAAACAGGTTACCAGTGGCTCTAAATAAACTAACATATTAAAGCCTTTTACAGTTGCCTTACTCTGCTAAAACGTCTTTAACAGTATTGAGAACAGAAAAGGGAATGAAAAATACTATAAAACAAGCAGAAACTCTAGTGCCACTCGATACAAATAATAGGTATTCTAAATGTCAAGCTTAAACAAATTCATGTATGCGAAACTAACAGCATGTGGGAATTGTGCTATACATATTATTCTATTACTTGACAGTAATTATAAAAGTTGAATATGTTGGAATAAAAGTCACAGCGTGATTAAGATCATTAATAAAAGAGACTTGTATCCTGGAAAAGTGCAGTAAATGGATTAAAACCTTATTCTGTAGTTATTAAGATACTGTACTGAATAACCCCTGGGACAACAAACCCTGGTCTCTTCTATATATAGCTCTTCATGTAATCTTAATAATTTTTGAATCAAAATTATTTGCACAGTTGAGCTTTTAAAGTCAGAAACTACAACTAAAAACCCTTTTAAACAAATTCAGGCTTTTCTTTAAGTGTTTTCTTCTGTCCAGTGTGAAGTAAACATTCACAAACATTTTTAAGCGTTTCTTTTATGGCACTGTCATTTTGTGTCAGTATGGCCCTGTTTACACTGTCAGGTATTGATGCCCAATTCCAATTTGTTGCCTAAAGCTGATTGTTTGCCTGTCCATTTACACATTCTTTGAATTGTGACCCATATCCAAATCATGTGTTTACACTTGCCATGCAATTTATGACGGTATGCATCCGTAAAGGCGGGTTCCAGCATCTGCGCCACACTAGCCATGATGGAAAAAATAGTCTTGCTTTTAGCTCTGCGAAATATGAGAAGTTCGCCCAACTTTAAAATGATTTTGAGGTGGAGGAGGAGGGAAAGGGCCATTGTTGCAGCTGGTGTCTTTGGTTTATATATGGTGACCTTCAACATTTAGAGGAATTTGTGCAACCTAAACTCATTCTGGAAACGTATCCCCGCGGACGTTTCTGGAGACCGCGATTTACGTGGCTGAAGGTACGTAAGTCTGCGTTTAGTTTTTTTCGAGCGAATGCTGCGGGGCGGTGTGGCGGCGCTCCGCCCCTCCTCTTCGCGCTCGTCGGCCGACGGCTCGCCTCCGAGTGTAGGGCTTTCCCGATGCAACCAGTTTGTCCGCTTACCTCACAGCGTTGCGTCGGCGGAGCGGAGGCCCCGGAGGAGGAGGAGGAGCCGGCCGCGGGGACGACGACCGGGATCGAGTCTGAGGAACAGCGGTTCCGGAAATCAGGTAAGACGAAAAACAGAATCCGAAAAATAAGGGCGAGAACGCGACGGGATCTGAAAACGCGGTCGAAATCGAAGACGAGGGCTTTTGCTTTTTTTTTTTTTTCTGGACGGCTTTTGCGAACCGTCGCTCGGGTTTAGGGAAGGAGGAGGACGAGGAGGAAGAGGAGGGCGGCCGAGTTGGCTGATCCGGCGGCTTTTCGTGCGAGAACGGCGCAGGCGCGAACGGCGCACGCTCTCGAGAGGCGCCCGAGACGCAAAAAAGTGCGCACAGCGGCCTCTCGCGGATCCCCGAAAACAAAAACCGCTCGAATACGTACCTCCCGGGACGTATCTCGCGGTCCGCAGAAACGTCCGCGGGGCTACGTTTCCACAATGAGCCCGGGTTGAATTTGTGGGTACGAGAGGGATCTCAGGTCTGGTGGGAGCAAATTGTGGCGACTAACCACTTTCCTCCTCCATGTTTCCTCTGTAGTTTACTGCGTCAGTGCCTCTACACACTCTCTTCCTTCTACGTCATTAAACTGCGGAGAAGTGCCACATGTCGCAAGTTTAATGACATAAAATGGAATGCGTCAATAAATCCGATCTGCCTGCTTACAGGCTATAGTCGCATTGTCACATATATGATTTAAATCTGATTTATACCCACATATGAAGGAGGCCTGAAAACAATCTCTGAATATGCGAATGCATGCAATTTTTGTGTTTACAATTAAAATCCACATTTCAAAGGCTGTTTCCTCAAATCTGCATTTCAGCAGCACCTAAAACAAAACTCTAATCTTCAATGTTCAGATTTCTGTGCGGGAAAGGTATGTAAATTAGTACACATTTAGTTAAACATATCTGATTTTAATATTTAAAGATAACATTTTAGAAAACATTTTTTTAGAAATAAATTCTTAAAATATGATTGTTAATGGGTGGTCCAGAGTGTATTTTTAAGGCTTGGTTGTGTTTATAAGATGCAAATGTGTGCTCATGCTTCATTTGAAGAAAAACCTAATTACTTGTCATATATCTTACTTCAATTAAATGCATGAAAACATGAAAAAGGCCAATCCTCAAGAAGCTCTGGTTGGTCAGCTAACATAACGTGCTGTAATTCGCGGATTCATAGATCAGTTTTAACCAATTTCTATAATGGTTGGAGCTGCTCCTTCTCTGAGGAGTTTTTACCAGAATCCAGCTCTGAACTGGGAGAGATTCTGGAAGCTCTCCTTTGTCAAATGCTAGCTATAAATATATATTTTTTATAATTCTCTGGAACATAACTAAAATTAAACTATAAGCACTTCTCTCTTAGTGTTGTGTCCTTTGGAAGCCCAAATACAGAAACAGAAGTAGTTCTGTGGAAATAGCAGCATTTGGACGGCATTTTAGCCTTTCTGCTATAACATTAGTGCCTCTGGCCACGCCCCTTTGCTGAACTGGGTGTATATGCGTGGAGAATGCATGGTACCTAAAGCGCTCATGATCTCAATAACCGGGATGTTTTTTTTTGTAGTCCCCCAAACTTCGTTTGCTGTAGGCTGTGCCAAGCTAACTCTGTAAAAGCCAATGCCTCCCTTTGCATTGAAATTTGACCATATTACAATCAGAGATGTTGATTATGTTCACACAGGTACATTACACATTAACTAAAGTTTAAAATATGATCTCATAGTGGACCACCCCTGTAATTAGCAAACAGGTGAAGTATTACCCTTTTTACCTATAGTGTATTGCCTTAAAACCAGATGAAACATAGAATAATTTTATGAAGTCAAATATAAAATAAGGCAATGCAGGCGGCACAGAACTAGACCTACAGTGGACTCTCAAGAAAACCATTGAAAGGTTTTCTGTGTGACTAAATCTTTAGAGTGGCCATAGACTAGACAACAAAGAGAGGAAAAGGCATTTAAAACGCTCAAGCCAGATACAGGGACATAAGAGACTACCTCACAGCCGCTGATGTCCAGGTGCAGGTCAGTGATGTGAGGATTGGATGAAAGCCCGAGGAACAGAGCCCTGTGGAAGTGACAGAGAACAAATGGTCAGATGTGTGCTGTTTGGTGGCAAACAATCTTTTATATATATATTCTATTGTGTTGATTATACAGTAAGTGCATGCTGTAGTTCTAATGTCTCCTTAAAGCTGTGGATTCTGGTTGGCTGTCAGTGTTTTATGTTCACTGAATTCACTGTGTTGTTGTTATTATCACTGCTGTGGAGTGTTGGGTAAGTTATTTAAAAAAAAATAAAGAATTACTAATGACTGGGGCCAGCCAGAATCTGCAGACATTTTTTTCTATTTCTGTGCAGAATTTTGTAAAATAAAATCGGCTGATTTATGTAGAATGATTTTGTGAGAGTCATAACTGAAAACTTAATATATGAAATAAAAATTAATATGTGTACTTTTATTTAATGTTTAAGATGCAAATCCAATAAGATCCACTTAATTGGTAAACAAAGCAAGTTTCTCATATAATATACCTACAAAAAGACTGAAAATATTACTTCATAAACTGTATTGTAAATGAATCATATGATCATTTTCATATTAGTAAATAATATGCCTGAAAATAATTTAAAAACTAAATAAATATAAATGTACACACATTTACAATTGTAAATAAATCGACTCAATGATGAGCTAAAAATCAGCAGAAATTTCTGCGCATGTGCAGATTCCATGTGGGTCTACTAATGATAATAATTAAACAATGATTAAATAATATTTTTGAACTTTTAGATTTAGTAGCGAATTTGTACAATCTTATTTATACAATTTAGTACAATTTGCTTATCCCAATGACAGTTGGGTTTAGGGGCGGACTTTGGTGCCATGCCTCCTATTAAAAATCATAAATTTTTATATGACTGAACTCATACGAATTCGTACAAATTATCCCCTAAACTGACAAAACGTAAAATAGTTATGTTTCCTAATGAGATTAAGCTGCATTAAATTGTTTTTACATTCTTTTTTTAATTACTTTGTCTGAACAGTAACTTAATTACTCAATAAGTACTTAATTACTGTACCTGTTTTAATAAATTCATATAAATCTCAAAGCATAGGCAACAGATTTTTTATTTTTTTTTTAATGGGAGTCAAACTGGACCTTTTATTTGTATAAAAAATAAAAACACTTAAAAAATGTTAAGCATTTTATGTGAAACATACATTTTACAAAAACATAACATAAAAACAATAAATATAAACAAAAAACATAAAAAAACACTTTATTTTATTTGTCCATTATTTAACCAGCAAGTCTCATTGAGATTTAAAATCACTTTTACACGAGAGACCTGGTCAATGAAACAGCCATAAAGTAAAACAATTTTAAATACATAAAACACCACAAAACAACAACATTTCATCAGTCCCCTGATAAATATTAACCCACATGCTTTCAATACCACTTCCTTTATAATGCCTTTAAATTCACAGAAAGACACACATTTATTGAGTTTTAAGTCTTTTTGCGAACAGGGTATATGCAGAAAGACTTTTAATTTGTCAGTAATCTGGGTCAAGCGCTTTTGGTGAAGTGGATACTGTTAAAAAAACGTCGTGTTTAAGGTCTGTTTTCTTTCAAAATCAATGATATACGCTACAAAGTGGGTCTCAGAATGTACAAGAAACACTGCATTAAATTACATTTTTCTGCGCCATGTCTTTAAAGTGTTTCAATTTATTTTACTCCAGTATTCGAAATGGCGTTTCTGTGCTAGTCTGCAAATCCTTAAAGGCGCATGCGAGTAAACAGCTTTTCATCTCGGTTTATGCTTCAACAACTAATTGAACGCTGAAGTCTATTTAACTGATTATATTTTAATCACACTACAACATCGATGCTGTAAAAGGAACTGTATAAAATATAAAAAGTCACATTACCCATTCACCCGAAGTTTATCAGTATGGGAAGAAACAGTAGCTCTGCATATACCCTATTATTCCATGCACAAGGTGTACAATAAGAAAATGCAGTATTTCCCAGCTCTGTACAAAACCTCAAGGTATATTAAAAAGCTAACACTTGGAAGAGCATAGTAGGTTATTCCCAGAGCTAAGACAAAGATGAGTACAAAGATAAGCTGGAAGTTTCCCTAAAATAGCTTTATAGATGAAAATGTACCAGTGCTGTTTTCTGAGTACAGCTAGTGATGTCCAGCCCACCATCTCATATAAAATGTAATGATGAGTACGGGATTTTGCTTTTGTAATAAAACATAGAGAACCATTATATACAAAATCAGGTCAAATGTATACACTACCGGTCAAAAGTTTGGGGTCAGCATGATTTTTAAATGTTTTAAAATAAGCTTCTCCTGCTCACCAAGGCTGCATTTATTTAATCAAAAATATAAAAATTGTAAAATGTTGAAATGTTAATGCACTATAAAATAACTGTTCACAAGTAGTTTATTATTCAATTGAATAATTTATTTCAGTGATTTTTAATGCTGAATTTTCAGCTTCACTACACAAGTATTTAGAGTCACATGATCGTTCAGAAATCACTCTAATATTAATTATTACTATTGTTATAATTATGAGCAATATTATTATCATTATTATTAATTGTAATAGTATTAATTTAAGTAAGGGTAATCATTTAATTTGAAATTACATACAAAAAGTAATAAATAAATATTTAATAAATAAGTATTTAACAACCAAACTAAATTTACATTTAATTAATGCTGCATTGATGAACAGAATAATTTAATTTCAATTATTAAATAAAATTAATAATTAAAAAAAATAATAAAAACTGACCTCAAACTTTTGACTGATAACCTCAAACTGTTAAAACCCTCACACATGCAAGTTGGTTTCTGTGATTTTTATACCACTCTTTATATGTTTTGTATGTCCTTTATGTGTTCTTTTTTTATACTTTACAAACCACTTATTGCATGGCCTTACTCTACCTCTGTCCGTAAACCAAACCCTCACAGGAAACTTGTGGCACATTTTAAATGTGAAAAAACATAAATGTTAAACAGTTCTAAATTACAAACACACAAGGAAAGTCCCCATAAATCACCTCAACATTGTAATATCTTGGTCATACCCATGTCATTATACAAATTTGTGTCCTCATAAACCACATAAACAAGCATGCACATGTAACAAATTACACTTCTGTGAATTTATACCTTCTATTTTTGCTTCATAAAATAATTCATAATGTATTCCCAATTCATTGTTTCTTATGGAATTCTAATTAATACATTTATTTATTTATTTATTTATTTATTTATTTATTTATTTATTTATTTATTTATTTAATTATTTAATTAATTAATCAAAAAAATAAGTAATTCATTTAACTGTTGAATTTATTAGAAGTATTGTAAGTATAAGCAAGTACATAGTGAGTAACTATAATTAAATTACATAAAATAATCCCTTACTTTTTTTTTTTAGAAGAAATGTCAATAATTTACAGTAACTTGTTGCTTCATAACTAATTATACTCAGCAGTGCTGCAGTTTAGTTTAACATTATGAACACACAACAGATTAATGGACACCAAAACTGTTTGGTTGTCAACATTCATCTAAATATCTTCGCTTGTGTTCAAAGAAAAAATAAACTCTTAAGTTGGAAAAAAAATGTCAAAACATAAATGTTTGGGTGAACTGTTATTACTTAACATAAGATACAAAAACTAATATGTATTTTGACAGAACTAATACTAACCTTTAGGGTACAAATACCTAAGGAACACAGCCTAGCGAACAATCACACACACGTCATCATTACTGACAGCATTACATGCCTCATTGAAGAGACTTAGTATTTTATTATGTGCTTCCATGGCTGATCTCCATAATAAATCAAATCAGAAAAGGTCTATATGGACACCGTCAAAGCGTTACGCAGGTCTTAACGGATTAAGGGAAAGAGCTTAGAGATTAGCTCGACTCTGCTGTGGGCCGGTGCTGTTGACAGAAGAGAGCTTAAATCAGGTGTTCAGCTGGGTGTGACAACCCGTCTTGCGTTCGGCTTGTGTTTGTGAGAAGGGAGGAGGGTTTGACCCTGTTTGAAATGCTTCATTTGAAAACATTCTGGCTTTCCCGAAATAGCAGCCGCGTAACGTCTTGATTCTGACCTCAGTTATGGGTGCAGAGCTCTAAAACTAGAAATGAATCCCTAGAGAGGATTTTTTTTTATTCCTCTATTGAGCTTTTCACATCTCAAATTGCTAAATGAACACTCCACTTTTTTTTTTTTTTTTTCGGAAAAAGGCTCATTTTACAAGTCCCTTGAGTTGAAGAGTTGAGTTTTACCATTTTTTAATCTATTCAGCCAATCCGGGGCCTGACAGGAATATCTTAGCTTAGCATAATTAATTGAATCGGATTAGACCATTAGCATCTCAAAAAAATAACACATGCTACTACCTAGTAACCTAGCTAGGGACTGTTTTCATATCATCGTTATAAGGTTCTATCTGACATTTTTGTCAAAATTGAGATGCTGACATATTCTTATTTACAACTTATGACAACTTATTTACATTATGAGATGCTTTTTTTAAATAAGTTGTTTACATTTTAAAACTTTTTATTTAAAAAACAAATGTTACACACATACTGTTTGCTATGGAATGCAAAAACTTTGAAGCTCAATTTCTCAAAATTATTCAGAACGCAGTTAGAAACTTATAATTCCAAGGTTGAACTGCGTCAACTGAAAAACAATGATAACAATGATTTTCCCTTCAGGTACACAGTAGATTTTTTTTAGATGCAATAATTTATTTATAGTAAGCTTTCGCCAAAGAACTGAGATGTTCATTAATTCAGTCCTGTTAATCTACCATTCCAAAATTCATTCATTGATTCATTTTCTTTCCGGCTAATTCCCTATATTAATCCGGGGTCACCACAGTGGAATGAACCGCCAACTTATCCAGTATATGTTTTACACAGCAGATGCCCTTCCAGCTGCAACCCATAACTGGGAAACATCCATACAGTCTAATTCACATACACTACGGATAATTTAGCTTACCCAATTCACCTATCGCGCATGTCTTTGGACTGTGGGGGAAAACAGAGCACCCGGAGGAAACCCACGTGAACACGGGGAGAACATGCAAACTCCACACAGTAATGTCAACTGACTCAGCCGAGGCTTGAATCAGCAACCTTCTTGCTGTGAGGCGATCGTGCAACCCAATGCACCACCGTGACGCCCCATTCCAAAATTCATCAAGCTATATATAATACACCACTTGGAAATTCTTAGTTTCAGTGAATGTACTGGATTCAGCTATGTGTTTGAGTACAATGTTAAGGATAAACTTTTTTTATTCTAAACAGGTCTGACAAAACCACATTTTTGATACAAAAAATATTGTCATTTAGAAAAAATACAACTGGTAAAAAAAAACGGATTGACTAAAAATCTGCATTTTTTTCACGAAATATTGGTTCTGAAATACAGAGAAACTGAAAATCTCCAAGGATACTTTTGCTTTGGACACTGATAACGGACTAATGATTCTGAAAATTCAGCTTCACCATCACAGGAAATAATGCGATTAATTATTCTAATTTAAATTAGAATAGATCACAGTTATTTTACATTTTAAAAATGTCACAATATTAATGTTATAATATATGTTTCATTACATAAATACATATTTTCTGAGCAGCACAATTTTTACACTATTTCCATTGGAGCATTTAGCTGAGCAGTTCTTCAAAAATGATTACCTACACTTAACACTTTTTGGGAGAATTTGATCGATTTGATCAGCTCAGCGAGCACCTCAAATCAATATTCCATGAAAAAAAAAAATATGCCTGACTTTAAAAAAAAAAAAAAAAAAAAAAAGACTCACACGTTGAGAGTTATTTCACTGCTGCCACATGCTGAGATGAAAACTGTGTTCTTGAGCACTGCAGTGGTAACTAATGATTTTTGTGCTTAAAGTGACAGTTCACCCAAAACTGAAAATTCACATCTGTCATTATTTACACTAGTTTAAGAAATGTCTCACTGCTTTGTTGTTGTTGTGGTCTATAAAATAAAAGTCAACACTCTCTTAAACTGTTTAATTATCAAACCTAATTCTAAATTTAGTGTGAAAGTTGCTTTTATCTGTGGTTAAAAGCAAAGTTTATAACAATTATTTGCGAATGTTAAACATTTTTTGGTTCTAAGTAGGGTTAGGTACAAATACTCAATGCCATATTGACATATCTATGTGATCAATATCTATAGAACAGGATCAGAACACAGATATCAGTGTGTCATTTCAGCATTGAAAACATGGGCACAGAAAGGAGACGAAAAACAATGTTTAGAAAGACTTTTTATCTATCATAACTTCAGTGAAAAAATACAAATGACGTGATTTTGCACGGCAGACTGTGACTTAGATGGTACAATGTCAGTCTTATAACTATTCTTTCAAAAATAATATCTAATATCATATTTAAAACAATCTACTGACAGGGAATGTAATAAGTAGGGAGAGATGTCATTTTTTTTTTCCCAGACGAGACAAATATAGTCATTTTAAAGCTGGTTTGCTTACTTAGAAAATTGACTGCTTTGATGTTATTAGTACTGTAACTGTTATTTACTACTGTTGATGGGTTACAGTGCATCTGGAAAGTATTCAGTGCGCTTCACTTTTTCCACTTTCTTTTGTTACAGCCTTATTCCAAAATTGATTAAATTGATTTATTTTCTTAAAATTCTACACACAATACCCCATAATGATAATGTAAAAAAAAAGATTTTTTGAAATTGTTGCAATTTTATCAAAATAAATAAATAATTTAAAATCACATGTACATAAGTATTCACAGCCTTTGCTCAATAATTTGTTGATGCACCTTTGGCAGCAATTACAGCCTCAAGTCTTTTTGAATATGATGCCACAAGCTTGCCACACCTGAAAAGTTTCCCAACTTTCTGCCCATTTCTCTTTGCAGAACCTGTCAAGCTCTATCAGGTTGGATGGGAAGCAACAGTGTACAGCCATTTCCAGATCTCTCTAGAGATGCTCAATAGGATTTAGCACCATGCTTTAGCTAGCCTGGTGATGAGCGGTGCCTGGTTTTCTCCAAAAGTAATGCCTGGCATTCACTCCAGAGAGTTCAGTTTTAGGGCCTACTCACACTATGCTATCCGAATCGTGCACAGGCCCATTTCAGGGATCGTTTGAGAAGTTTGAGTGCACTGAATCGGGCTCAGGCACGGTTTACTTGGTCGGCCCTGGCCCGGTAGGAAGAGGTGGGCCTGAGCGCGGTTCACTTGGACTTTACGTTTGTAGTGTGAGAGCAAAACGCGCCAAAGCTCGAAACTGAACGCGAGACGTGACTTTAAGGGACTGTTTCATATGGATTTTTTAGTCATTCATACTGTTCAATGAATGCAAACCCCTCACTGCACGACAGCTGCGCACCTTCAGCAGACCTCCTCATTCCTGCAGCACGAGGGCTTTATGACTGTTTATGAGCGCCAAAAGTGGCGGATCTGTTCTCCTCTCTCCACAGAAGAACGCTGGAACTCAGACAGAGTAACCATCGGATTATCAATCACCTCCCTGACTAAGGCCCTTCTCCCCAATCCCTCAGCTTAGATGGCTGGTCAGCTCTAGGAAGAGTCCTGGTGGTTCCAAATATCTTCCACTTATGAATGAAGTAGGCCACTGTGCTTATTGGACCTTTCAGAGCAGCAGAATTTTTTTCTGTAACTTTTCCAAGCCTTAAGCATTAAGACAATCCTGTCTCTGAGGTCTGCAGACAATTTCTTTGTCTTCCTGCTTGGTTTGTGCTTTGACATGCACTGTCAACCCTGAGATCTTATATAGAGAGGTGTATGCCTTTTAAAACCAAATCAACTGAATCCAATCAACTAAATTTACCACAGGTGAACTCCGATTAAGCTGCTAAAACATCTCAAGAATAGTCAGTGGAAACAGAATGTAGCTGAGCTCAATTTAGACCTTCATGTCAAAGGCTGTGAATACTTATTTACATGTGATTTTTTCAGGTTTTATTTTTAATAAATCTGCAACAATTTCAAAAAAATCTTTTTTCACATTGTCATTATGTGCTATTGTAAATAGAATTTTGAGGAAATAAAGGAATTTTATCTATTTTGAAATAAGGTTGTAAAAAAATGTGGAAAAAGTGAAGCGTTATGGTTACTTTCAGGATGCACTGTTGGTGGTTTAGGTTTTTGATTTATTATATAAATTAGTTGCAAATTGTGATCACTTGTATGTTTTACATTTATGAATACTAGAAACTTTTAATATATTGCTTAATGTACATTTTATTTAACAAAAAGGCCATTCTTTAAATGTCCTCCATTTTTGTTTTGTTGTGCAGTTGAAGTATTTGTTTACATGCCATTTAGGCACCAGAACCATTTTAAAAACTTACAATTGGCAATGGTATTTAAAAACAAAAGAAGAAAAAAAAAGCAATACCAAACCTTTGTTCTAGTTAAATATGACCGTGGTCATATTGGCCATACATGTCATCCAGCATTAAACAGCTTAATCTAAATGTGGTTTTCCAGCTCAATCTCATCAGGAAATGTAAATAGTATTTGAATTGCTAGAAAAGTGAAAAATGTGTACAAATTCCAACAAAACATACAATCTTTTTAAAGAAAATGTGCCCCCAAACACCACCTCTAAACTCAACCAATATTGGAGATGAGCAAATCATACAAAAATGTGCAAATGAGTGTGTAGAAATGTATACGAAGCTGCTTAATCAAAAGTTACAAAGTGCTGTGAGATCTTGCTTTCCCTAATGTGGATATTTTGAAAGCTTTCAGGCATTTGTCAGTTGGCTAGGTTAGGAGACCAGCTGTCTAACCAGCTAAGTGCCAGCCAGATCACGCTGGGAAACCCAACTAAACCCAATTAACAAGCTAAGCCAGAATGAAAAGTCAAAATGGTGAACGTCTCACCTCAGCACGTCGGGAGGCATCTTCATAGAGGCCAGGCTGATATGAGTGAGGCTGAACGCTGAACTGAAGAACTGACGGAAGGAAGGAAGTGTCTCTCTCACTTTCCTAAATGTGCGACAGAAATGAAAGGGAGACTTTTATCCATTATACATCATAACACACTTCACAAAACACTGAGCAATACGCCAGAAAGCAGCTCAAAAGAACACCCTCTGGCTTATTAGAAAAAGAGTCATCTGTATCTCTATTACGTGTTAAACATTTTAATGACGTTCAACGTTTTAACTGTCTGGATTTATGGCATGAAACATCCGACCAAACAAACAATCCATTGAAGGGGGACAGGACCACACAGGGAAAATGAAAAAGTGACGAGGGGAGGTAAGAACATGACAGCTTATAATAGCGTTTCTGTGTTTGACAGTGACATTATCATTTAAGAAAGCGGGAGAGGGAGAAGAATATGTGGTGTAAACGTGTTAACAAGAGCAGAGAGTGTTAAGGGAACATTCCCATTTAATATTCATGAGCTCTCTGTCTTATCAGCTCAAACAGATTTACAATGCATGGCACTGGCGTAACCAGATTTACTCACACAGACACACACGCACAAACATGCCCACACACCTCGTACGGAGGTGCCCATGTGTGCAGCGCTTCTGTGCACATTTCTGAGTGCTCACATTCACAAGAGTGGGAGTTTGAGTGGGAGTTTTTGAGAAGATGGAATTACCACTAGGAAAAAGAGGCTATGTTTGCATTAGCTACTGACATACTATTCTTATTATTGCTGCAATATATAGTATGCAAAGCAAGTTGAATGTTTGGCAACATTTTAATTAAGATCATATCACAACCAGGCGTGCATTCACGAAAACCATCATTAGCCAACTAAGGTCACAAGTTGCATCGTTACAAACAGTTCGTTGATTTGGTGTTTCCGAAATCCATCGTTCCATTGAACATTCGCACTAGTCCTGTCCTGTCATGTCTTGTGCTTGACTCGAGTATTCTCGGGTCGGGCACTGCTTTTCTGTCAATGTGTGTCTCTGTATGAGTGCCATTTGTGAGCACGCTTGGGCCGTGCGCGTTACCGCTTGATGCGTGAGCGTGAGGTCTGGGCATGTTTGCGATTGCGCGTTCTCGTCCTGGTGTTCGTGTTTGTATGTCTGCAGTGTGGTGTTTCATTCTAGAGATCTGCGCGGGACTAAATTTTGAATCCCGCTCCCGCCTGCACCCGCCAGGTTTTAGCCGGAACCCGACCGCTCCCGCTTATATTAAGCACTTGATGTCCCGCTGCCCGACCCGCCCCGCTTTCTATCCGCCGCGCCCGATCCCGCTAAAGAGCGGGGGGAGAACAAAACCGAAAAATCACCCAGTTATACAGTTATACACCCAGTTATACAGTCCAGACAGCCTATAACAAGCTGTCTGTATAAACACACACACACACAAAGCTTTCTCTCTCATTCGCGCGCGCGCGCCCTCTAACACACACTCATAAGCACCAGGCACAAACACAGGCAATAGCTCTCTATCTCTCACTCGCGCACACACACACACACACACACACACACACGCACACACACACACACACACACACACACACACAGACATCTCTCATTCGCGCGTGCGCATACATACACACACACACTGCAACAAACAAGCTAAACACAGCATCGCGCTATTTCATTTACACACATACATACGCGTGCTCACTCGGGAGTCGGGAGCGATATTGCTAGACAGCCCGCTCCCGTCCCAAATTAAACCCCTTACCGACCGATCCCGTGATTTATTCGGAAATTTATACCCGCGCCGTAGAAATCTGGTCGGGTCCCGCAGCGCCCGCAGGACAGCCGCGGGAATGCAGACCTCTATTTCATTCCCAGTGTCTCAGTCTATTTGGTTTCAGTTTCGATTGCCGCTGTGATGAAACATGCACGCTGTGTATGCGTGTGAGTGCACGGTAAGTGTTTTTATTCATCACGTACTCGTGTCTCACGTTAAGTCCTCTGTTGGTGTAGTGTTTAGCACGTGGCATTAGTGTTGTCATATGAACATGCGGTTAATGAGTTCTCTTATTGGCTGCGTGTTTTAGTTTCGCTTTATGTGAGCACATGGTTTGTGGTGTTTACTTGTGTCATGTGCTCTCTCGTCTATTGTCTAGTCCCACCCTCCTTGTTAACCTATAATTAGTTTATTATGTTCACCTGTTTGTTAATTATTTCTGATTATATTCTCCTCATGTCTGTTGTTCTGTGCCAGTTCGTTGTCATTTGTAGCCCTATCATGTTGTGTTTCCAGTCCTGATCCCTGCCAGCATGCCCAGTCAAGTTTGTTTGTTGTTGTTTTTTTTTTTTTTTGTTTTATAAATGTTTTCCCCTCGGGGTAGTTTATTTTGCTGTTTGTTTTATTTTTACTAATAATAAATACCCATTTACCCTGCACTTGAGTCCTCGCTCCTTTTCCCCTACACAGAATGTGACAATAGTACCTGGTTGTGTTCTATTTATCCCCCCTATGCCCTATTCATTTAGAACGTTTGCTATAATTTGCTTTCAATGTATTTTTACAGTTCAGTTTTGCATTCTTCATATTGACAATTGCGTTCTCTTTGTAGTGCACTTTAAAAACTTTTATGCCATGGCTCATGACGAAAACTTTAGGTGACCTATAATTTAAAAGCAGAATTTACTTCACGTCTCCAAAGCTTGTAAAAACAAATATATAGCACGTGTTAATGGTTTTAATTTATAGTATGTTTTTTATTAAGAAATGTATCTGTACTGTATATGACATGGGCCTGTTGCTAAGAAGATTTCTGCAGTGGTTTAATTGTGTCAATTTGTAAAAGTAGACTTTAAAAAATAAATAAACAATATTCTACTTAATGATAATAATAACAAAAATAATGAATTGATAATAATTATTATTATTATAAATATTATTAATAAATATGATTTTTTTTTCATTTCTTAATAAATGGCCTACTGTAAATTACAACCATTAACGATTTGTATGATTTATATATGAGATTATAATACATGTTAGCTAAGTGATTTTATGTTTTAAAATAGAATATGGAATATTCTCAATAATATTTGTTAAAGAAACATGGACCATACATTTGCCATTTAAATATATTTCAATTAATATGGAAAAAGAGTGAGTGTTTTAACCAAAACTAATTTTTCTAAAAGTTTTTTAAACTGCTTTTAAATGAGTGTCCGTGTAAAACGATATAATTTACAAAAAAAAGTAGGGTTTTTTTTCTAAAGAAGTTGTTACTCCACCCCATTTAGAGCTTTATTATGGACGTTTTCACGTTATAACAAACATGGTTCAAATGACAGATCTGCAACAAAGCAACTACAGTTTTGGGAAACACTTGTCACTACATTGTTCTTTTCCCAAATGATGCATTGTACTATAACTGTTCAGCCAGGAGTTATGTTGTTGTTTGGGAAACGCACCCCAGAATGATAACTATAAAGATTAGCATAGCAATATAATTCTATATTCTATAATCTAACATTTTTAAAATTAACTTTTTTAATTCTTGACCTCATTAAAGTGATTCATCCAAATTCTGATTGGATAAGACATTTGATTATTATTTATCCCCTGGGGAAAAAATGTCCTGAAAGTGATTCAAATGATAAAAGGGAGTTTTCTTGACAGCCACTTTCAGTGCTCTAGTACAGGGTGCCCAAACTCGGTCCTGGAGGGCAGTGTCCTGCAGAGTTTAGTTTGAACCCCAATTAAACACACCTGAACCAGCTAATCAAGCTCTTTTTAGGTATACTAGAAACGTTAGACCCCGCACACCAGCCCCACAGGACTGAGTTTGGGCACCCCTACTCTATTGGATTCTCATTGGCTGTCAATGTTTTTATACATATTACATATTATCAGCTAAAAATAAATTAAATTTTAATTTTAAGAAATTAATTTTAAGAAAAGTAAAATAAAATTAAATAATATTAAATAAAATATATCATTGAGTATTTACAGATTAAGACAACCCAGATTAAATATTTTACTAGACGACTAATGCCTTTAGTTAATTATTGATTGATAATTTATACATGTTGGTGTTGCCAGACCCTCAAACACCGTTGTCAAGTAAATTAACAACAGAAGTGTTGTAACATGTAAACACCCCTCAGCTTTACAATAAAACACTGCCCAGAACTGAGCTCTATATGTAAACTAGTTTTTCAATCTCAAAACAGCCAACAAAGAGATTGTTTCAATCTTCAGACAGCCAATCATCTTCAAAACTTCCTCTCTGCACAAATTCAAACCCAATTAAGAACAAACACATTCGCAGGAAGTGCAAAGGATGAAGAAACCTTCCAATCTGAACACTAGGATTGGCTAAAATTAGCCTCATTTTTCAGAGAGTTTCTCATAATGCCGTTAACGTGCCGAGAGGGGAGATGGAATTGCTGGTTGGGTTTAGAGAGTCAGGCAGCAAGATTGATCATGGGGGTTTTGTATCTCCTCAGCCTACAGCTTCCCTCATACACAGACATCTGGTGAAAACTTCATAACCGTTTAAGATTATTGTAATACTACTACTACTAATAATAAATATTATTAACTTAATCTATTACCTGCTTTTTTATTGATGTTTTCGCTCAGTTATAAAGCAGATTTGTCACATGAAACCATGTTTTTATCTGCTACTGTAATAAGCTTTATTACGATCTGTAGATCACGCAGGTCCATCAGCTTTCTCTGCACACTGATGTCTCAGTTTAACTCATAATGCATCTCTTCAGGCACTTTTCAAAAGCACTTAATCAGCTTCTGATGGGAGCTGAATCTAGATGATGAAAGCTGTCGTCTATGGTTACTAATAAGTGCAAGTTGGTGTTGATGGTGGGTCAGGACAAGTGTAAGGAGACATGTTGAGGTTACTAGTCTTATATAATCTTATGTAATCTGCCAGAATAACTTTGACAAACCAGCAAGCTTATTATTATAAAACACTTAAATTTATAGTAACTATGCATTTAAACATCATGGAAACAAAATTGTGTATAATTATAACTAAAACAATTCTCTGATGCATGGTGAGCACTTCAGGTGAACAGTTACTAAATTAGTTAATATTACACTGAAAATAAAGAAAAGCGAAATATAAAAAGAAAGACATAATAATTAAATAAAATAATAAATAAATACATTTTATTTAATATCTTTATTAGATATTAAACAATTCATGCACTGCAAATAGGCCTGCACAATTAATCGACTTCAAACCGAAATATGATTTGAAAAGGTGCAATTTTCAAATTGCAAAAGCTGCGATTATTTCAATTATTACTATGGCGAGGAAGGCGAGCGCAGGTAATTAAAACAATCCAACTAACGTTACTTAAAAAGTGGATAACTGTTACAGCAGAACCCAAAAGCTGTGAACTCCATGCTTTTCTGTGTGTGTGTGTGTGTGTGTGTGTGTGTGTGTGTGTGTGTGTGTGTGTGTGTGTGTGTGTGTGTGTGTGGACTTTTGACCTGATTGCGTGAGCTAACATTTCGTCTCCTCTCTCCGCTTTTACATCGATTCTTGTAGAGTCACAAACACACGAGCATGTTACTCTGCAGCGCAAGTTTCCTCCATGCATCTGTCACGGATCAGCTGTGATAACCGCACACACATTATTAACATTATTCTTCAATGCGGGAGTGCGCTCGTTTTTGCGAATGTTTTAGAACTTCAGATTCAGCTGCCCATGGGAGACTAGGCATAATTAACGGCAGAAAATGGTCAATTGACTTGCTCTACAAACAAGTGTTTGCGTGACTATACAGACAAAGCAGAAAAATAGAATAAAAAAATATCAGTTTGCAACACCAAGAAGCGTAACAAGCTGTTTTTAATGTCTAAAAATAAATGGAAGTGAATGAGTCTCTGGCTGTGCCCGCTCGTAGACAGAGAATAAGGTGAATAGATCACAACCATTTATCTGTATTTATGTCACTCATCAGTGAATAACGCCAGAGCAGCACTGACCGTAAAGCCAATTGCAGCCCTTTCTGTTGAGTGCAGGAAGACAATGACCAATCCCGGGTGTTCCAATCAAAGAACTTGCTTGACAACCCTAAAAATGCAAGCGGTATAATATCTACTTGCTATAAAGGCTCATGCTGTTCTGTGCCCGAAATCAATGTCCTTGAGTTTTGTCTGATACATTCAAAGAGTGTTTTTTTTTGAGCAGGTAAAATTTAAGGTACAGTTCATGTACCTGTCTGCTGTATTAAAGGACAAAAATGCATTTTAAATAATATACAAAAATAAATATGTTTATTAACTATACATTTTAATACATGAGTTCTTGTGCTGTTAAGTAAAATCTAAACTTGTGTATGGAAAGCATTGTCAATGCACCATGAATATTATGAAATCAATATGAAAAATGGAACAATCTAAATGTAAAGGTTTAAAAGGTTTATATATAAGAAAATATACAATATTTTAGATATAATTTATTTAGTTTAATTTAAAATCTTGTAGTTATTTTCTTATTTTGTGATGACAACTGACAGCTTTATTAGAAAAATGGCATAGTGTAGTGTACTTTGTGATTTTGCTTGGTCTTTTTTTGGTGCTATTAAAACCACCACATCAAACCTGCAGCTTAAAGTAAATCGCTTTTTAAATCACAAATCGCAATTTTGATCAGATAAATCGCAATTAGGGTGACGCGGTGGCGTAGTGGGTAGCACGATCGCCTCACACCAAGAAGGTTGCTGGATCAATGCCGCTTGGTGACCCCAGATTATTAAAGGGACTAAGCTGAAAAGAAAATAAATGAATGAATAAATAAATAAATCGCAAATAAGTTTTCTTCTCCAAATCGTGCAGCACTAATTGCAAAGTTAATTTATAACTTCATTCTGCAGTACTGGAAATTTGTTTAGTTTTTTCTTTGTTTTAAACTGACAAATTTGTATTTTTATGTTTTTTTATTATCATTATTTGATTTATGCTTAGTTTCATTTTTGACCTGATAAAACTAAACTATAATAAAAAGTCTTAAAGGCTGCATTTACACAGCAGATCTTGATGGTCAATTCTGATTTTGTGATTGTATCTGATTTTTTTTGATGACCTGCTTACATCATCTTTCAAAAGTGACTCGAATCCAATCGTCTGCATTTCCAAAGCACACGGCAAAGGCGCAATGACCAGGAAAAAAAGAGCGGGCGCAGACTAACAGCTGATAGTTAAAGAGTGCTTTTTTCTCCAATCCTGTATGTAATCTGTTCGCAGCTTTTGACAAGCTGTTTTACAATAGTTTATGACAGAAAAGTTTTCATTTGTCCATCTTCTTTTGATATATAGGCTTTTTAAACCTTTAGGCATCTTAATGTAATGTTCATGGCATGATTTATGCAGGTGATGTAGCTATGCACTAGTTTTATATTAGTTTATATTGGTTACGTGGCGGACATTGTTCTCGCTCTCATTAACACGCGAAAATACCTGTGCTATATGACAATATGAAAGCTGTTTAAGTTCTCGTGTATAAAATTTAAGTTTCGAGACTCTGCTGAAGTCTGTTCTGAAATGAAAGTGTCAGACTTGACATCAATCTCTTTGGTTTTTAAAGACTCGCATTGACAAGTGAAAATCTACCTACTTACACTGCAGACATGAGAACACAGATCCGATTCATACCAGATAAATTTCCACATATAAACTAGGCCTGAATCTGATTTAAGTAAATCGGAATCCATGTGATTTGTTCCTGCTTACACGTACATGGGCCATATCGATCTGTGCCACATGGGAGAAAAAAATCTGAATTGAGTCATTTGAAGTGAGTCACTACAGTGCAGTGTAAATGCGGCCAAAGGTATAGTCAACCCAAAAAACAAATCTTTTTCTAAAACTTTTTCAATTTATTTCTTCTTTTGAAAAAAAAAAGGATTATTTTACTTATAAACTGGTAGTCATTGACTTCCATAATCATTATTTTTTCTATTATAAAAGTTCCAGTTTTGGTTTTAACAAAATTATGGATGAACCACTCAAGTGTAAGTAAATGGTTAGGGAGTTATCCCTTTAATATCTTTAAAAAATATCTTTAAAAAATATCTTTGCTTCTCACGTACCAATAATTTTGACAAAGTTTTGTTGTTGCAACTGGAAAAACAAGAAAAATACAGAATTCAATTGTATTTCAGTTTACTTACACAACACTTTCCAGCAGGATTCAACCTTTTATTGTCAAACTCAAAGAGCAGAAAAACACCCTGAGAGGATCTCCCTGAGCTGAGTCACACTGTCTGCTGCTGATGTGTGTGTGTGTGTTTGTTTGTGTGTGTGTGTGTGTGTGTGTGTGTGTGTGTGTGTGTGTGTGTGTGTGTGTGTTTGTGTGTGTGTGTGTGTGTGTGTGTGTGTGTGTGTGTGTGTGTGTGTGGTTGAGCTTTAACTCACCTGTGAAGCTCACTCAGAAGTGGCAGATTATCATGCGAGAGCCTGTGGGAGGCAGTTTAGCTCACCTGTGAGAGAAGGAGTTTTTCGACAGGTTCAAGTAGGAGAGATCGGCACAGCATCCCCGCAGCAGAGCTCCAAATAACTGAAAGGAAATTCAGAAAAACAAAGAGCGGCAGAAGAATGATGGGCATTAGTATAATTTTGAAATCTAGGACCATTAAATTTGACAGAAATATCAATATGAAATCAGAGATAAATTGTTGTCTCGCGTTCCTGGTGCAATGACATAAATCATGGTGAGTAAAAAGCGGGTTTGGTAATAACAAATTCAGAAGGATGAGACGTGCTGTCAAACTCACAGAGTCAACGGTACAGTCAGTGCCTGACAGATCCAAATGCACCAGGCAGTTCGGCTGTGCCAGAAACAGGTACAGATTCTGCAACGAGGAGGAGGAGGATTGAGGCTGTTAATAGAGCTGTGTGTGTGTGTGAGTGTATCTGTGTGTACAGGTTTATGTGGTTAACAAGGACACAAATTATAATGACATGGGTATAAATTAGTTGTACTACATTAATGGCGAGTTCAGACTGCACGATATTCAAAATAATCACGTTATAGATGTTTTCACACTGCATGACTATCTGGGGTAGAGTTCAGTCGTTTACACTGCAAGATGGATTTATAACTTATAGAAAAAAACTGAATACAAATTTTTAAAAGAGGAAGAATCAAGAGAAGCAAAAAATAAATAAAAATTTGGTTGAAATTTTGTAGGTTGTAATTTTTTTATGCAATATTTTTTCTTGAATTTAATTGCATTATCTTTCAATTTCTAAATATGTTTGGTGACTAAAATATTATTTTAATAAATACATATTTTTAATAAATATATTTTGTTTAAATGCACCAAAATACATTGCCTATATATTCAATAAGAAATGGATACAAATTCAAAATGGGGTGTACTGTTATGCTGAGCACTGTGTGTGTATATTTCATTTCATTTGAATAACAGATACACCTTTCACTGTATTTGACACTGAAATATTTTGTAAAATTAAATGACTAAATTAATCATTTAAACCATTAAATGCATAGTTTTCTTTACTGTCTCCTTTTAGAAATGGAATATGTCCTTGCTAAATAAAATAACAATTTAATTTTACTGCCGGATTTTTAAATGGTAAACATATTATAAAACTGTAATACTTACTATAATATACATATATACTGCGGTTGCTCCTCCCCAAATAACCATCAGAAATATTTTCCCCACTTATAAAATGTTACCAAAGCATTTTCTAATCATCATACTAGAATGATTTTGAAGGATTGTGTAAAACATCTATGAATGAATCATCTTTTCAGCTGATTTACTGCACAGAAGTCACACCTCTTTTTGCGCATAGATATTTATTGTTAATGCTGCTGTTCATCACATTCATGATATTAATGTACCAAAAATGGAATTGTTTCTTCCTCTTGGTAATTATTTCAAATGTTTCCATACAGATGACTAACCTTACTCACACAGATCTGTGAAAAATTACTACAAGCGATCAATAGCTGGCAATATCACTATGGAAAGAAACACTACACACCAGGCAGATCTTGTAATCTGTTCACTCTGTTTTGGTTGTCAAGTTCTCAAGCATTTTTTAAGACCAATAACATTAGACACTCTTTGATTTTACCAACTCAGCACATATATCTATTCAGTTCTCAGAGCACCATAAGTCAAATCCACTTGTGTAATGTACTAATAAATTAAACACAACTCCACATTTTGGCTACTGCCTTGTCCTCCGTTCTGCTGCACATTCATTCCATTGGCTCATTAAAAGTCCCAAGTTTACACTACTCACATCAGCTACTTTGCCACAACACAGCAAAGTAAACTAAACAAGCTGGTATTTAGGGAAATCTTTTTTTTTTTTAATGACATAATTGACTTTTTTCATTGGAACACTTTTGGGCTTACTGACCTATCGTATTGTGCACTAATGCAGATTGTAAACAAATATCAACCCAGGCACATTGGAATTATGTGCAAATGGCTATATTTTTCAAAACCAAGAAATATGTATAGGGGCCTACAGCCCCTGTCACATAATGATACCGGTAAATATCTGGAGAATTTCCAGAACGACTTTACCAGTAAATTTAACTATGTGCTGTTCACACAGACAAGGACGTTTCAGAATTTTTAGAAAAGACTATTCACACATCCATTCCAAAATACCGGTAAATTCTGACATCATTAACCAAAAATGAGCTCTAAATGGCTGCAATTGTGTTTGTAAACATTAGGGTTGGGCCGATAGACGATGCCATCATCCATCGCCGATGGTCAATAGACAACATGATGCTGAGCCGGCATCGCCGATCCTCCACCCCACCCCCGTCGCAAACTTCTAATAACTAAAATGGAATTTTAGACAAAAATGGTCCACATCCACACCGTGTTTTACCTAGCATTCCTGAACAGCCCTCCGTCCGCTGAAAACGCACATCAAGTGACCACACACACAGACACAGCCACACACTGTTATGCGCTCTTCTGAGCTCCAGAGAGCAGTGCACGTTGGCCAGTGTATCAAGGATGTACCGCTTGATCGCATCTCACTATAGTTATTAAATGTGATATTCAGACATCCCAAGTCTCCCGAAAGTTCCATGCATTTGCGGGACTCATAATGCCCACAAACGAGTGATAATCTACCTGAAATCGCACGTCTCCCTCCCGGTGCTCAAATAAGTCGCGCACCCTTCTCACCCCCAGATCCCTCCTCGCTCTTCAGACACGTTGTGCGCACTCTATCGTGCCATATTGTTCATTTTACACACAAAAGATAGCCATATGTACCCACAAGCACATATATTGGTGGTTCTCAAAATGTATCCCTGGGCACATTTTCCTAATGTTGACAAATACACAACCCAGCCCTTTTAAAACTAAAATGATGCTTTCTGCATTATCAAAACACTACATTTTTTGAGGTTGAAGTTGAGAGTAGTAAAAAAAAGTAATAAATACAATTGTACATATACACTAATGTTGCTTTTCCAATACTGCACTAACCAACACACTGTCTCTTTAACTAAAGTAACTAGCTCAATTTAAGAACATTGAAAGTAACATTCAAATAAAAGCAAGTTCTAACCGTTGCATCTTCTCCAGACAGAATGCCAGGGTTCTTACTCAGATCCAGATGAAGAAGAGAATTGGAGTAGTCATCACTAGAGCACAAGGCCTGCGAAAGAGACGTGACACCTGCAAAAAAAAAGACAAGAAGAATCACACAGTAAACTAAAAGCACATTATTTTGTGAGTGAAATTATCTGTTTAGTATTTTGAGTTAAAAAAAAAAGGTGTTTGGTGGAGTGACCTCCACAAGTTTGTTTTAAATCTGATATGTTTGACTTGAGAATGATAAAAGAAGCATCTTGAATTCCAATGGTGCAAAAAAAAAAGTATTTGTTCACATGAGTGTCACAAGTACTGTATACACATATTTGATTAGTGACTTGGTTTTCAATCCCAAACCTCTCTGTGTATTTCTAGGCTTAAATTAGATTTTGAATCACTGAATTTTAATGTGGTCTCAGACTTCTGGACTCCATCACTAAACCACAGCGACATACACATGATAGTCTGTAAGCACAGTGGATTTTCGTTTTGTTTCTAAACACAGGAAGAAAATGCTAGTGATTGCCTTTTGTAGCGTGAGACAAAAAGACAGCTCTGCTAACTCTGTTCGGTGGCAGCTTGCCAGTGAATTCAGCCAGTACACTTTCTCACCAGGGAGTAACAAAAACATCCCAGCGCGATCTCTAAAAGGAGGAATTTACTCATCAAAATGTTAACCGGCGCAACCTTTCATGATCCGCTAGTTCTCGGATTAGCTTTCAGTTGCTGTAGTGCATATTTTGATGAGTAAATTCAGTTTTTACTGACGGTACACTATAAAAAATGCACTCTTATTTACTCGCATCGATAGTTCCATGAAACATTTACATTCTGCAAAAGTCTCTTTACAGTTGACTAAAGGTTCTTTCGCTTTTTAAATGTGAAAACAGGAAGAAGAAAATATTTTTTAGAACTGAAATTTGGGGGTCAACTCAATTTAGGTCAACTTAATTGGCCATAATGAATGAATGTGTGTGTAAATGAAAGCGTGTATGGGTGTTCCGCCAGTGCTGGGTTGTGGCTGGAAGGGCATCCGCTGCATACAATAACATAGAACAGAGTAAGTGGTGGTTTATTCTGTTGAGGTGACCCTTGATAAATCAGGGGCTAAGCCAAAGGAGTGAGAGGTGTGAGTGATAAAATTTGATTTTGGAAATTTCATTTTCAAAGGGATTGTTCATCTAAAAAAAATATTAAAAATTAAAAAAAAAAAAAACTGTCAACATTTACTCAACCTCAAGTGGTTCCAAATCTATATGAGTTTCCTTCTTCTGTCAAACACAAAAGAAGATAACAGATAACCATTGACCTCCATAGTATTTTTTTCCTATGGATTAGAGATGCGCAGTATACCGGTCTTGGAAAAATACATATGTGTTAATAGTTTATTCAATTCAGTATCATAATTTTGCTTAATTTGCTACTTTTGGTACATGTTGCAATTCCGAAGTTCACGTGTAGTTAGAAGTACTTCATAAGTTGTGATCTATTGTCATTCTTTTGTCAAGTTTACCACTTTTAGCAGCAATTGTGAAGCACTGTTGATCAGTGGTGAATAACAGATTATTACATCTGAATTATGAAACAAATAATGCACTCACCAATCGATCTCTAAACTTACAGAAAAGATCGAGATGAGCAAGTGATTTTGAATCTTGACCATCAGAATAAAATTAACAGTTTAGCAACCTTTGTTATGATTTATTAGGTTAGCTGACTTAACAGTGGTACAGAAAGTCCTAATCTCAAATTAATTACAGATGATAAATGAACAACTACATATGTTAACTATAATGTGTTAAGCTAACGTATTTTTATCAAACTGTAACATATTTTGTTAGTTTGATACCCAGGTATTAATATATGAAGAAAATATTGAAGCATTTATTTTTAATATTTAAAACTATATTCTTATTTATATTCTACAATTGAGGCTGGTTATTTATCACCTAGGGTATCGATTTTAACGTCGATTCAAAATCACTTGCTTTTCTAGATCTCTAAGAAAAGATCAAGAGAAGCAAGTGATTTTGAATCTTGACTAACAGTAAAGCAACCTTTTTTATAATTTATTAGTTTAGCTGACCTAACAGTGCTACAGAAATGTATATTCTATTTCAAATTATTATTATTATATATGATAAAAGGAATACTACAAATGTTACCAATAACGTGTTTTAAACATGTACCTAACATATTTTTTTTATCAAAATGTAACATATTTTGTTAGTTTGATACACAAGTATTCATCTATGAAAAAAATATTGAAGTATTTTTTATTATTATTTTTTAAAATATATTATTATTTAAATTCTACCTTTGAGGCTTGTTATTTAGGGTATCAATTTAATATTGATACCAAGGTATTACATTATAGTATCTCACCAAATCTAAAATGTGCAGGCACTAAAGTCTAGTGATGTTAGTGCCTGCGTTCCTATATATATATATATATATATATATATATATATATATATATATATATATATATATATATATATATATTTGCTTTTTGTGTTCGACAGAAGAAAGAAACTTTGGATTGGAACAAATTTTAGTAAATGATAATAGAATTTTCCTTTTCAGCTGAACTGTCCCTTTAAGAGTGTATGAAGCTGATTTAAAAAAATAATCCAATTTAATTGCAATTTAAGTTGAAAGCAAAATGCTTTGTATTATCTGATGAAGTTTAAATCAACAAAGTTAAAACTTCTGCAATAAAGTTGTGACAATCAAATTACAAAGAAAGATTAATGATGGCAGCTGCTTGGAGTGGATGTTGATTCATGGCGTGTGTTGGAAGGCTATCCATCTATCCACTCGTTTTTAAAACTGTATTGATTGAAAGAGAAAACCAGAGGTTTAGCAGACTCTGGAAGCAGCCAAGGATGCTGGTAATTGAGTCTGGGCTTTCCAAGAGGAGACCGGCTTTTTGGTCATGACTCTGAAGCTCTGAAGTCAGATGCAACTAATCCGTCGATAATCTTACCGATTGAAGAGAGAGCAGAAAGCTGACTCTAGATCAGCGGAGTGAGAAAACATTACTTTAAAGGGTTATTGTGTGACAGGCTGAGTTAGATAGATTTGCTCTGTTGCTGCTCTTTGACAAATTATTATTTTGTGCTAACTTTCAGACAGTTTTTCATTTTATATCCCTGTTTTATATATATATATATATACAGTTGAAGTCAGAATTATTAACCACCCTGAATTATTAGCCCCCCTGAATTATTAGCCACCCTGTTTACTTATCTGAAATCTGGAGTCTGAATATTCTAAATGTTGGACCATTTTAAAGTCGTCCAAATTAAGTTAAATGCATTTTTCTAGTCAAAAATTTTGTCTTGATATATTTACAGTAGGAAATGTACAAAATATATTAATGGAAAATTATTTTGACTAAATATTCTAATGTTTTTTTTTAATAAAACAATCCATAATTTGCTCCATACAGTGTATTTTTGCATATTGCTAAAAAATAATCCTTGTGCAGCTTAAGACTTTATGGTTCAGGGTCACAAGTAATAAGTAGATAAATATGACCTCACATGAACTTGTTTACACGTTTGCTTGGCTTTCACTCGCTAATTGGGGACGGTTGTTATAAACTCAACCAGCAGAGGGCACTACATCTCTAGAGACAGACCAAATCTGCACACACCCTTTGAAGAGAGTGACGTCTTGGAGAGGTTGAGCAGACGTAGGCCTTTACTGAGCCTGCAAACCTGCTGGATGAGGTTCGACACCCCTGTCAAAAAAACACAAATGCATCGGATCAGTCGCACGCCAATTTCACACAGCACATTAACATGCAGCTTCAGGCAAACACTGACATTGTTGGAGAGTTGCATTCACACATGCACTTTTCTGATGTGATAGACAATGACACGTGTCAGGCATGATGGCAGATGAAAACTCTGACCCTGAAGCATATATAGTAGAGGACATCCTGCTAGTGTTGGGAATAGACCACTAGCTACTATCAAAAGGTAGATAATTACACTGAAACTGTGCAAAGGAGCGAGTATCAGTTTGCATATGTAAATATATGCAGTTATATAATTCATAATATCAGAGTCGTGAGTAATTATCTGGAACGGCCTACATGTGTGTCACACAGATTAGAGGATTTGCGGGATTCCAGTAAATAGATTGTATCTGTTTAGGGTCACAGCAAGCTTTTATTTAGCTGCATCATTAAACTGGTCAAAGGCAATTTCTAGCAAAATGCCAAGCAGCACTATTTTTTCAGCATTATAATATTAAAGTAACTCTTACATGAATGATTCGTCATGTGACATTAAATATTGCTAAATAAATGGACTGCATTAATTACAGGACATAATAAAAACTCAAAAAATTATATTAAATATCCACTCACTGGCCACTTTATTAGGTACACCTTACTAGTACCGGATTAAACCCCTTTTGCCTTAATCCTTTGTGGCATAGATTCAACAAGGTACTAGAAAATATTCCTCAGAGATTTTGGTCCATATTGATATGGTAGCATCACGCAGTTGCTGCAGATTTGTAGGCTGCACATTCATGATGCGAATCTTTCATCCAACAGATCCTAAAGGTGCACTATTGAACAGAGATCTGGTGAATGTGGAGGTCATTTGAGTACAGTAAACTCATTGTTATGTTCCAGAAACTAGTCTGAGACGAATCACACTTTATGACATGGTGCATTATCCTGCTTGAAGTAGCCATCAGAAGATGGATACACTGTGGTCATAAAAGGGATGGACAAGGTCAGCAACAATATTCAGGTAGGCTGTGGCGTTGATGCAATGCTCGATTGTTACTATCGGGCCCAAAGTGTTCCAAGAAAATATCCCCCACACCATTACACCACCACCAGCCTAAACTGTTGATGCAAGGCAGGATGGATCTATGCCTTTAGGTTGTTGATGGCAAATTCTGACCCTACCATCCGGATGTCACAGCAGAAATAGAGACTCATCAGACCAGGCAACATTTTTCTAGTCTTCTATTGTCTAATTTTAGTGAGCCTGTGCAAATTATAGCCTCTGTTTCCTGTTTTTAACTGACAGGAGTGGTACCCGGTGTGGTCTTCTGCTGCTGTAACCCATCGACCTCAAGGTTCGACATGTTGTGCATTCAGAGATGCTCTTTTGCATACCTTGGTTATAAGGAGTGGTTATTTGAGTTACTGTTGCCTTTCTATTAACTCGAACCAATCTGGCCATTCTCCTCTGACCTTTGGCATCAACAAGGCATTTGTGCCCACAGAACTGCCTCTCACTAGATATTTTATCTTTTTCTGACCATCCTCTGTAATCCCTAGAGATTGTTGTGCATGAAATCCCAGTAGATCAGCAGTTTCTGAAATACTCAGACCAGCCTGTCTGGCACCAACAACCATGCCATGTTCAAAGTCTCTTAAATCAATTTTTTGCCCATTCTGATGCTCTGTTTAAACAACAGCAGATTCGTTAACGAGCAGTTGACAGCTGTACCTAATAAAGTGGCAGGTGAGTGTTTAACAAAGTAAAACAATAGAGCTGATCTGACATGAAATTTAAATAATGATATTTGAATAAATTTAGGTCTGAAAATGATTGTTCTTTCACTTTGTGCTGCTCTGTATTGGAGGTTTTCATATTTTTATATTTTTTGCATAACGAAATATTATTTTTTAGTCTTGTTCTGTACTATCATTTGTTTTTGCTCCATTAAATCGCTGCACTAATTATAAAAGAAATTTGCTTTGGTTTAAATTTACTGTGATACAATTGGATTTTCATGAATGTATTTTATACAAATCACATTTCAATAGGTTTAGTGCTGCGTTCATTCATTCATTTTTCTTCGGCTTTTCCAGCATATGTTTTACGCAGCGCATGGCCTTTCAGCCACAACTCACCCATACACACTCCTTCACACACACACACACACACACACACACACACACACACACACACACACACACACACACACACACACACACACACACACACACACACACACACACACACACACACACACACACACACACACACACACACGCACACACACACACGCACACACGCACACTACAGACAATTTAGTTTATTCAATTCACCTATACTGCATGTCTTTGGACTGTGGAGGAAACTGGAGCACCTGGGGGAAACCCAAGTTAACATGGGAAGAACATGCAAACTCCACACAAAAATGCCAACTTGTCAAGCTGGGACTCGAACCAGTGACCTTCTTGCTGTGAGGCAACAGTGCTAACCACTGAGCCACTGCTTTGTTTTTTTCCCTGCATATTAACATTTTATAGAAATATTGCGCACTCATGATTTTTCTGGAATGAGTTCTACTTTATTGACAAATCTAGTTTTATAAATCAAGTTAGTAATAAATTACCATTACATAATTCTTCATTTATTTTCTTAATCATTTTTTCTTGATCCTCGTTTTCTTGATAATTCTATATTTAGAAGACTGTACTTAATACATTAAAGATTGGTTAAATAAATATATAAATAAATGTAACTGACAAATATTGGTATTACCACTTAATTAGATCTGTACTTCTTGCTGACAATTGGGTAAAACCCAGTGGTATAAAATATGATCATACAGTATGAAGGTCTAAATCACAGTTAAATAGTATTTTACGACTGCACTTACAACTGACATAAAATCAAAGCTTAATCTGTCACAAAATGGTTTATTAAATTTGCCTGACAGGATTTTAAGCATATAAACTATTGTTAAACTGCTTAACACTTTGTTGATGATAGCCTAGTGGTCAGTGCGCAGACACACTGTATTGCACATCTGCACTGCAGACGTCCTGAGTTCAAATCCTGACTCACAAATCTTTCTTGATCCCATCACCGCCCAACATTTCTTTTTGTCCCATCATGATATGGCCAAAAGTAAAACCTTTAGAAATGGGTATCTTCATGAAATCATGGTACAGCTGTATTATTGTCATTATCGTAATATTTTCTTATATTACAATAATATTTGTTTTATACATAACAATAACTGACATATACAGTGCTTAGCATAAATAAGTACACCCCTCACAAATCTATCTTTTACTTCATATTTTTAATAAGAAGCAATACAATATTATATTTGTGCATATACATTAAATTAGTCAGTTCTGAAACCAAATCTGGAGCTTGTCTAACATAACAACTTATGATAACAATACAAAAACTAGTACACCCAAATTACTTTTTTGCAATATTTTTCTTTAATGTTGCATTAAATTTTGTATTATCTTTTAATTTCTAAAGATGTTTGGTGACTAAAATATTATTTTAATAAATATATCTGTTTAATAAATCTGTTTGTTTAAATGCAACAACATACATTGCCTATATTCAATTAAAAAAGATAAAAATATTATCTTCAAAATGGGGTGTACTCAATTAGGCTGAGCACTGTACAAATAAAGATACAGTTTACTAGTTTATACATTACTACAATTTGCTCCCCACAAAAACACACACATTTTAAAAACTACAAGACACACATGCACACACAAACCTAAAAGCTCCCATTTAGAAGTCAGCAGCAAATTGAGCACAATAAACCAGCAAAGCAGAGACAAGAGAGAACAAAAAGCACCCACACAGAGACAAAAATAGCAAACGCACATGCTGATACAGAAAGTGTAAAAAGAGACAAAGGCAGGTAAATAGACAGAGCGGAGAGAGGGAAGAGCTCCTGTAGAACAGCGGAGAATTTGATTCATGTACCTTGGTTGTCCAGTGTATTGTGGGCCAAGTTAATGGAGTGTATGACTGATGCTGGGTTTTCTGACAGGGCAGTGGCCATTTTCTGTGGGAAATCTCTAAATGACAGAAAGAAAGTGAGTAGAAACGGAACCGCAATACAAAGCATTGCACTCTGGGACACAGATGAAATACGGAGGCAAAAGATGTGGCAGGGGAATAAGACTGGAAACGGCATAAAGGAGAGAAAAAAAATGACAGTGACAGAACAAGAAATGAACTTTCAGATGAAAAGAAAGAGAGTAAAGTGGTTGGAGTGATGAATAACAGAAAGAGAGCAATAGAGAGATTTATAACTCACGCTTTAAGGCCCACATTTTCCAGCGTGAGCTCCTCCAGACTGCTGGATTTACTGACAGTGTGCAGAATCTGCTCCACGACCTCTGAACTCTGGAGGAGGAAAGAAAAAAGAGAGAGAAAAAAGGAGCTAGAATTAAATTCTTCAGGAAGACTCAATATAATAACTTCATGCACAGTGACACAGATTTCAGGCAGGTAGATCTACTTTCACTGTAAGAATTATTTATTTTACTCATACTATATTTGTCTTTGTCTTCCAGTACAGATGTCGGAATATTTTTAAAGGAACACTCCACTTTAAATAGGCTAATTTGACAATTCACTTAGAATTGATTTATCATTTTTTAATCCATTCACCTGATCTTCAGGTTTTAGTTTAGTTTAGTTCAGTTCAGTCGACTTAAGTGCTACCCGTAGGTAGATTCTTTTTGCAGCAAAGTTTGACATTTGATACAAACAATGAAATCTCACATATACAGTTAAAACCAGAAGTTTACATACACTGTATAAAAAGGCACATAACCATTTTTTAAAAAGTCAGATGTTAATGTGACTAAACTTTTTCTCTTTTAGGTAAATTAGTATTATCACATTTGTTTCTGTTATGCTTAATAGCAGAATAATGAGAGAGATATTTTCAGAGAAATTGTTATAACTTTTCTTGAAAGTCAAGTTTACATACAATGAGATTATTATGCCTCTGAAAAGATCAGATGATGATGTCAAGGTTTAGGAATTTTTGTAATTGGCTAGTTGGCAACATTTGAGTTAATTGAAGGCACATCTGTAGAATAGTATTTAAGGAAAACCTCAAACACACTGCTTTTTTTGTGACAACATGGAAAAACTGCCAGAATCAAAAATAAAAAACAGATTAAAATTTGCTTAATTAAACTGAAAAAACTAATATTCTTTAGAGGCATGTCCTGTTGTCTGATGCAACTAAGATTGAACTGTTTGGCCATAAAGACCAGTTTTACATTTGGAGGACAAAGGGGAAAGCTTACAAGCCCAGGAACACCATCCCAACTGTGAAGTATGGGGCGGCACTGCGACAGCATCATGTTGTGGGGCTGTTTTTCTGCAGGAGGGACTGGTCCACTTCACAGCATAGATGGCATCATGAAGAAAGAACATTATGTAGAAATACTAAAGCAACATCTCGACATCAGCCAGGAAATTAAAACTTGGCTACAAATGACCCTAAGCATACTGCCAAATTAGTAAAGGACAACAGAATGGATGTTTTGGGGAGGCCATTAAAAAGCCCTGATCTCAATCCTATAGAAAATTTGTGGGCAGAGTTGAAAAAGCTTGTGCAAGCAAGACGATCAACAAATCTGACTCAGTTACACCAATTCTGTCAGGAGAAATGGGCCAAAATTCCTTCAAACTATAGTGAGAAGCTTGTGGAAGGATACCCAAAACATTTGACCAAAGTTATATAGTTTAAAAGCAAAGCTAAAAATACCAAGGAAATGTATGTAAACTTTTGACTGTCTAGAAATGAATAAAAAACCTTTAAATAATTCTCTCATTAATCTGGCAATTACCATTAGACATTTTTTTTAAAGGGTTTGTTCCTTTTAGAGTGTATGTGTTTAGAGTATATGTAAGCTTCTGGTTTCAACTGTATATACCCACATATACACATTTAAAAGAACATTATAAAATATTACAATTTATAATGCCTATTTTACGCGGCCACCACTTTAAAGAACGAAAGCGAGGCTGCGGTGGGAAGAAACCCGGAAGTATAGGATCAGCACTGTAAACATTGCAACAACATGCTGTGGACTACATGCCTCCAGCTGCTGCCGCGATTTCAAAGTGCAGATATGGAGTAAACATCACTTTAATATCATTCAGTTATGTTTAATTTAAACAATTAAAAGCATATTAGGCATCAAACATCACAATCTCTTTAAGAGTAATACAGTTAAGTGTTCTCCTAGACTTCAGTTCATGGCACCAGGGAAACACCGTGAGGACGCTTCTCTGCTTCAGCCTATGTAACCCAGTGAGTGATAAAACCCTGCAGTCCTCTGTGGCACACCCTCATGTTGTATAAATTAGTTTTGTCCCGGTACTGAAGTTTTAAAAACGTCCTTTTCCCACTAACATTTAAGCGCCACTGAGCGCGTTCTTAAAAAGCTGATTTGCCATAGTATTCACCAGTGCTCAACAAAAATGACTGTGATTGGCTGTGAATGTCATCAGTTCACCACTCTTCACTGATTGCAAACACAGATACATGGACACTTGGGAGTTTTAAAGCCGTGAAGATCAGTCGATTCATCAAGCGGATCACTCGTCCGTGTTTGCACTCTGTACACATCAGTGAAGTGCGGTGAACTGATGACCTTCACGGCCAATCATAGTCATTTCTGTTGAGCACTGGTGAACACAATGGCAAACAAGTGGTGTTTAAGAACACCATCAACAGGGCCTAAATGTTAATGGAAAATGGACGTTTTTGTTTTTTATTTCAGTACTGAAACTCAGTATCGTGACAAGTCTAATATAGTAATATAATCAGTTCATTAACGCGAGTTTGATAAATGGCATCTAAAATGTGTGTTTGGGAAAGAAAACCTTAGCTATAACTAGTGCAATTTCCCTTAACTTGAAAATGAGGTCTGACAGCCATTTTTATTCTAATTATGCATTCAGAACTGACTTTCGGGTCACTCGGAGGGCGGTAAAAGTATAAATTTGTGTCACTTTCTCTTCGCTGATAAGAAATACAGACAGCTACACAACATTCCTTTGTGACTCAGGCGATAATTCCAGATTTCTTCCCACCGTAGCATTGATTTCGCTGTTTAAAATGTCAGCCGTGTGAAGTCTTTTCCTGTAACGTTTTGTCCTACTAAAAAGCATCTGAAACCTTTACCCGAAGGGAGTAGGTTAAACTCCTCAGACAGAGAATGAGAGTTACAGCTACTATGTTCTGGACAATTCGTAAAAGCCACCTACTATACAGGGATTTAATACTCAGCTGTGATTCACTAATCAATCACAAGTAAAAACACTCTTAGCTTAGCAAAGTTTATTGAATCAGATTAGACCATTAGCATCTTCTAAAAAAATTAATAAATAAAAGTTTAGATTATTTTCTTATCTTTCTTATTTTCTATCTATTTTCTTGTGATTCATGTTTTGATTTTATGTATAATGTTATTTTTTGCTTTTGAATTCCATTATTAGATCTTTGATTTTTCTTGAAACAATTCGCAAGCTTGAAAAGTTTAAAAAAGTTACATTTATTAACCTCTTTAGTTGTTTAAAGTGATATATTGTCTGGGTTGGTATTGCATATTACAGTACAAATACCTTGTAATGACCTGTCAGCAATTTTTTTGTTATTTGACATACATGTTTCTCTTTATTTTATTTCTTGTATATAATTTCAAACTACTAAAATGTCAATAAAAGTCACTTTATTAAACTGAAGAGTTGAATTTTCAACATCAAAAGTAGCAAGAGCAGAGATCAAGGTCCCAAAATGTAATTTACAACCGTAAATAACGAAAAACACTTAAGAATCAAAACATAGGGAAACTATTAATTAACATTTTTACAGAGTAAAGCTTGACTATTTTGTAGTTACATTGTGTACCAAAACAAATGAAAAGTTGCTATTTTCTATGGCTAGAAACTATACTCTAATTCCAGCTTAAAAATCAAAGACCTTATACAGTATAGAATACTACGCAGATTCTAAATGATGGTGCAGATTCTAAATGATGGGACAATTTTCAGGTGCTGCATAATAATATTGTGCCTGCTGCCACCATGGCATATAAATAGCAACTTTTCATTTTCTGTAGGTCTTAGTCCACAATGTAACTATAGAAGAGTCAAGCTTTCAATGGCAAATTTATCAAAACTCTTTGGTCATTTTTGAGTGCTGATGCTATAAAATTGCTCCTGCCAAACCAGCTGAACGAATTCAGAAATGGTTAAACTCAACTCTTTAGCTCTGGGGTACTTGTAAAATGTGCCTGTTTGAGTGTTAATTTAAATGAAAAGATCATATACTTGAATAGTAAAATTACTTAAGATATTAAAGGCCAGATTTACTAACAGCTTGTGTCAGCAAAAAAGAAAAAAAAACTACTTTGAGGATTTACAACACATCCGCAGTGAAACATTGGTGCATAAAAGGCATGGACAGAGTTTTTTGCTGCTGACTGTATTACATATGCATTTGTAGAAGATGTTAAATTTATGGGAGGAGAGTATTTAAATAAATCATGCAATTTTAACTAATGTGTGCAGTAGTCAGCTTTTAAAGCAAAATTTAACACCCAATCTTGTCTTAACCCATTTTTAGCTTGTTCAGTTTATAACAAAGATTTTATAATATAATATCTAAGATATAATATCTAATATAATATAATCTAATCTAATATAATATAATATAATATAATATAATATAATATAATATAATATAATATAATATAATATAATATAATATAATATAATATATACTCTAAAAATGCTGGGTCATATATATATATATATATATATATATATACAATATTGGGTCATATATATATAAACAATATTGGGTCAATTTCTTTACATTTCATTCAAATTACAAATTTTTTAACCCAGCTACTGGGGTAGTTCACATTTTGACCCAGATTTTTTAGTGCATAAACTAATAAAAATGGATTTTCAAACAGTGCTGATGTAATATTACAGACCGTATATTAGTATATCTGGTGCAATAACACACAAGAAAACACCTTTGACTTGCACAGTGAACATTAAGAAGAATATAAAACAGATATTTACAATGCGAAAGTCTTTGCAATAGAGTTTGATGAACCACGAGTTATACGCCATGGCCGCTACAATCACAGCAAGGTCCCTGTTACAAAAAAACAGACACAGAACAAAACAATCAAAACAGATTGAGGTGCCGCAACAACCAGAGGCGTTCTCACTTTACTCATGCAAAGCCCTCATAAGATTGCAAGCTCTTCTCAAGACTAAAATAGACATGTTATTATTCATGAGAAATGATAGATTCAGCAATAAACGCTCCCTGAGAGGAAAGCCAGCAGAGGAAGGGAAGAGGACAGTGTGGATCGATGGGAAAACTGATGCCAGGTCAGTGAATTACTCAGTGCAATGTGTCTATGATACAGCTTTTAATCTTGGCCCTGAGCCTAAAACCTTTTTACCCGGTGGAGAGAGCAAACCTTACTGCACTCAGACGAGGGAAATCAGAGAAAAAACGGCAGCGAGGGAAGGGTTTGTCCTGTTGAGTGCGGCTGATGGCTGTGTTCTCATTTGCAGCCTCGTCATTCCTCTGTTTGGACGCTGTAGTGAGGCTGTAGGCTGTGTGTACTCAGCTGTTCTCTCTTTCTAAATGAGACTCTCTCATTCATCTCCTTCCCTCTACATGTTCTAATGGAGCAAACGCTTAAAAATCAATGACATAACATCCTCGAGACAGATGTAGCATCTAAGTGTCCCCGTTGGCGAAACGGCATGGAGCAAAGCAATGGTAGTTCAAGTGTTCTGCAATATAATGGCTTATATGTTGATTTTGTGCTTAAAATTCTGCTTTCTTTGGGATGTTTAACTCACACGGCGATACAGATACACCACATTTACTTGCATCATTATTTTCTGATGAAGGACTATATTCTCACTATTGAAAAATCCATTTCAAGAATAGCAGATTTGTTTTGGAATATTGTCACTGCTTTCTGTTACAAGCACACATAGACTTTGTGCCCTGCATAAATAAGTACACCCCCTTTAAAAATTGGTATTTTTATTTTTCTGTTTCTTAGAGAATATTGACAATACATATTGGTCTGTTTAAACAAAGCAGCTTTATCAAACTGTTGCATTGATTAAATAAGAGTGTGGTCACTTAAGTCCCATTTTCACTGAGTGGTTCGGTTTGGTACAGTGCGGTACAGTACGCTTTTATGGCCATTTCCACTGTCAAAAGGTACCAAAAAGTGAACCGTACCATACCACATTTTAAAAGGATACCCAGCGCAACAAAAGGGTAACAAAAAGCAAAGCAAATCACGCAGCTGAATGCAGTTAAATTACAGAGATACATCACTAGCTCATGTACAAGCCAAGAGAATGAAAACAAAGGAAGCGCCATTTTTAAATACGCATTTTTAAATACCCAGCCGAGATTACACGGTAGTATTATATACATATAATAACAAGCCATGGTCAACTTGAGCTTAAACAAAACTTGTAGTCTTCTTGATGAACAGCCACAAAGTCAAGAAAAACAGAAGAATCTACCCTGTTGTTTACTCAAAGTAAAGTAATTATTAATCTGATTACTTTTAACGTTAAGTAATTAGTAATGTAATCAGATTACAATTTTCTGATAGTAGTCAGTTTTTTTATAATATATCACTTTTTAAAGTAACTTACCCAACACTGATGTTGAAAACAGACTGGAATCACTAGATTCAAATATATTTTAAAACATATACACATAGAAAACTAGTTTTTTTAAACAATATTTCAAAATATTTGTGATTAAATAAATGCAAACTTGTTAAGCGAAAGGAACTTCTTTAAAAACATTCAAACATATGAATTAATAATTCCAAATGTTTGACTAGTGGTGTATTTGCACACCCCGGCTTGATCAATATACAATAAAATGCTTAAAGATTTACATCATACATTATGAGAATAGCCAAAATCCAATCAGAATTTTCACATGCTTGGGAAAGTAGTCAATGAGGCTGCTAAATTACATTGATCATCAGCAAGACACTTAATGAAGCCACTCAAAGCTGTATATCTGAAATGACAAGCACTTGTCTTGTCAGGCATAAGCACTTTTTAAAATTCAAAAATGATCTTTAAGTGGCCGCACTCCCATTAGAGCTTCATCATGTGACTGCTGGAAAAAAAAATAAAAAGGCTTTTTTTTTTCTGCAGATAACCGGAACTGCCCTTGAGTAAAGTGCTCAATAAACCGTATCATTTCTCAGAGTCAGGGTATAAATATTAAGCGCATTTACTTTCTTAGGAGTTAAAAGTGGCAGGTCATCAAGCTGAGAGTGAGCTGATGACAGTTTTCACAAGTCATGTGTTATTATGTTTCCACAGGAAGAGAGTTGCAAATCAACATAAACTGTGTCTGAAATCACCCCCATACCCACTATTTAGTGCACTATATAGAGTGTTTGCCATTTTTATTAGTGTTGTCATTTTTGTGTTGGGTAAAAATAAATAATATATTACAATTTAAAGCCTATCTTAAAGAAAATGGAGGAAAACAAACACAAAAATGATGTAACACATATTACATTCCCTGAAAAGTAACAAAGTAGCCCATTTAGTTACTTAAAAACTTTGATTGTAATATATTACATTTTCCCAAAACTGCCAAATTCTGAGTAAACGATTTCATTATTTATATTCAGTCAATACCTTTTTTTAAACACATAGTGTACTCTGATTTCAAGTGTACATCCGTTGAAGCACCAAAATCCAATGTGAGGGGGCGAAAGAGCTAAAGAAAAAGAATCACGGCTGATGTGAACACTGGAGGCGGCAATTTTCATTCATAATTTATGACGGGATTACTTCAGGACTTTAGAACTCGAGTTCGGAGGACATTGAAAACTCAGTGAAAATAATAAATAACACACAGTTCAAACACCGGTGTAGTTTCTTGTTAAAAGTTAATTCTTATTTAAGGGACTGCTATCAATTAAATCGATCAAAATGGTGGTGTGTATGGTGGCTGAGAGAGCTCAAATGCACTGCAAGTGATGAAAAGAACACGTTTATATAAAAAACACTAACAAACTGAGAAAATATCTTCATCAGTCTGGCAAGACAGATGCAAGCAGATTTTCACAACACATGCAAATAGAGAAACATGCTACAAATAGTGCAGGTCTCAATGGAAATGTGTTGGAGGACCCCAAAAAGTGACGCACCCAGCCACTTCCTGTTTTAAAGTCTGTTTTTTCTGTTTTAATGTGACTTTTCTATTATTTGAACATCCTGGCTGTATGGTTTCTTGTTGTTTGTTTTTATTTCTAGCTCCAATCATCTAATGAATTACACAATTAACGTTAAATTAACCACTGACTCCTCACACGATGCAGCTGGATTCATCACTTTTTGAGTTTCCCCAACACAATTCAGTTTGAGTTTGAGCTCTAACGGCCACCGTTGATGTGGTCATGACAATTACTACTTGTGACACGTGTAAGATTCAAGCGACAAGCAATTTGTCTGTCCACGTCAGATGCGACACGACAGAACCATTTGAATGCCAGACCCTTTCACAAGTGCCGAATAGTGCACTGCACTCACAATTAAATGGCACGGTTAATAATCAAATTATTACTATAATTACTATAATTATTACTGATTATTATAAACTATCTGCTTTTGCTTTCAGTAAGGTAATAAAGGTAATGCCATTTAAAACGAACATTACACTGAATAAAGCATATCAGCACCTGATGTGATCATATTCTGTTGTTCAGGTGCAATGTTGCAGAGTTTGAAATACTTTTCAAAATAGAAACTTTGAGAATTGGTTATCGGTTGATTGTTTAGGATAGAAACTCCTGTTAACATGGAAAAGATAGCTTTTAGCTTTTATGTTTCAGAGTCACATTGTACGTAGCTAAAACACAGTAATAAAAATGTACTTCATGACATTTGTCGAATTTTTGTTCTCAAACGTCTGTGTAGGATTATTTTCTAACACATTTAATACAATGCCCTTTGTTTCATTTTTATTCGATTTTTGACTATTGTTATTTTAAATAACTGAAATACTTTGTGAATTGATAATGCACTGTAATGCGTTCAAGACCTGCTTAGAACAAGTTTAGTTGTGCATTTAAATTTTTAGAACAAATGTAAATAAAAGTTTTGATTTGATTTTGAGTAGGCCCACACGGAGTCTACACGTGCAGAAATCCGCAGATTTCTGCAGATTTTTAGCCCATCATTGATTGTTTATTTACTTGTGTAAATGTGTGTACATTTATATCTTTTCAGTTTTTAAATAAATTTCAATAATAATATTGACTAATATAAAAGTGTTTATTTGATTTATTTACAATACAGTTTGTAAAGTAATATTCTCTGTCTTTTAGTAGATAAATTATATCAAAGACTTGCTATGTTTACCAAATAAGTGGATGTAGATGGATTTGCATTGTAGACATTAAATAAAAGTTAAAAAGCTATTATTTTTGATTTTATATATGAATTTTTTAGTTTTGATACTCCAAAAATAAGTCTGCATTATCATCTGTTTTTTTACAAAATTAAAAAAACACAGAAATAGCAAAAATTGTCAGCAGATTCGGTCTGGCCCTAGGTATGGGGTATATCCACACTGACTTCATTTTCAGTAAGCCAGCTCAAGCACTTTCAGTGAACAGCCATTACAATATCGCCTGTTTAAGATCTGATTTCTTTAAAAAATCAGTGATCTTCACTGCCTGGCTGAAATACGATATTAAGTAGGCATCAGACCGCACAAGAAACACTGAATTAAATTTGACTCTTTTGCACTATGTCTTTAAAATATGGAAATGTCTTTTACCACAATATTATCAATGGAGTATCTGGCTCGCCTGGAATAAACTGTTGTTTCATTTAATCTTTCATCTTGTTTTAAGCTTGAACAATAAATTATTGCTGAGGACTATTTAACTGAATATATTTAAATTGAAGACCACATGGGAAAGCTAGGTTGCTGCTGGAAGTGGTGTTAGTGAGACCAGCAGAGGCACTCAGGCCCCGTTTATACTAGTGCGTTTTAGTTTTAAAACGGCGTTTTAGAATGAAAACGATCCGCGTCCACACTCGCGTTTTACCCAGCGTTTCTGAACTGCTCTCTGTCCACACCAAAACGCTGAAAACGCACATCACGTGACCACACAGACACTCTCGGGCAAGCGCTGGAGCCCATCTACCCAGATGAGAGCTGTGCTAGTCGGACTTCTCATCCAGCATCTCCCGCTGGATCTAATCTCACTATATTTATTAAACGGGATATTTCATTCATATTGTTGTCTTTATCTAACAACATATTACCTGACTTTGGTCATTGGAATCTATTACTTTTTCTCAGGTAACGTTTTTTGGCTAAGCGCAAAGATAAGTTAATGATTAATGTAACCGTAGCCTATTCTGTATATTGACTGATCGCTTGCCTTTATTTCCTATAAATGTATAAACTTATAGTATGTTATACTTTTATAATGGCCATTATCGATTATTAAAACTGATATTCAGCAAAAGAGAGGGTGTGTTTCGTATTTTCACTGAAATTGAAAGGAGGCAGTTGTTATCGGCTCCGTTTTGTTATAAATGTCCACACAGTGAAGATGACGCTCATATATGCAGCACGACGCCTCAACATTTCTGCTAAGTTGCTAATATTAAAATGAAAATAGGCAGTTCCTTAAATCATGTTTACATTTTATTGTTGAGAAAGTGAAACAACGTAGCCAGGGTGATGTGAATGAAGTTATAAAGTACACTGTTCCCTTTGAAGATTTACCCGTGTCCTCGGTATAGTCTGCTTTTCCATATCAAACTGAGAAAAAGAGACTGCAGCCTTAATCAAACTTGCGAAGTCTGAACTTACACGGAGAGAATGCAGGACTGAACTGTGTGTGTTAGGCTACTTAATATTCAGGAAAAGCCCCAATCAGAGAGGCGAATGTCTGCAGTCCCGCCTCCGTTTTCAGATGTCTCCGTTTTCCATCATCCACACTGAGACGGAGCAGCAGCGTTTCAGAATGAAAACGGCCTCTCCAGCGTTTTCGAAACGCTCCGTTTTCGGCGCTCGAGAACTCCGGCGTAGTGTGGACGGTTGGCGTAACCGTAGCAAAACTTATGCGTTTTCAAACTAAAACGCATTAGTGTAAACGGGGCCTCAGTCTGTGGTCTGTGTGGGTCCTAATGCCCCAATATATCGATGGGGACTCTATACTACTCAGTGAGTGCCGTCTTTTAGATGAGACATTAAACCAAGGTCCTAACTCCACGGATGTCCTTCGCAAAAGAGGTAGGGGTTCAACCCAGGCATCCTGGCCAAATTTGCCCACTGGCCCTTGTCCATCATGGCCTCCGAACCATCCCCATATCATAAATGGCTTCATCACTTTGTCTCCTCTTCATCAATTTGCTGGTGTGTGGTGTGCGGTCTGGCGCAATATGGCTGCCGCCGTATCGTCCAGGTGTTTTGTTCAAGCTTCTGTTCTTTTTTCAGGAAGTAATTCAACAAATGTATTGAATGATCAGTGATTTTTCATTGATAAAGCCAAGAATGGTATGTTACTGGATGGCAGGTGTAATGTTTGTGTTCCACACTGTTTATGTCACTCATTTCAGTTCCCTCTTTCCTCTTATAGTCCACTCAACTGCCATATTAAGTACATTATATGAGGATTACTGAATGAGTAAACAAGTGAGCAGTTTCAGACACTGCTTTAGACTAACCTAAGCGGAAAAAAGGACCAAACCTGATCTGGAATCAGTGAAGGAGCCCTACACAGACTGGATAGATCTAAAAAGACACAGCTTGATTCCCATTGGGCAGGAAGTCAGCAGGGACGCTACAGGAAACTGACTAAATGTACTCTTACTGTGACAATTCATCACATATTCAAAGCGGCGGCTGACATCAGATTGCCTGCATCAATTATCATTCAAATCCCTGTCAATACGAAGCAATTAACGAAACACAGAGCGATCATTAGATTAATCCCTCCGAAATGAAGAAGCTTTTAAACAACCAATCTGCGGGACATAGAAGATAGAAATGAAAGTAAGGGCTAGAGATTACAGGTTGCAGAACATTTTTCATTTCAAATTTCAAACCAACTATTGAGTTTGTCCATATTTGACCAAGAATTTAATTAAAACAATCCAGCAAGTAAAAGTAAATGTATGTGGTCTGAATACCCGCTTTCCAGATGACTGAAGTCCAACAGGTTAAACTCTCTGTTGTCCTGTGAGTGATAGATGGTGTCCACATCCTAAAAGAACGAATGAGGAAGCGAGAGAAACCCAAAAAAAAAAAAAAAGGAAGAAAACATTTTTAGAGTGCAATAACACCGGTGACACATACAGAAAATTGCCCCCGCTATTTCGGGGGGGTGTTTTGTGGTCAGTTGGAAGCTCTTACCCACTGCACTTCCTCTTTGCAGGTAATTCCATTATAATCACACAGAGCTGCGTAGGTCTCCGAAAAGCCCCCTGAAATGGGAAAAGAAAAAAAGGGGATATTGTGTGGAAAATGTTTAAATTGTCCCACCTGTACCAATAAAATATTTTAAATGGCTTTTAGAGCAGAGACGGCATTTTTATACCTTTTTTCAATATAAAATAAAGCTGAAATAAAACACAATACAGTAATTAAAAGAAAAAAAACCCAAAAAGAAATAAGTTTATAGTACTAAAAAGGTTGCAAAAATGTAATTAAATTAAATTAATGAATTATTAATATTAATAGAAACTACAACACTTACCTAAATCTACTGATATAACACAAAATTAAATATGAATAAATACAATAATAATATATCATAATAAATAGCGCTATTCTTAAGTTGTTTACATGATTCGTTGATGTTCTCAGAAATTCCAGGATGTTCAAAACACAAGACATTTTAAAAGGTTTTCTGTGGAACTTAAAGCTCCTCTAGGTGATTTACAATATGTGCCATTAGTGACACCACAATCCATTAAGGTAGTAGAGCCTTCAATTTTTTTATGCCTAATACACATCATTCATTCTGGTGTTTACATGAAACACTAATTCAAACGAAAACACTAGAGCCTAACTGAGGGTTATTGTAAGACTTCTGAACTAGTATGACTTAAAAGCTTATATTGTAATCAATGTCAATGAAGTTGCCATATACAGTTGAAGTCAGAATTAGCCCCTTTTTATTTTTTTCTTTTTAAAATATTTCCCAAATGATGTTTAACAGGGGCAATGCGGTGGCACAGTAGGTAGTGCTGTCGCCTCACAGCAAGAAGGTCGCTGGTTTGAGCCTTGGCTGGGTCAGTTGGCGTTTCTGTGTGGAGTTTGCATGTTCTCCCCGCATTCACGTGGGTTTCCTCTGGGTGCTCAGGTTTCCCCCACAGTCTAAAGACATGCGGTACAGGTGAATTGGGTGGGCTAAATTGTCTGTACTGTATGAGTGTGAATGACTGTGTATGGATGTTTTCCAGAGATGGGTTGCAGCTGGAAGGGCAACCGCTGCTTAAAACTTGTGCTGGATAAGTTAGTGGTTCATTCCGCTGTGGCAACCCCAGATTAATAAAGGGACTAAGCCGAAATGAAAATGAATGAATGAATGATGTTTAACAGAGCAAGGAAATTTTCACAGTATGTCTGATAATCTTCTTTCTTCTGGAGAAATTCTTATTTGTTTTATTTTGGCTAGAATGAAAGCAGTTAAAAAAAAAAACATTTTAAGGTCAAAATTATTACCCCTTTTAAGCTATACATTTTTGGCTTTTAGAGCAGAAAAGGAATTTTTATACCATTTTCAATAGAAAATAAAGCTAAAATAAAACAATACAGAATGTTGTTTTGGAAATTAAGAAAATTAGGTTAAAATGCTAAAATTGTAAAGGTTGCAAAAATGTAATTAAATTACATTAAATAATTAAAACTCAATTAATTAAATATTAATACAACCTACAACAGTTACTTAAATATACGAATGTAACACACAATTAAAATATGAATAAAGAGAATAACATCATATAATAAACAGCACTATTCTTAAGTTGTTCATATGATTCATTGATATTCTCAGAAATTCTTGATGTTCAAAACATCAGACATTTTAAGTGAAGTTTAATTTATTAAACTAATTTCGAGAGGAGTACGTACTCATGATTAAACCAGCTGGCTCATATTAGCTAATCACGATCCTTCAATCAAGGATTCCTAGTTCCTATATATATCTCCTCCTTTTCCACTTACAACTATCTTCGTCTTGAAGAATCCCCCCACCTCCCCCCTCTTCCACCTTTATCCAAAATAGGTAGCTCGGCGGCTCAGCAGCAATACCAATAGCTCCGGCTCCCTACAAAGCTTCTGGTATCTCTGTGTGGCGCTAGCACGCAGTTCTCTCCCAAAAAAAATAAAAATTAAAAATAAATAATAATAATAATAATTATTATTATAATAATAATAATAATTTTTCTCTGCATCATAGACCTCTTAAACCTAAGTCTCTTTTACTAGTCGTCTCGCTCTCAGGAAATTCACCTTGGCTAGCTGCGGGGGAGTTTTGAGATCGCCCTGAGCTCAATCTCCCTTCTCCCCACAAAGGGAGGGAGCCCTGGACTCGAGAAATGCCTTGAGCTCAGAGCTCTCTCCCGGGAAAGCATGCCAAATGAGCTTTCGTAAGTCATGAGCTAAATGTGAACTCTTGAAAGGTTATTTACTGTATGTGCCATAAGCGACACCACTCTCCATAAAGGTAGTTATGCCTTCAATTTTTTATTTATTTTTGTTTGCCTAATGCACATTACACACTAAAACACATTATTCATTCTGGTGTTTACAGCGACACCAAGAAATACTCAGTAGAAAGAAAATCCTAGAGTCTAACTGGGAGTTATTGCAATACTTTTAAACTATTATGACTTTCTATTGTAATCAATGTCAATGAAGTTACTGTATATGGTTCTTCGTCTGATAAAGGATTAAGAGACTAGGGACTAGAAACATTTTTGCTTCCCAAGTTTAAGTAGATGCAATTCAAACAAAATGATTTTTTGTACTGTCAGCATATATTGCATCTCTCCCTGTCACCCTATGAAGGGCATGGACTAATTTGCATAGTCTTTCATAACTACCCCCATTACAATTTTATTTTACTTATGATTCTTCCTTGAGCTTTTCTATTATCATTTTCTTAATTTATGCATTTGGCACAGTGTCTAAGTCTGTCCTTCACTGTCTACAGCTGCAGCTGCTGCAGCAAAACAAATCTGTCACAAAAACCAAAACCAAGTATTTTAGACTGGATAAATTAAAGGGATAGTTCACAAAAAAGTAGCTTACTTCATTTATTCACCCTCAAGTGGTTCCAAACTTTTATGAGTTTAATTTTATTTTTTTTTTGGTTAAACACAGAAGATATTGCGAAAAATATTGGCAAATTATAGCCATTGATATCCATAGTAGGAAAAACATACCATGGAAGTCAATGATTAAAGCCTCAATAATTTTGTCTTTCATGTCGAACTAAATCACTTTTGAACCCCCTTGAAGCTGAGTAAATGAGTTTTCATTTTCGGCCGAACTAACCATTTAAAGATACATTAGAGTTTTACCGTTTTTTTAATCCACTTAACAGATCTCCAAAAAATAGCTTTAATAAATTTCCTATTTAATGTTTGACTCTTCTGTAATTGCAATAATATCAAGCAGGGCCTGAAAATGCTAACTAGGTAACAGATATCATCATGCCTGCTGTAGCCGTGGTAAAGCAGCAAAGTTTGATTATTACCAAAGTCCCATTCAGGCAAGTCATTTCACTCAGCGGCTATCCTTAAAGCTCCTCTCGTGCAGTATGCTCAGGCAGAATAAATGAGGAAACATCAAATTCTTCAAAACTCTTTGTCAAGCTTACGATTACATTACATTTTTGAAATCATCAATAAAATTTTACAAGAACTGCCTAACAAGTTTTGTTTCTAAATGTTCGAATCAAACAATCGTTATTTTTTTAGGTTACTCAAGCTAATGTGCACTTAAAAGGAACGAGATCACGACACCAACCTCATTTATGGCCGTTCTACACATCCTATCATCCTCTGAATATTGATAGTCAGATCACGCTGCTCTTCTGAAGTAATTCACAACTTGGTCTTGATGGAAAAATCTCCTCTAAAAAGGACAGCGACTGTGTGTTTACAAGTCTGTGGGCATTTGAGTAGTTGCTGTCATGTAATATGCAAATAGACAGGACGGATATATATATTGTACATAACTATATATAATATTGAAGTATCTTTTAATATTTAAAGGAAAATTTGTATTCCTAATGTAAAATTAAAAGCAATAAATTCCCAAATAAAAAAAATTAAGTTCACAAACTATGCACAGAAAGGTCCTGTCTGAATTTAAGCACCCTGATGTACAGTTAATTAGCCATTTTTGTGATTTGACTTTGTTAGTAATAACAATTAAAAAAACAAAACATTTAAACAAATTGAATTCACAAGCCATCAAACTAATCTTTTCACCATTTTTCATATGAATTCAATAATTGCTGTTTGTGAATCTCACAGAGCTCATCATCTGACAGATGTTTTGGCCAGACAGCATCACGGAAGAAGCTGTGCTTTGTTGTTTGTCATATTTCTACTTCTTACCCAAATGTTCTCAAAATTCTAGCTCTTGCACACTCTACCTGCCTCTTCTCTGAGTTCTGAAAAAGTTTTGAAAAGAAGTAATAACGTTAAAATATTAACAGATATAGACAGATTTTACAACATACAACAGAAAATGTGTAAAAGAGCTATATGATTAATATAAGCTTCTTAGCATTGGTCGGGGGGCCCTAATTCTACGAGGCCCTAAACGGTTGCTTACCTCGCTTATTGGTATCGCCCCTGACTGTACCTCAAGTTTATTTAATACAGATTACAAAACCAAAAAATTGTGCTTTTAGGCACAATTGCTTTATTTAAAAGCACAGATTCCAAGCTTTATTTGGATATATTTCTTATGTCTGTAGAGTAAGTATTTGCTGAGATTCCAATGTGTTTGCTGACCACCAAACTGTTGTAAAAGCACACGTCTGGTCTAAGCTTCTCCCTCAGAGAAAAGTCAGTCTACAGCAATCGGTGACAGGTTCCTGTACTAGTAGGCGGGGGTTCATTTGCCATATTACTGTTACACTTTTCCCCATTCAAAATTATATGAGTGACATGTCTTGTGTATTCTATAGGCTTTGCTATTGTGCTGGAGTACAGGTATAGCTCCTATAACCTTATTGGACTAGAAAATAATAAAAACAACTTATATTTTTCGTCCGTTTTAGTACACAATGTAATTTCAGAAGAGTCAAGCTTTAAATACAAAAATTAACAAAACTCTTTTTGAGAGAGATGCTAATGGTCTAATCCGATTCAATAATTTATGCTAAGCTAAGCTAAAAGTGCTCCTACCAATCATCTGAATGGATTACAAAATTGACAATTCCAACAAATAAACTCTAGAAGACTTATAAATTGAGTCTATTTTCAAAAAAAAGTGCAGCATTCCTTCAAGTGCATGTAATAAAAATATTCTGTAAGAAGATGGCGGCGATGCGAGGAAGAGAAAGAGATTAGAGAGATTAAAATGTGGTGTATAATAAGACTGGGTGCATGAATTATACTGTATGCGCTTAGATTCCTCTCACCACATGCCCTTTGCGTCTCCACTGAACTCTCAGAGCTTGGAGAAAATTTGCGATTTCCGTCAGCAACGTCTCCATCTGCGTGAAAGATGGAGGGTCTGCAAGAGAAGAGGGAGGGGAGGAGAGACATTCGCAATGCATCAGAATCTCAGTTACTGCGACCCAGCATGTGAACACCTGGCCAAAGAGCTGAAGCAGGAAAGAGAGTTGAAGACTGAGACAGAAAAAGAGCACTATTATGCATTGCACTAATCTCCTCCTGTCTGAATATGAGAAAATCTCTCAATTAACTGCTCAGCAGCACCTCACACCCCTGCTGCTCCAGCAGATACTGACTTCTATAGGCAGCATTATGGATCCTTCGCCAAAAAAACTACATTAGCGCTACAAGACACTGTGCAAAGGCGACAGAAGTCAGATTTGCATCTCTGTTCGGATGGTGCGAGCAAGTACAGATTGCAGCGGGGTGACTCTCTGCCTCACACCTCATGCTTGCTGACTGGTCGTTCTGAAAGTTGTAATCTTATTGGCTGATTTTAGGCAATTTCAGAGAGTAAGGGAACATGGGTTTCTTTTTTCAAGTCAAGCAGTGAACAAAAGTGTTTTATTATTGAACATGACACGTTACAGTCTAAGGATCTTAAGACTTTATTATCCAGTTTTAGAAAACTAAAATTGCAGCAAGGTGCCATAACACAAGGTGAAATTCCATGTAGACATTACCAAAATATTAACACAAAACATACAACAGCCTACATCAGTTTTTAGATGCATCTCCCTCCCCGCTGGACTCATTTAATGACCTAATGGCCACCATTATAAAATAATTTTTAATTCTCTTTGTCCTGCAAATAGGAACTCTAAAATTACGTCCTGATGGCAGTAGCTGAAACACAGTACAATGGGTGATCCAAGGTGCATGAGTGACTTTGAGCTCTCTTTAAAACACAATTATGGTAAATTACCAGTGGAACAATTTGGTTTAAACCGATGATCTTGCCTGCCATCTTTACAAGGCTACTCAACCTGTTCTTATTTGACAGACTCAGATTACATCATAGAGGTACACATCCGAAACGATCTAAATTTCCACAATCTTTGCAAAACTGTTTTATAGACTGTATGGGTGTTGGGTTGGAATGGACCACTAGATATTTATGTGTCAACTATTTCAATGAATAACTGAATATTTGTACTTGAATAGATGTTTATTTTTTCAAATAAACACTTTACTTTGCAACGTTAAATTGTAACATCTTTTACCAACACTTTGTGAATAGTTATTTACCAATTTTCATTAAGATTTAATGATGTACACTTGATTATGTGGTTGAGGTTATTCATTCTGCTGTGGAGAATGTGTGTTTAAGCCAAAGCAAGGTGAGCAAGTGGGTTTTAATTTTATGTTAAGCCACATGAACGCCTGACAAAAAAAAAAAAAGAGTTCTGTCTGTTTTACTGAAATATTGTCATGGCTTTCTATTTTCTAAGCTACTTTTTGACACATATATAGAAATAAAGATTATATTATATTATATTATATTATATTATATTATATTATATTATATTATATTATATTATATTATATTATTTTCACANTGATGNGTTGTGGNTGNAAGATTAATGAAGAGACTAAGTCGAAAAGAAAACAAATTAATAAATAAATCCTATATTATATTATATTATTCATTCATTTTCTTTTTGGCTTAGTCCCTTTATTAATCAGGGGTCACCACAGTGGAATGAACCGTCAATTTATCAGGCATATGTTTTACGCAGCGGATGCCCTTCCAGCTGCAAATCATCACTGGGAAACACTCATACACTCTCATTCACACACATACGCTTAGGACAATTTACCTTACAGAATTCACCTATACCACATGTTTTTAGACTTGTGAAGGAAACTGGAGCACCCGGAGTAATCCCACGCGAACACGGGGAGAACATGCAAACTCCACACAGAAATGCCAACTGACCCAGCCGGGGCTCGAACCAGCGACCTTCTTGCTTTTTATATTTTATATTATATTATATTATATTATATTATATTATATTATATTATATTATATTATATTATATTATATTATATTATATTATATTATATTATATTATATTATATTATATTATATTATATAAGCACTTAGCTTTAAATTTTTTAAGTCCATACCCCACAACATTCATTTTCTTCATTTTCTCAACTGCATTATATTATAGTGATATTATAGTAGTTTGTGTGATCTAAAAACAAAGTGACAGTCAGGCAGTTTAATTTAATGTAAGTGGGTGGTTCTTCACCAGAATAAGCTTCAATGTAAAACGTTATCCTGTTTAAAAAGATAGCTCGCCCTAAAATGAAAATTCACACGCCCTCGAATGGTTCCAAACCTTTGTGACTTTCTTTATTCTGTTGAAAGTCAGTGGCTACAGGATTCCAGCTAGAATACCTTCTTTTGGGTACAACAGAAAAACAAAACTCATGAAGGCTTGAAATAAGTAAAAGGTACGTGAACTAACCCTTTAAGTCAAAGTCTGAACACAGCAAATGTTTGAAGTTCTCAGGACGCTTACGTGTATATGGAGTTATTGAAGATCCGCGAGAGAGCAAAGTTGATGTGGTTAATCATCTGATCCAGGTGCTCGTTAGACTGCAGCCTCAGCGAATATGTGGACTTGTCTGTTTCTATGACAACCTGTGAAGGAAAGAACACGCTTTAGTGAAGCAAAATGATGGAGAGAGGGGAGGAAAAAAAAGCTGGACACAAAAGCTAAAACACCAGTCCTGTAAATGCTTCTCCTACCTGATTTTCTGGGTGGGTGTTCATTGCCCGAATCTCCAGGAAGTTGAAGGTTTGTTCCACCTGAGGAGAAAATGAGCATGGTGATGTATAAGTCATGCTAAATCAGATTACCGCAGTGATTTGAGATGGAGTAGACAGGTGGTGCGTAATTGCCTACTGTACCTTGGTTGGTATCTTGGGGGCCATGAGGTACATCCGCCATGTTGCCAAAACCTGAGAGACAAAAGAGAGGTTGAAAGCGCAATAAAGTGAAAGATTAAGTGCAACTGCAAGGCAGTGTTCAAAGAAATAATAGTTTAGACTTCCTTGGAGAACAGCTTGTTCAAGTGAATCTAAAAGGATAGCAGTCATTATATAAGTCATGAAGCAGTTCCTGTGGAGCGTAACATGACACAATTTTGTCTTTTGAACTTTACTTAAAAATGACATACACTCGGCTTTTATTTTGATAAATTGTGCATTATGCAATGCAACTTTAATACAACTTTCATTTGAAGAAAAGTAGTATCTGAATGTTGGACACCCACATAAAAATACTATAGTAACTTACAATAAATACTATAGCTTTTTTAACCATACTATGGCAAAGTACTTGAAATAATCTGTTGCAGGAATTCAACAGTTGCTATGGTAAAACAACAACTATAATATTAACAAATTACCCAATTCTGTGGTTTTCTACAACTGTATAACAGTGGTCCCTCACCATATCATTTTCCTCCATTCCATGTTTCCAATACAGTACAGAATGCATTCAGCTTGCCAAATTGACATAAATCTTTGATCACTAACAGCGTGACTCTGAAATGCTGTATTTTAGGTTTGCAAGTTTTCTCCCCAGCAAACCCCATAATGTCAACGCAACATTCTGCACCATCAAAGGCACTCATGGTAGCACCCAAAAGGCGAGGACGATGCTGACCATCACACAAAAAGTAGACATGCGAAAGCAAGGTAGAAGTTACATAAGTGTTTAAACGAGAAAACTGTGAAAATGTCTGTCTGAGAAAAGTGTATAAAGTGTGAAGTGAGGGGTTTCCAGCCTTAACACATCTATAATAATTGCTAAAAATAAAGCAGACTTCTTAGTGGATTTCACATATTGTGTGTTATTTTTAAAACGTAAGTCATACGATTAACAAGGGACCACTGTATACTACAACACACCACAGTTTACTATAGTACAAACTACATTTAATTGTTAACAGTTACAGTTAATTGGTTCACTATACTTGTATAGCCATAGCATTCATTTACAAAAGTAGTGTAAATACTATAAAATAAACAATATAATACACTTTCCTACAGTAGACAGAATGACAAAGGTATAGCTGTCCTAAACAGCTTTAATAAGGAAAAGAACTACAATCCCATGATGCATTGCGAATGACACAATCAAATAAAAAAGATAATAACAATAAATCTTTCAATCTATACAAACAATACAGTTCATGTTAATTACAAAATATGCATATGCAGATATAACTAGATCTAACTATTTTAGAACTGTAGAAACAGGTAATTATGACGTTTTGTTTTGGGAGTGTGCATTTAAATTCTGTTATCAGCCCCCTCCCCCAAAAATTAGGCTGATATTATTAAAACCAATTAATTATGGATTATTTCTGTTCGTTGAATCATTTCAGATGCACGATGCTGGCCATGAGGGTTTTAATACCTTCTACAAGATGCTTTAGAGTAATAGAGTTAATATTGAAAGGAAGACAAGGTTTTAGCCTTGTGGAACTTTTTCTGTAGACATCAAAATTACAATCTCCAGCAATCTAGCAGTTGCAGATCGCTGGAGCACTACAAATCTGTCATGGAATCAGACTTTAAATCCCACCATGCACCTCACACACGCACCAGTTCCAGTGCTCTCCCTGATTGTACACACACAGCTAAAAACGAATCAAAAACTGATTACATGGACTGTTTATTCACCTCTCACACACACAGTGCTGAGTCTGCTTGTATGTTTAGCTGTTACTTTACGAAGCGTTTCCTAGTCCAGTGTTGCAGTAATTTCTGACCCTTGTTTTGTACTTTGTTTATCCTGCTTGCTGCCTGCACCAACCACTGCCTGTGACCACGACTAGGCTTTTGACTACCCTCATGATACCGTTTGTTCCTGTTGACTATTGCCTGCCTGACTAAGCCATAATAAACTGCGTTTGGACCCTCAACACCATTTTCACCCGACCTCTAGTGTTAAGCAATCAGTAAATAAATGATTTTGTGAATTTTTTTTAGTTTTGCTTAGATGATGGTTTAAAAGGAAACCAGTACACTGCATTTGTTTGCCTTTTGTTTTTGATTTATATTATCTATGAATATATAAATGTAAATATATATATAAATATAAATGAAATACGAATATATCAACTGTACCTGTATTTCATTTATCGGCTTTCAAATATGACGATTTATCGACCACTATTATGCATAAGTACAGTACAAAACTAAATGATACATTCAAGAAATTTTCACCAAATGGTTCATCCATATTTCTCACAGAAAATAGGATCTATTATTTTCTTTGTCAGGCTTCGCGGGGTTAAAAATATTCAGAAAGCTTTTTATTAAATGAAAACGCCGGGCTCTTTTATGAGTGCTCTTGTTTGTGGATTTTGCAGTGTACAGAAGGAGGCGAGCAGTGTTACAGACAGATGAGTAGGAGCTGAGAGGACGGAATAAGGATTTGTGTGATGTCTGAGGATTACAGAAACATAAAAAGAGGGATTGTACTGTATTTTGAGTGTGTGTGTGTGTGTGTGTGTGTTTATGAAATAGCACGGTCAAGTCTGGAGAAACCTCTTAATCTCATTCATAATTTAAATTCCTCATTAGCATGCTTTATTTAGGCCTCTCACACCAATTCCCCCCCTTCCCCATCATCTAAAACACAGCATCTCATCCAACAGGACAAGGCCTACTAGATGGTGTCAGAAAACTTCAAAGGGAGCAGCAGGGTTATGCATTTTGATTAATATATTATTAGGAAATTTTAGGGGTCATTTGGAAAGTATGATCTAAATATCAATTAATATACATCTCACTGTCGTTTCTGCCTGTAAAACATTCATATACGCTTCTCAAGTCTGTTCTACAATGTAATTATTCATTCATCTCAAAAAGATTCATGCTTCCTCCGATTCACTGCAGCCCCCACATTCTAGGCCCCCTGTTTTGTTCGCACTCCTTCATTCGTCTTTTCTTTTTCTGCCCTGTCGCTTTCAATTCTTCAAGGGCTTCTTCCGATGTATTACTAATGGCACCCCACCAGGAAGAAGAAACAGAGAGATGGAGATCCCAGATTTCTCCTTAATAAAGACTTTGTGTAGGGTGATGTGGATTCGCATGGCAGCTGAAGAGTTCGGGTGTTTTGTATAAAGGAAGTTCCTTGTGCTTTGTCAGAGTTAGCGGCGACACAACCATTGATAAAGAGATGACATTTTTGAGACCTCAAAACGCAATAACGGGAAACTTATATAAATACGGTCCCGAAGCAATAGAGATGACACTGGAGAGACAGATAGAGGAAGCAAAAGTCAGTTTGGGAACCAGAAAGCGTCGTATTCTCATCAAAGGCTTTATTATCAAAGGAACCAGACACAAAAGATCGGCACGTAAACAGCCACATTAATTATTAAAGCCCGCTGGGGTGTTTGGAGTTGACCGAGTTTGCATGGATGGATGAAAGATTGGGGGACCCCCCCAATTAAAGAAAAGATCAGAATACATCAAAGACTACCTAACACATTGCATGGGTGGGGACCGGAGTCAATCGCATGGTAATGAATGCAGCAGTTAAGCTACAATGCGCATTACTCACCCCGCTCTCGAGCGCGGACAGAATAAGGCATCCAGCATATAATGATATCAACATTAGTATTCATTATTGGATCCGAGCTCTGTTGAGCAAGCATTTTTGGTGAGGTAAAGTGCGAAAAGATTGGGCAAAGTGAAGTTAGGTTTGTCTATTAGAGTAGAGGGTCAGGGATCAGATGGTCTGAATGAGAACCTATGAGCACCTATGAGATCGAAAAATGCAAGACACCGCGATGACACCAAAAAACTTGAGGTGATGAAAGCTGACCTTTTTGTCATCTTATGGTGCATGCATCTGGGCCAAACAACTATAGTCAAGATCGAATTGAGTGTGTGTTCTGAATCTATGTGAGAGGAAATAACTGTCTAGCATGTGGGAGTAGTATATATTCAGAACTTAAAAAGAACTGAAACTAAGCACTGCCATATTTGAACATAATCATCACTTACTTATCATCACTTACTACATTACCATTTCATTATAAATATATTAGTGTATTGCAGTTCCGGCCCTCAAATTGCAGTTTAGTACAATTTGTTCCGGCCCTCCAAATAGTGTGACCAAAACATCAAAAATAAATTTAGTTCAGTCGAAAAACAGTCACTATAATTATGAAGTTGCATGTGTCTGTTAAAAAAAGCACAAGCAGTTAAAGCCTGCGCAGAGAGTGAGTCACCTGACATTAGGCGAGTGGCGCGAGCAGCTGAAAACATTCTGATATGTTTGTAAAAAAGGCATTTTGCATAATTCACTGAAATCATTAATAGAGATGCAATAATTAGCCGATTTCACTATTAACCCCGCTTTAATTCATTAAGGGCTTCTCAATGCCGCATTTCTGTTGCACGGAAAAAAAAGCAGCTGCAACTAAAAAAAGTTATGCCAATACGCACATACATTGAATTAACTACTGTATAGCAGCAAGCCGTTGACATAATGTGACTTTTTCGCAAGCATGTATTCTATTTTCAACGGAGATGTGCGCATATTGGGAGTGATGAGCGCACACAGTAAAAATGATCTCACGCTGTGGTGGTGAGAGTTGTGTGTGGCTTTTACTGCAATGTAAACAAAAGATATGTTAAACGAATAATTACAAATTATTAAATTTATTATGGATGTATGAACGCAGATAATAACAACAGTTAATTAAAATTCTCATCTAATAAATTGCTTAAATCAACATTAGACAAATATCTTTTTTTATTTATTCATTCATTGTTCTGTCATTTATTTTCATTGTAAAATTATAATTCATGTTTAAATCAAACACTTTTTAATTTATTTTTAAGTCCAAAGAGAGAAATAGACAATTGTTTGTTTTTTATTAATATTTAGTGCTGTATTTGGTTATTGAGCAGCAATAAACAACGCTTTTAAA